CCGCTGTCCCCAAATACGCCGCTGAGGATGCTACGCTCGTGACTACCGACAGCAGCGGCAATAATGTCATCGTTCGGTCCCCCAAGGCAGCACCATCGTGCTGAATATCACAGGCTTGCACTACAATCGTATGCATCTTCATGTCGATTGCACCTTGCTGTACTGACACAATGCACCGTCGCGTAGCCCGCTACTGGGAGGATCCGTACGCATTCAAGCCGGAGCGGTTCCACGGCGACTGGCCACGCGACGCGTTCCTGCCCTTCAGCTCTGGCGCTCGGTCGTGCCTCGGACGCCGGTGCGTATGCCTGCCAATCTTTCGCAGCCCACTCTAACGCGCATATATCAGGTTTTTCGAGACCGAGGGCATCGCGATCTTGACTATGCTCGTCTCACGGTACACGATTGAGGTCAAGGAGGAGCCAGAGTTCGCGGGGGAGACGTTTGAGGAGCGTAAGGAGCGGATCCTCCGTGCAAAGGGGGGTCTGACGTTGACGTGAGTGGACTGCTCATTGTTTAAGCTGGGCGTGTGTTGACAGTCATGATGTTAGGCCTGTCCGGATGCCTCTGATGTTTAAGAGGCGGTAACGAGCCGTGCCCTGTATCAGTATACTATACACCGGATGATGTATCTCCTACTTAAAGCTCAATGGCTAAATGTGGACATTAGGTTGAGAATATCTGAAACCTCAACATGAGAGCTTGTAATCGTCTGTCGACTTCATAGCCAGAAACTGAGATTCACAGGAATATACTAACAGCCTGAGGGCTCAGCACCTCACGGTGAGCTCAACTCACGGTCCGGTATTGCATGGCTGACTTCCCTATATCACTATTCCATTGCTCTTATGGGCTGACCCCCAGATAACCGTTAACCAATCTTCCGAACCAACGACGAGACTAGATCTCCTGTCCACCCCAAGTCAGCATAGCCTAAGGTTGGCCGGGATGTTAGCCGCAGGGGCGTATATCCTGGCGGAAGCAGTGAAGCCTTCCTCGTAGTCTCTTTACTCTATTCGCCCAGTCCTACTCAGCGACCTCGCTCCCAACTCAGCTTAACAGCTTCTTCGTCTCCAGCGCACACACATCCAACAGCAATGGACAACCCGCGCAGTCCCTTCATGGTCACGTACATCAGCTCCTTCAATAAATTCGCCAAGGGTACGAAGGCTGCTGCTGCTCGTCGCCAATTTGAAGTCGTCAACGAGCAGCCCAAGCAGCCTGCGATCATGCGTATAGCTCAGCTCTCCGCAATGGCGTCCAAGCCCAAGCCTGCTCCCGCGAGGCTCACGAAGGTCAAGCCCGAGGTACCCTCCGAGTCCGCATCGCAGAAACCCGCCGAGACGAAGACGATCCGGAAGCTTGTACCATCCACTGGCCCGCCCATAATCAAGCCCAAATCATCCACTCCCGTCATCAACAAGGAAGTGCCCCAAACCATGACACCACCGCCGTTCGACAGGAAGCCGCCACGCCGCGCAATGTCAATGCACGCCAAGGCCCTAGTGCCGGTGCAGCCCAGGAGGTCAGCTGCGGCCGTAAAGCTGCCGACATCGTCCCCAAGGACGGACGGTCCCGCAGAGAAGAAGACTCCGATGAGGTAGCTCTACACCCCGCCGCCAACGCCGCTGCTCTCAGTGTATATCAAGAGGCCCATCAAGCCTGTTCCGTTTCGCGTCGCAACTAAAGTCATCAAGTCAGCCCCGAGCCAGGTGAAGCGCGCAGCACCTCCGCCGCCACCACCACTCAAGAAGTTCGTGAAGAAGACTGGTCACAATGAGGGGAAGAGAAGTAAGGTATGTGTTCTGCCCATTGCGAGTGTTCTGATCCCGACCAGTGACCGGTTGTTGTCCCCAAGGTCACCGCTCAGCCCGTAGCCGCGAGCACCGTGGCTGACGCCAAGATGGCCGAGGTTGAGGCTGGCAGCGACGCGGCTGAAGAGGAGCATCCTGCCGACGAGCAGCTCGTCGTTTCTCGACCTTCCATCACCATCGGTCTTCCTTCCCCCGAAATTGTTATGTGCAAGCAGAAGATCCAGATGGTCGACGAATTGAAGGATATCCAGCCGACAGACAAGTTCGATGAGGCGGTTCGCAAAGAGTGCAGCCTGGTATGTCAGCGATACCAGTATCCGAGAGTGTCTATCGATGAAGCCCTCGAAGCGCGCCAGCGGCCTCGTGATCCCATCGCCGGAGGACATCATCGCCAGCGAGCTCAAGGAGAGCCACTCTCCGGTGATCTCACAGCTCAAGGACGTCCTCGCCAGCGGAAACAGGGTATCTGCACCAAAGCGGCACGCGCTGGTACTCAAAGAAAACCGCACACAGAATGTGGTCGATGCCTGCAAGGCATGCCCAGTCTCTAGGTATGCTTTACAATAATGCCCGATTCTCGATGATGTCTCTGACAGCGATCTCCAGTGGCATCCAAGTACACATGGCAGCGCTCTTTGGCCGCGCAGGGTTCGCGCAGGGTCCACTCCCAACGGTCCTTCGTGCCTATGTCCGCAGCTTGAAGATCCCTGAGCTCGCTGAGGCTGTGTATGCGTCGAAGGACCTCCGGATCCAGCGCGAGATCGAAGTGCTGAGGTCGATGAAGCGTGGGGGGTGCGGAAGTCGGACACTGCTGGGGAGGGGGGGGCATTCGGTGGGAGTGGGGTCGTCAACCGAGAAAACAAAGGAAACAGCGTACGGTACTCGTTGGAATGCATCAGCATCATCGAGAGGGTGAAGAGGGAGCGCATAGGGAAGGTATAACATTACTGAAAACCTTACATTCTACGTTAATTTCTGTCCTTCTATGTTCTTGTATTCTCTCTCTCTGTTTCATTTCTTACAATCTGTGTATAGAAGTTAACTCATATATCAATCATGATTTCATCTTCGAACTGAATTGAGGGAGAGCGGATGGTGTCGTACCTCTCCTCCTAGGGCTTTCTACAACTGTCTCAATACCTGACACGGGCGGCCTTGTAGCAACACACCTTGCATTATTCCAACAAGTGCAATACAGATCGATAATAGCAGAACGATCAAGAACAGCAAAAGTACAGCAGTCTGAGGGCGACAAGCTATGCGTCTTGGGCGACGAAGGGGTTGGCGATTTCCTCGAAGCCATCCACAGGACTGAGCAACGTTAAAGTCGGACCACGAAGTACGACGAGGCCCAGCTGCCGTGTTGACGGCAGTGGCTCTGTGATATTGTTAGATTGTAACTTTCTGAGGCGGTCGGACGACATGCCTGTGTGCAGTTGCTCTTCAACGTCATCGAGGACGAGGTTCAGCAGTTGGTCAAAGCCCTTCAGGACACCAGTGACTATGGCAAAGTCTGATGAAGTCTCATGTTGGTTGAAGGGTACGGACAGCTTACCCTCCCGACCACCTGTGAACTTGACCCGTATCCTCTCATTAACGTACTTCGCCAGGTCAAGAATGGCTTCTCGCTTCGGCTTGTCCATCGTCGGCGCCGTGCTCTTGCCACCGCGCGAAGCGGGGGCGCCCCCACGCATTGCTGCTCCTCGTGCTGCACTACCACGTCCCTACTGACTTCTTAGCACTCTCGTGAAGCCAAGATATCGTCGCCGCCACCCACTCTGTCGGCCATAATGAGCGATGTTGGCGTGTGACTCGTGCCCGCCGCAATGACCACTGACAAAGCACAACAAGTGTAGTACTGGCAGTTGTCCAGAAACAATGTATTTGTTGGTTGGCTGTGAGCAAGGAGAAAGTGGATAAAAATTGCCGTATGCGATGGCGGTTGATGAAAGTGTGCAAGGCACAGGCGCACTCAGAAAATTCGCGCGTTTCTTCCAACCACCGCCACCGCCTTTCGTACGTACAAAACCATCTTCCCTCCGGCCACCACCACTCCTTAAACTCTTCTAAAAGCTCGCCGTTCAGCACTCTTTCGACGACAGCAAGAATGAATGCCAGTGAACTTCTCGCAAACACCCTATCGCCAGGTCCGTCTTGGACTTGTTGCCATCTCCTATCCCGACGACATTCGTGCTGATATACTCCCTCGAACCTCTAAACAGATCAACATACGCGTCAAGATGCCGAAGAGAAACTCGAGAGCGCGGCCCGGGAGAACTACGTGTGTCCACTCGCTCCTTAGGCCACGGCCACCATTCCTAATTGTTATAACTTGATGTGTAGCCCGCATACATGATGATGCTCAGCGCCGAACTCGTGAACGACGCTTCCCAGTCACACGTAAGAAATGCTGCTGGTCTTGCGTTGAAGAACGCCATCTCCGCGAGGGTACGCTTTTACCGCCATTGTCCTCGGTTTTGCCTCACGGTCACCAGGATGCTACACGGCAACAAGACTACTCGAACCGATGGCTTGCACTCGACACCGCCGTGCGGTCACAGATCAAAGAAAAAGCTCTGCAAGCACTCGCGTCCACGAATTCGCGCGTGGGCCAGGTCGCCGCACAGTTTGTGGCCGCAATCGCTGCGGTTGAGCTTGCCGTTGGTCAATGGAGCGATCTCATCGAAATCCTACTCGGCTTTGTGAACAACCAGGCCAACAGTCCGCTGCGTGTAGCAACTTTACAAGCGATTGGGTACATTTGCGAGTCGATAGTGAGTACTGCGACTCATTTGTAGTCCTTTGCATCTCATTGTGCTCTAGAAACCCGAGATACTGGCCCTTCGCGCAAATGAGATCCTCACGGCCGTCATCCATGGCGCACGGAAAGAGGAACCTTCGTCAGAAGTGCAACTAGCAGCCATCTCTGCGCTTTATAACTCTCTGGAGTTCGTTCGTGATAACTTTGAACGCGAGGGCGAGCGCAACTACATCATGCAAGTCGTCTGTGAAGCAACTCAAAACCCTTCGGTTCCCGTGCAAGTAGGCGCGTTTGAGTGCCTGGTCAAGATCATGACTCTGTACTACGAGAAAATGGCGTTCTACATGGAGCGTGCCCTTTTTGGTGTACGCACTCCTTTGTGCAGCTTGCTGTCCCTAGCTAATGTCTCCCTTACAGCTGACAGTTATGGGCATGAAGCATCAGGAGGAATCAATCGCTTTACAAGCGATTGAGTTCTGGTCGACTGTGTGCGAGACCGAAACCGACCTTGCCTGGGAAGCTGCCGAGGTGCGTCTGCTATCTTATCTCGGGCATCAGTGAGGCTTATTTTCTAACTTAGGCCCATGAATATGGCGAGGTTCCTGAGACTGAAAGCAAGTTCTTTGCAAAGGTTGCATTGCCTGAGATTCTTCCCGTGCTTCTGCAGCTGTTGACGCGTCAGGAGGAGGACGCTGACGAGGATGAGTGGAACGTTTCAATGGCAGCGGGTACCTGTCTTGGTCTGCTTGCACAGTCTGTCTCGGACAACATCGTGCCGCTCGTCATCCCCTTCATCGAGGCTAACATTCGTTCGCAAGACTGGCATCAGCGCGAGGCGGCGGTTATGGCCTTTGGTTCAATCCTCGATGGGCCGGATCCACAAGTTCTCACACCGCTTGTCAATCAAGCACTCCCTATTCTCATCGACATGATGGCCGACCAAACCGCGCATGTTCGTGACAGTGTTGCTTGGACTCTTGGCCGCATCTGCGAGCTCCTCAGCGACGCAATCAAGCCCGACATTCACCTCCGTCCACTTGTTGCCGCGCTTGTCCAAGGCTTGCGTGACAACACGCGTATCGTTGGCAACTCGTGTTGGGCACTCATGCAACTCACCAACAACCTCAGTTACTCGGAAGAGGAGCCGCAACAGCCTAGCCCGCTTGCTCCCTATTACGAGGGCATTGTGATGGCCCTCCTCCACACTACGGAAACGTAAGTCGCTGCTCGATTTTTACAATATCTGCATTCTAACTCTCTTCTGCAGTGCGAGCAACGAGGGCAACTACCGCACGGCCGCTTACGAGGCTATTACGTCTTACATTCAGCACGCGACACCCGAGACAGTCGATGTTGTGCCAAAAATTGCAGTCACGACCCTGCAGCGTATGGAGCAACTTCTTGCAATGCAGAACCAGATCCTCGGCGTCGATGACCGCAACAACTGGAATGACCTTCAGAGCAATTTCTGCAGCGTGCTCATCAGTGTTGTGCGCAAGCTCGAGAGTGGGATTCAGCCTCTTGCGGACCGTATTATGACACTCGTTCTCCAGCTCACTCAAGCTGCAGGCAAGACCTCAACTGTTCTCGAGGATGCATTCCTCCTGGTCGGTGCCATGGCTAATGGTGAGTACGGCCGTCTCCTCGACTGACTTCGGCTCATTCTGTACTTTAGCTCTTGAGCAAAATTTTGCGCCATACATGAACGCCTTCCTGCCTTTATTATACCCCGCGTTGAAGGCACATGAAGACGCACAGCTGTGCACCGTTGCTATCGGCGTTATCGGTGACCTTTCACGTGCCCTCGGCGACCAGAGCGCGCAGTATGCGGGTGCATTCATGGGTGTTCTCCTCGAGAACCTGCAGAGCGACGTCCTCAACCGCAATGTCAAGATCACTATTCTGTCCTGTTTTGGTGACATTGCGCTCGCAGTTGGCCCTGCGTTCGAGCCTTACCTCGCGACAACGATCGGGGTCCTTCGCCAGGCGGGTGCCATCACGCCGAACCCGCTTGACATCGAACTCGTCGAGTACGTCCAGCAGCTTCGCGAGGGCATTGTTGAGGCGTACACCGGCATCGTTGGCGGCCTTAAGAACACCGACAAGGTGCAATTACTCCTGCCGCATGTGCCCGCCATCCTTGAGCTCGTGCAGAAGTGTCTTGCTGACAGCGAGCGCACGGAGACTAATGTCAAACTTGCAATTGGCCTCGTCGGTGACCTCGCGGATACATTCCCGAATGGCGAGATCAAGCAATACCTCCTCGCAGAATGGGTCGCATCCGAACTGCGAGCACGTGGTCGCTTTGCACCAGACACCAAAAAGACCATTCGCTGGGCTCGTGAAGTGCGTAAAGATGATTCATTACCGCGCCTTGTGCGGCTAACTTGTATACAGGTGGTCAAGCGTGCAACTGCATAGGTCCTTTCCTCATGATTTCCTCTCGTGCAGTAATTCCGTTCGCGAATATGTCTGATGCCCGTAATGCCCACCCCATGCCACACGCCTCTGAAGGAGGCATCATCATGCACACATGCAGTAGAGTTCGTGGCCCATAGCGCCACATATTCCCGGCAGGACTGTTCTTTTGATTTTGTTTGCTTTCCATTACATCTTCCTCCTCTCTCACATCCTCTCTTTTCGCCCCGTCTATCTCACACGTGCCTGTTATCAATGTATCATTGGGCTTTGCAATCCTGTTTTCGTGGCTATCGTGGCGATGCATCTTATTAGTTTGATAATCTTCGCTGTACGACTTCCGACGCCTTGTCTTTCGTCGACTACTATAACTCCTGAAGGGAGACCGTCTTACTCACCGCGCCCTACCAACGTGTATCTTGTTGTTCAATAGTATTCACTCTGAAATCTGTCGTCTGAAGGCCCTTCGCATGACACGGGATATGTGCAACGAAGGGATCACCGTTTTCGTGAAAAGTCTACCGACGAAGTTCTTGAAGATACTCAGAGCTTTGACGTTCGTTGTATGATAAAGGACAACTTGAAAGCGCAACGATCAGCGTAGCAATCGTATTGCACAATGGACCACTTGGGCAGAGTGAAGCTTGACTTCGTTTCCTCAGTGAAGACGAGTGAAGCTCTACACGGCTGTCATGGTATAAAGAAAATGCTCGACGCTCAGCTGGTGTCTCAGCAAGTCTCCCGTTTCAGAGGAGCCAAGTCTTCGCTGATACTTGGAACGCCCTGTAGGATGGGCCTTACTGTCAGGCTCAGACACCACTAGCATGGGTAAATCCGCATCTTTTCATTCACACCATCCAATTTCATCTGAGACCCTCCCCTCGATTCTAGCTAGATGATGCGCGAAGTCAATAGCTATGAAGGCCACAAACGCTTAGCATAGATCTTTGATATGCAAAAGATAGCAAACTAGAGTGGTGGTCGTATAACACTTCTTGGACTCAGAATAGATGTCTGCGCCGGCAATACGTAGCTGTCGGGCCTAGCGCTGTCTGAAAACCAGGGACAAATGAGCAGGTCTGCAGAGTGTGTTAAAGTCGCTCTGACGGGATACACCTCTCCAGACACTCACGCGATTGTAATCCCATCTTTGATCTCGAGGACACGCTGCCAACGCTCCTCTATGTTTTGTTCACAAATTTGAGATCATCCTTCAACTCAATCTTGTAGCGAGAAAGGAGCATGGTCAGTATTGCGATTCCTTCTGTCTCAAAGGACCTACAGCAATGGGCGTGAGATGCGCGCATCACTCCATAGCGACAGAAGTGTACCCACCGTCTGCCTAGACATGAACGTGCACCAGAGCTAAATGGAAGACACGCCTCCCGAGGCCAGTCACCGTGGAACCTCTCGGGCTTGAATGCAAGTGGGTCATCCCAGTACCGGGCTAAAGGGAGAGTGAGCAATGTTCCCTTCATTGAACTTGCATGAGTGCGCACGGTTGTAGTGCAGAGCAGCGACGCTGATCTGTAGTGATGTTCCACGAGATACTGGAACGACGACTTCGTTTCCGACTCGATCAGTCGTCACCAGGGTTGTGTCTTCAGCTGCCACCTTTGGAATTGTGGTGACCTACAGACGACATGAGATGGATACTCCGATATGAGGGACTCCGTACTCGCCGAGGGAATAGACGGAGTGTCTCATAGAAGACACTGCACAAGTGTTAGATATGTGGTCGTTATCCGCATAGTAGAAAACTTACGCCATGTACTCAGTAGTAGGTGCGTCTCTTCGTGAATCTGATGTCTCGCTACAGGTATAGCTGCTCTGAGGAGACTCATGGGTGGCCGCCCGTCTGGGATAATGCTCTTAATATGCTTGTAGAGCTTCTCTTGGTAGTCCGGATGCAACGATAGTAGACCGAAGGTGAACGCTAATGTATGCGCCGTAGTCTACGGATTTAAGTTATTGAAAAGAACGCCATCCCTGCTCCATGAGAAACACAAACTTCATGTCCTATATCGAACATTGCAAGTCGAATCTTGCAGGAAACCGTGTCCAGGGAAGCAACACACCGGCAAGCATAAAAATAAAGATATTTCCTGCAAGCGTTTTATAGCTGCTGGTCTGTAGTGGCACATGGGCAATATAGATCATGGCGTTCTTCTCTAAGTTTCGGCATTCCTGGATCAGCTCTAGCATGTATTGCTGACATCGAGAAGTCAGCGATCATTCAAATGACACAAAAAAATAACGCTCACCTCGAGTTCCTCGAAAGCAAGCTTCACTTGTGCGATTCGTTGTTTAAGAGCCCATTCCATTACCAGCTTTGGCGCGATCATCTTGACCCATAAGTCAGTTGACACGACATGGAGAGCCTCTATAGAGGAGGATTCGACGTAGAGGTCGGCGCTCGATATATGCGGGGCTGGACGAGAGGGGAAGGGACGGCCGAAGGCGAACTCGTGTACAAGACTTGTAGCTTAGCTCGATGAACGGATAATGGAACTCTTGACTACTTGTGCCCGCGGGCGTGACTCAATGACTCGATTACTCGTACCCGCGCTTGCCGTGGGTGACGCTCGTCTCGCGCTCTCGCGAGAATAATCTCGATGACTTAGGATGTGCCCGAAGCTCGGAGGGGCACATTCGATGGCGGGAGGTCGCCTTTAATATACATCCGCTGCCGTGCTCCCGGCCGGAGGTCCATGTGTACGGAAAGTGAAGGCAAACGTCGACGAAAGGGTCTCTATAGGGGAAGAATCTGCGAGTGCGATAAGTAGTGGCGTCAGGCTTCGGGAAAGGCGCGCCGCCCCGACAGGCGATGGCGATGACTCGGCACGCTCGCGTGCGACGGGCCCCTATTTACATGCACGTTCCTGCCGCCCTCAGGTCGCGGGGTACTCCGTCACTTGCGACGTCGCCTACGTCCTGTCTTCCCGGTCGAGCCGCCGTCCAACATCTGCGTACATGCAAAAAGAAGGTAAATGTAAATTCTCGGTGTTGGCGCTGAAAACCCTTCTACACCTCCTGCAAAGTCGCAGTGAGTACTATTACATGTGAATATTCACTATTCGTCCTACCTGAAACGATATCTTGTGGTTGGGCGGAAGAGCGCTGTCAGCCTGCCACAAGGCTCGCTTGCCGAAACCTGCGACGCTTATAACGTGCAATGCCATCTGAACCGGCGGCCCAGTGTTAGCTTTTAGGCAATCGATGGCACCATTAAGTATTACCGGCAGCGTCAGTGACCGAACGACATTGTCAAGAACAACCTTTTTTTTTGCGGGCCCCAGACGTTCTCGAAAAACACATTCGCAATCTTCACTGTTTCATCCCACACGAGGCGATTGTTGCGCTATGTGTACTGTGAGAAGGTCCCACGTGTCTACACGAGGTAATTGACCGACCTCAGAGAAGGGTGGTGCAGCAACTTTCCTGTGGCGCTTCCATTCATCGCCTTCAGAAGCGATGATATTCCCGCCGAAGATCCTGAAAAAAAGCATAAGAAGGCTTTGGGAAACGCGCTCTTTGGCCTGTGACCTCCTGTGTTTTCTGGTTAGGATCGGGTGTTAAGAAAGAAACCGAGGCACGAACCTCACAGTAGCGTCTGCGAGGACCAAGTAAGTGGTCACGCTAGGGAGAATTGCGATCTGCAAAGGCATTGGACGCATGTCACGAAAAGGACTACCACGAGCACCGCGGAACACTGATGTGACTAATAATACCGACACCGGCTTGCTCGGAGTTGAGGTGTTTTCTGCGCCAGAAACGAAGCCAGCCGCCTGCCAAGCCACGTCTTGGCTCTTTGAAGAAAACGCCGAGTATGCCAAAGGACACAATGAGCGACCGGAAACCAGGATAATAGCTGCACAGCTCTATCAGCCACGTCTGCAGAGATTGAAGGAAATAACATACTTGATAGATCGCAGAGCAGCCCTAAAATCGACATAGACTTTGAAGCATGTAGCAGTACGCCGAGTGATATCGCCAGCACCAGGGCGTTGAAGTTCATCTCGACGAACCTGTGGTGGACGGCACGACTGAGCTCAGGGACAGATGAAGTGAGTAGTCTGGACTGCTATAACGATAACTTAGCACAAGACGAAGTCCCTCGTACAAAGAGAGGGGCTGCACGAACGGACAATCGACGGTCGTGAGCGAGTAGAAAAGGCCTAAAAACAGTAACAGACCTCATACAGTGCTCAGCTCACATCCAGTCAAGTCGTTATATATGTAACAATCCGATCCTGGTCTCATGTGACCGTCCAGAGAACAAGAATGCGGACTCGCCAACCTGCGGAACAAATAGGAACACTAGTGGAGTCCACCCACAGGCTGCAACAACTGAGTATGGCTATACAATTGATACGTATCGGAAGACATCATGGGTAATTTCGTTAATGGTGCACAACGGGGGAGGTAGCGCGAGACGCACCTATCTCGGATGTTAGAAAACCTACATGTAATGATTCATATTCAGCGTACACCTAGCACGCTGACGACAAAACGGGAGCGGTGACTGGTCTGCAGAAGACTTCGTTCAGATACGAATGGCAAGTTCAATGATATCGCGCGGGAATTAGTCTAGTATACACAAGATAATGAATACCTAGATACTGCCTTCGGAAAGCCTCTCATGACTTCCCAGGTGTGACGTAGTCCTTCGACAAATCGATCTGACCCTTCAAGTGCGTGTTCGTGAGGCGGATCTGTCTTTGTCTTGTAGCCGTTTTCTTGCCCTTCCTCTTCGTCATAGGCCCCTTAGGCACTACGGTCTCGCCGGCGGTAGCTTGCAAGCCTTCATTCACGAGCTGCTTGAGAAGGTCCACATCATTCGGCACTTGTAATGAATGCCACAGGTCGAGGAATTCTGCTCATGGTCAGCCCACGCGGACGTGATTATCTATTCAGCACCGTCCGACGCACCTTTCTCCACCTGACCACCGCCGTCCTCCTCATCTGGCTTTATCTCGTTCCAGAAGACCATCCGCAACTGGCCATCTTTCAGCGTCCGAGTGACGTACACTTCGCCCTCCTTCTCCAGTTCCTCGATTGCCTGAGGAGCCTCTTTCCAGCTCTCCTTCAGAGTACGTATAGAGAGGCCGCCGCCCTTCCGAGTCTGTCGCTGGATTTCTGTGAGGAGGGACGCCTTATTCCGGACGTTGAAATCATGCTAAGACAAGGTCATCAGACAAGCTACAAGTCACGCTGAGCAGAGGCTGGGCATACTCGATACGAAAAGAGGTCCGTTTTAGGATCATGGACGACCCTATCGTGCGACTTGAACTTCTCAAAAAGGACCTTGTCTGTATCAAGGGGCAGCTCTGTGATGATGGCCAAGTCTTGCAGACGCATCGGGTTTCCATGCGACTTAAGGTGGTTCACAGCGTAAACGAGCTGAGTATTGACATCCTGGCCCTTGCCGGTGTCTGCAGGCTGAGAATACACGATGTCTGACCCTGACTGTTAATGAGAGCCGCGAACAACGGCAAGGAAGCAAGACATGCTTGACTTAGGCCGTTTCTTCTTTTTCGACGAAGATGATTCAGCCGCATCCTGCGGTTGTTGCAGTGGTGGTGGTTGAGAGTGCCATGATGAATAGTCCTGCCTCGTCAAGGCACTTTTGAAAGCGGCAGCGTCTCGAGCCAGAGACATGGTGGTTGAGGGTAAGGTGGGCTTTGGTGTTTGAAGCCGCGGTAAGGCGGGTATTAAGCAACGGCACGTGGTAAAGTGCGCATAGAAGTGTTATCACCGGAGTCTGACGGGCCGTTGTATTGCGGTAACAAAAGACTGAAACAGCGCTTCAAGCGAGTGCTTACTCGGGTAAGCAAGCGACTCTCCAAAGCGCGTTACGCAATGAAGACATAGCGACCTCGGCCAATGGCCCTGTTCGCTTCACGCCGTCGTCCTTTGGCCGCAGGATGTCGTTTTTCTCAAGGCCATCCTCTTCTGCTGTAAAGATAGTCGCCCCTTCCTCCTCACATTCAGAGCCTTCGAGCCCGAAATTCGCCAGGAAGGGTAAGATTCAGCTTTCAAGTGACTGAGGATCAACTGAGCACGCGTCGTAGACAGCACACAGAGACAATGTAGAAATATCATGATATATGGGTATGCTATTGATTCTCAGTACTGTTTCTCATACCCATCTCGGTTGCAGATCGTGTAAATTTCAGGACAAAGGCTGTATCTACTACCATCCTCCTGTACGTCTCTTGTCTGATCTTCGCTGTGACCAGCTCAGGTTACCTTCGCAGCTCGACTCTTCATCCCCTGTGTAAGCCCAGCAGACGATAGAGCGCGTTTCAGGACGTCATGCTTTTCTTGTAGACCCCCGGATTCACCAACCCCGAGTGCCGCGCTGCCCGCACAAGCGGTAAATGCACCTGTGTTCGTACCAAAGAACCCCGCCAGCCCAGTCCCCGCTCCCGCTGTACCAAGTAGCCATATTGGGCCAATGTGTGTCTTTAATACTTACTATTCTAGACCTACCACGAGATTCAACTACATTCCAGTTTCGCATTATCAACAGGTTCATCCGAATATCACTACGACGAGTCAGGAGCCTATGACTCTCAAGCTCAGCAGTCTGATATGAGTGCCAACCCGGAAGGCGTAGCTAATTTGGCAGAACATTTTCAGGCAGTCAGTGGGCCTTTCTTCGCACGTAGACTTTCCTTAAACGAGATACACTCAGCTCGATCCCTCAATGAATATGAATCCGTATGACCAAGTGGGGGACATGCATCTCATGGACTACGATGGCGCAATGGACCCTTTCTATTCAACCGAAGGCGCCTTCGCGCATCAGCCAGTAAGTTGGACATCGCCCTGTATATCTCGCAAGTATTGACCATTTGCTTGTCTCGCAGTTGGACTATCACCTGTATACACATTCTCGACCGGAGGCGTTGCAGCAGCGCTATTTCATCTCTGATAATGTCCGCGAAGAGCTCCAAAGACGGTCAGAGGCGACCTATGCAGCTCCTCCCCCGGGGCTAAATTTACCAGAGGAGACACAAGGCTATCACTCGCTGATGCCCCTCGAGTCCACGATCGGTGAACGACGCAAGTTTGGGAATTGGTACTCCACTGTATACAAGGCACTTAACTCTCAAGATGGCATCGCATACGTACTGCGGCGAATCGAGAGTTAGTCTAGTCTTGGTTTCTATTGCCTGCTCCCGCTGACTGTGTCCCAGACTATCGACTGAATAGCCAGGCCGCGTTTTCTAGCATTGAGTCTTGGTCTCGTCTCAAGCACCCGAATGTGATCTCAGTTAAGGAAGCCTTTACCACACGAGCGTTTAACGACAATTGTATGCCAGGTTCTATGTGTGCGTATGATTAGGTTGCTCACGGCTCCATTTAGCTCTCGTTGTCGTGTATGAGTATCACCCCACCGCTGAGACTGTGTTCGACGCGCATATCAAGACGAAGGCTCCTCAGTTTCAGAACGGCCGACTTCAAGCGCAAACTAGTCGCATAGCAGAGCGTACCCTCTGGTCGTATATCGTCCAGATTGCCGGTGCGATCAAGACCGTCCATGATGCCGGGCTCGCTGTTCGCGTCGTCGATCCTACCAAGATCTTGGTCACTGGTAACAATAGGTATAGCTATGACTTTTCTTCTCTCACGCGAGGTACTCAATTACCGCGATAGGGTCCGTGTCAGTTCGTGTGGCATCGTAGACGTCCTCATGTTTGAGGCTCGGCAAGACATCGCGATGTTGCAGCAGGAAGACTTAGTGATGTTTGGCAGGCTGATTCTCAGTCTATGTTGTAACAATCTTGGAGCCGTCAATAACCTGCAAAAATCTTTGGAGAACGTTGGCCGGAATTATCCGCAGGAGATCAGGAACATCATTGTGTATCTCATGCAGAAGCCGAGCCCCTTGAAGGTGCGTATCTTAGCGTGACGCCATTGTGAGGTTTTCATGAAGTTTCGTAGACCATCCGCCAGGTGTTCGATATGATGAAGCCTCAGATGCTGCAAGAGTTCGATGAGTCTCTGAAGTACGTCCGATTTATCACAGCCTTCTCGCTTCTGCTGACGTTTCGGCTCCAGTGCTGTCGACCAACTCGAAAGCGATTTAATGAGCGAGCTCGAGAATGGCCGTATAGTGCGCCTTCTTTGTAAATTCGGTTTCATCGACGAACGGCCCGAATTCGCGCGAGACCCTCGGTGGTCGGAAACTGGTGACCGATATATTGTTAAGCTGTTCCGTGACTATGTCTTCCACCAGGTCGACCAGAACGGTCAGCCAGTCGTCAATATTTCTCACGTTCTGACGTGTCTTAACAAGGTTTGCGCCGGTGCTTTGCCTGCTGTATCCGCGCTAATTGAGCGCACAGCTGGATGCCGGCGTTGATGAGCGCATCATGCTTGTTTCTCGTGATGAGCAGAGCTGTCTCGTTGTCAGTTATCGTGAGATCAAGTTATGCATGGAGTCTGCTTTCAGGTGCGTCTCCCCTTCTATAGAAACATCGTTTATTGACGTGTTATGCCAGCGAGTTGTCTGGTCGGTAGTCGCCTTCGCTTCAGTTGGACGAAAATAGTTAGAACCAGAAAAAGACGCGAAAAATAATAATAATATTCTTTGTATTCTGAACACTCGAACTTTAATCGCTTCAGCAGTCGACGTCGATGTCAATGAACGTTATGCTGATACTTCGGTTCGCTTGCGTCTCATAATGCCAGAGACCCTTTCCTGAAGCCTTTTCTGTGACCCTTCTTCCCATACGCCGCCGTTGGATCCATCACGATTAAGCTCTGCTCAAAGCAGGGAAGTTCCTCATCGGAGTCGATAGAGCCTCATGATTATTGCAGCCCTGATAACGAGTACGTACCATGGCTGCATTCTTGCGTTACTACCGATTGAATTTCTCCGATTCTTCCAGCAGATCCACGGTCTTCTTTTGGTCATGGTGCACAGACCTGCCGACTTGGTCCCAGGGTCTTAACATGGGACTCCGCGCCCAGCATCCACTGCATTGTCTGGGACAGCCAAGGACAGAGTCCTCCCAGCCGCTATACCGCCCGAAGGCTACCAGCTCCATGTGGGTTCCTGCTGGTAACTACCACAGCTGCTGTGAGATGGAGACGAAGGCTGCCCCATTGACGGAACTGAGGCTTTACGGCAGTCTGCTGCATCGCCATAGGCTACGCCTGTGTCCCATGGCTCGCCCGATAGCGCAGTCAGGGCTCTGTCCGCGAACTCAGCTAGGGTTCAGCGGCTTATTGCGATGACGACTGACTCTTGTTCTCGACCGACACTGTACTTGTCCGGGAAAGAGCGTTTGCAGCACGGCTTCGAAGGCAACATGTGTCACTACTCCCGCCGCAGATTGGGCAGTGCGAAAGGGGGAGAATTAGACATCTCCCACGGGAGGCACTGCAGGATATATCGTGCTCTACCACGAAGCCTTGGGTATCCCGGACCCCTGTGCTTGACCGACACCTTGTGTTGCAAGTGTTTGGGTGGCTGTTTCAGTAAAGGCAATGACCTTCGGCCCTCGGGGCATGTGGGCATCGGGCGTCTAAATTATGCGTTCTATAACGGGGTGAATTGCAGCGTCCCAGACTCGCACTTCGGCGGACAAGGCTAGTCTGATCTCGACTTTCACGATCTTCTAACCTCGAGCAACGAGCAACACTTGGCGGCAGGATCCCCAGTGGCAGCAAGCAGCCGACTCATGGCTGCCGTATACTCTCCGACGCTCAGTAACATTCACCACGGCCAGCCGTCCCGGCAACTACACGTCGTGCAGACGAGCCCGCCTCGTAGATCCCATATCTCGAAAGCCCAATTCGCTGCAGAGCTCACCCAATGTCTTGTTGAATTCGTCGTGCAGCTGCTTCCTACTCAGGATGAGCTGAGCATCAAAGAGGATGTCAGAAAGCTGCTCGAGCGACTCATACGCACTATTGAGCCCGACAGTCGGTTGCTATCTTTTGGCAGCACCGCCAATGGATTCAGCTTGCGTAACTCTGGTATGGCATTTCTCGCGCCAGGTAGTTGTGTGGGGTTTGACGCGGATGACAGACATGGATCTTTGCTGCTTGATAGATTCGGAGGACCGACTACCTGCGACAGATTTGGTCAATATGCTGGGGGACCTCTTTGCGCGAGGTGCGTAAAGCTTCATCTTGTGTGTCTTCCGTAACCTGAATCCTCTTCTACAGAGACAAAGTTCCATATCAAGCCGTTACCCCATGCGCGGATACCAATTGTGAAGCTCTCATTAGACCCCCAACCTGGGTTGCCATATGGCATCGCCTGTGATATTGGCTTCGAGAACAGGCTAGCCTTGGAAAACACAAGACTTCTCATGTGTTATGCTATGATAGATCCCATGCGTGTGCGCACCTTGGTCTTATTTCGTAAGTTCTCATACAGCAGGTTGCGTGTATGCTGTCTCAACTCCGTCGTATCATATAGTGAAAGTGTGGTGTAAGCGAAGGTAAGTGCTATGGACAGTATGATATTAGCTAAATTAACTAATGAGGTGTGTAGAAAGATTAACTCGCCCTACAAGGGCACTCTGTCATCATACGGCTACGTCCTACTTGTCATATATTTCCTTGTGCACGTCAAGAACCCTCCTGTATTACCAAATCTTCAGCAAATACCTCCTCTACGACCTATCTCTCAGGTACATCTATTCACATCCGACAGTATACTGCCGTGCTCACTCAATGTAGGAAGAAACTCATATTAATGGATACAATGTTTGGTGGGTAGTAACATCTAGTACCAGCTCATAGATTAATATTCCACAGGTTTTTCGACGATGTCAATCTACTTAGACAACGCTGGCATTCGCAAAATACAGAGAGTGTCGCCGAGCTGTACGTTTGTCGCTTCTTTCCTGAAGCTTTGCGCTGAAACATCGCGCAGCCTGATCGACTTTTTCAAATTTTACTCGCGGGATTTCGCCTATAATACTGGGGTCGCTTCCATCCGGGCTGGTCTGTTGACCAAGGAGAGCAAAGGGTGGGACAACGACGTATGTGCCCCTACTGCAATAGCTACATCTGGCTGACACCCTGGCAAGCCCGACAAGGGAACAGCAAGGGAGAGGAATCGCCTATGTATAGAGGTACATCCCACTAGCCTAAGATTGCCTAGTCCTGTATTGATTCTTTCCTAGGATCCCTTCGAAACCAATTTCAACGTGGCGCGCTGTGTCACGAGAGACGGCCTGTATACTGTGAGTTAATCAGCACATGCCCCGGTCATACTGCGCTGAGAAGCGTGGAAATATAGATCCGAGGAGAGTTTATGCGTGCCTCACGAATATTGGCAGCACGCCCTGACCGTGCATTTGTCGCGCTGGCACAGTTGTGCGAAGAGCGGAAGGATGAAGAGCTTCTTCACGCATCTCCGTCCCGCCCGTCCTTCACTCCGCCCAAATTGCCTTCAGTCCCCAAGGCTGCCCAGACTCCTTACACCATTGGCAGCAACCCCATGAGGCCTACGGGTGCACCCGAGCCGGACCGTCTGTCGCCCCCAGAAGTACACCAGATACCTTCTTCTGCACCGCCTCTTCCGGCGTCATACCCCGCGGAACGGCCGGCTCATATGGCTCCGAAGCGTGCGAAATGGACTAGTCCACCGCCACCTGAGGCCCCTGAAGAGGACCAGCTGGCTTTCGAGGAAAGTCTTGGTCAAGGGCTTGACCTTGCTACTGCATTCACCACTGCAAGGGAAATCGACCATGAAACTGCTTCATCGTCGAATAATAGCGAGATATTAACCGATGACGAAGATCCTAGATCGGTCACCGATTCGGATGATGTTGCATCTATACGCTCCTTCACTGAGGGCGCACGTTATCCCCGGCATGCCGGAAACTCAGGACAAGTCTCACCGCAATTCCCCGCCTACGTCGCCGACCTGTCGAGTTCTGGGGGTGGGTTGCGCTACCCTGCGTCTCCGCACGACGGCAGTGCAGACCAGCGGCTTCTCTTTCGGCTTCGGGGACGTTCATCACAAAGGCCTATGCAGAATGTTTCAGAGAATGGCGACGGCATGCGAACACGGCCCAGACAGGAAATAGGATTCGTTCCACCGCCGCGGATGGACACCGGTACTCCCAGGCGCTCCATGTCAGGACCTGCTCGCACGCTTCAGGGCAATCGATACTCTATGTCTGCACTACCCACAGTTGTTACCCCGCTCTCAGTATACCCTTCACGAGCACAAGCAGTCACTCAACAGCCAGTACGTCAACAGCGCTCAAATATATTTTACGAAACATCCTCGCCTATTCGAGACCGCATGGCTAGAGCCCTAGGCTCCACATATGCTATGCCGGTAGCGCGATTACCGGCGTACGGAAGACTCGACGGTCTTCCTCAAAGCGTAGAGCCTATCTCACCCCAGTTCGAGAATGCGTCACCCCCCTCTACTCGTCATCTTCGACCGTCTGGAGATCATCAGTTAGGTCCTACTCCGCCTTTATCAACTACCCCATCGCAATCCCATGTCTCGTCTCCTCGGATGACCCAGTCGTCACACTCTCACTCCCTGTCTCAATCAACCATCGTCCCATCTACTCCGCCTTCTGCTGTTCATCACTTACCTGCCGCTGCCCTTAGCCGCCGCAGACCGTCTGGATCTCCCGTCAGCTCAGGATCTGTTGAACGCTCGGATTACTTTCCCACAGCGGCTTCACACATCCACGACCTGTCATCGCGGCATCTCCGATCGTCATCGCCATTCGCTTCAGTCTCGTCGAACAGCGGGTCACCAGCCATGTCATACACGAGCTCGCAGTACGCCGCCTCTATCTCGCCGATGTCTATGTCTCCACCATCTCCGTCCCAGAGCGACGCGGTCGCGACACCTGCCGTAAACTCGGCGCCCCTCCTACGGGTCGAGAGGACCGCATCTAGCAAGGCGAACCAGAGCTCGCTGCCACCAGTTCAGGAGCAGCCGCGCATTGCTATCATCGACCTCGACCCCCGCAATAATTTGGTATCTGCCACGGAATCACTCTCGCTAGATTCGTAGCGCTCGCAAGCCGGACTTCTTGCCGTCGTCCGTGTTCGCAGCAGTAGCACACTTTGTGTCCAATACAGTCGCATAGTAGGATGCTCGGATCTGTCAGCTGCTGCCGCGAATATGCAACGTCCTTGCTAGCCCGACCGTTCGCGACTCTCGTCTTATATCACATGGCGGCTTCTCCCTGATCCCTTAGCGTCAGCGAGAAGCACGAGACTTGGCTCGTGCGTCTGGGTCAGGGCCTCTCCATGGCGCGCTCAAGCTATGTACATTGAGATCCTTGTAGCAGAAAGTCTAGGTATTGTACAGAATCAGATGCTGACAGGGTGGTCAGCAGCGGACCGCGCGGTGGTGGCATTAGACTCCCGCTTTACGGCAGCCAATACTCGAGATAAGACAGGCTGCCGGTCGCTCATTGCCATCTCCCGGATCTCGACCAGATATACGGAACGCATGGACGTTTCTTGCCCCCGTCGTTAGCCCCCAGGCTTTGGGCCGCCGTCAGGAATGGTACGACGCAAAGTGACATGATCTGTTCACCTTCCGCCAGTCCCTCATATGCATGCTGATCTCGTGTACAGAGAATGGCACCAGGACCTTGCTAACCTTGTCGCCTTTTTACAAAATGACTTACAACTGGGCCACTAACATTTCTAGATTAGGTGAGACCTGCCACCAACACAGATTGCACACACCTGCACAATGATGGTAAGTTCCTTCGGAATGTGGTCATAACAGTGCTTATCGTAGATGTTTAGCCTGACTCGGACATCGTCCACGTTTTCCGCCTCCTTGAGCGAAAATGGGCCCATGGACATGGTGCGTGTTCCAGAGCTGAGCGCCCCGAGCCTCGGGGTCCTGAAGAGAAAGTCCTGAGGGAGTATCACAGGAATGTATCTCTGTGAGTGTCCAGACCTTTTTCTGGACGATAAGATCTGGTAGCTGGAGACGCATGGATTGCAGCGATGGGTTGGACATGCTATGCGTCTCCGTCCGTGTAATGTGTGACCTACAGTCACTATATTCATGTATTGATTAGCGGCTCCACCTTGCGATGTTATGCCCACCATGATTACTGGAACGAATGTGCCCGGTAGCAAATTCAGATGAGCTCTCAGCACTCAGCTCCTGCCCTCTTAGTGTACAGTGTGCTCTTCAAATGTTTTAGCCGCAGTCATGTAGAAGCCTGAAGGTTCTTCTGACCGGTGACACCAACCTTCGCCGCTGCATAGACCGCGCAACAATGATACTAAGGGGGAAAGTGGACCCTGGTTAGACAAGAATACAAAGTGGCCCACTTGCTCCGTGTTCTTCTGGTAGTTAGCGGCTCGTCCGGGGTGGCAATACTGGGGCTCAGAGCTCGGGTTGAGGAGGCGACTTACTTTGGTGGTACTTAATAACTGTAGATTGTTGAGCGATAGCGCTGTGAGGAGATGACCCCCTTCAGGTATGGGCCTGGGACTCCCTAGAGAGGAGAGGACATCGCGTACGCGAGATCGCTGTTGCGCCACGAGGTGAAGTCGTCCTCAAGAACGAAAGCTAGACGTATGGCAGCAACGTTTCTTGGCCGTTGGAGCTTGTAGATATGGTGCAGCCATATCATCGCAGAAGTCGGTACATTAACTGTCAATTTTAATGAGTGTAGACAGTCGGGCGAGGGCGGTATTGGTAATGAGGATGACTCCGCGAGTGCAAATAGCGGATCAATGACCTCGCGCGAGCGCAGAGTGAGATTTAGGAAACGTACAGGTCTAAGAAGCACGTAAAATTACATTACGATGTTCGGCATGATCGGCTCCGTCATATGAGGGAAATTGAAAGAGTAGTCAGCTGGAAAGACGTACATGATGTATCCAGCGAGCTGCTCTTGGGCCCCGTTATCCCGTATGAGATAAACGCAGCGGTGGACCCTAGCGAGAATTGACATAAACCTGTCAAATGATGATGGAAACAAACACAACAGAGCAGGCTTACTGAGAAATGAGGACGCAGGGCTGAGGTACTTAAGTTCCGTGATGATATTGAGTTCATGCCCACGTTTAACCCATGCCGTAGGCACGACTCGGAATTTTATAGCAATCGGCAGAACAGTCTCGGGATCATGTGCGGGCATCTAACCTGTCGTCTTCCATAACCATCTTTTCATTGCATCCATATGTGCAGCTCATGTTAAATTGATGCTCAGGCTGAGATTAATGAGAGAAGTTTCAACTTCAAATATAGCTGGCCATGCACGCCAACGCCCAGAGTCTGGAGCGCATCAGGAGAGACGATTTAGACGTCAGAATCACCCGATGCGCATGTGACAGTCTGTGGCCTAACGGGAACACATGCAGATACTTATGACAAGCAAGGCACATGAGAAGCATAAGCTTACTGAGATAGCTGGAAAGTTAGTAATGAGGCACTGGTGCGATGAGGTCTAGATGATCAGACCACGCAACGCACGACCGGCAGCTGGCACAGATGCTTGATATCATGATACAGATATCATGATACAGCAAGTCAAGAGACATGCAACTCAGCTCATTTTGTGCGCGAGGACTGAGTGAGGAGCAGTTTTCATGGCCGGCGCACATCTTCCAGCCAGATCAGCTGCACAGTACTACATGACTGTAGGCGCCGTGGTCTTGAGGACTCCGAGTCGGGCTCCCCAATGGCCATCCGCGTGCTTGAAGCGCAGAGGATCCTCCGCTGCCAGCTACAGCTGTCGAGATGGCAGAAAAAGAATACCAATCAGCGAGCGACCTCGAGGGTCAGGGGTGTATACCAAGTTATAAAAAGTGAGTCAGGAGTGAAATGGCCTGATAGAGAACGCGCAAAGATAAATGTTCGCTATCCCAGTTCCCAGACTGGCCATATCTCCGTGGGTTGTCAAGAGAGCGCCACAAAGACGAAGCTTGTCAAAAAGCGCTGTTCTTACATAACCCTCATGTTGTCATCTTGCGCGCCTGTGCTCTGTGTTAGCAACGACGACTAGCTCGCACATCACAACAAGTCACACAGAACCTCTGGGGTCCATTTTTACGATAAGCGATAATTTATATAACTTTGGGGACTAGCTAAAGGGGGTTATCCCCTAATAATGGTAAGTAATAATGGTACAAGAAAGTTAATAATACGGTATTAGCAGGCTAGGTCCGAAGAAGACACTAGGCCGATGCCGCAACGACGCGGATTCTACTGTGTAGAGCAGTCCAGGATTCCTGCACTTAATGCCTGTCCAGACACAGGACAGGCTGCCAGCTCCCCGTGGAGACGTGACGGAGCTCGACCAGTACGAGCTCCTCGACGTTGATCTGGTCCAGACTCCAGTCTGCACTCGAGCACGCGACGCCTCGCATGTCCTGCGCCAGTGAGCTTTAGATCGTGATATTACTGGGACGGTGGAATAGCACTCACACTCTTTAGTAGCCTGACGTTCTTGGCGATCTCATGTGCAAGCTTGGCGATGGTAATCGGCCTGGTTTCGTACGAGTGGTCGAAGGCGTGCACGACCTGGCTCCACGATTGGTATCCAGGCCACTATCAATAGCTATTCAGCTTGCTAATACATCTGGATAAGTCGCTGGAAGACGTACGTTGATACGGATAGTGATCTTCTTCGCCTGTTCTGACAGTTGCGGCACGTCGTTGCCGCGGGCCAAGTTTTGGAAGACCCTGTTGAGGGCGTTCGAGAGGCGCATGCCCGGTCGCCCTCCTTCGTAGAAGCGAATGGTATGCAGTTGGGTGAACTGCCCGGGTGCAGTGTACACTGGCTGAGGTACGACGATGCCAGGCAGCTCAGGCTCGTTGAAGTCCATGAAAGTGTGGTAAGGAGCCTGCAAAATGCTCGTAAGTACTCTTGTATCCCCGTGCGCCCATGTTCCTTACCATTTTCAAGTGTTAGATCCTTGCGGGTGAGTATGGGGTGTGGTGCGGCGTCGATTGCTGGATGCCTTCTCGTCGCAGTCTTATGGGCCTTATAACACACATTGTTTTCCATTTTCCAACCGTCAAGCATCGCATGCTCGTAGACATCGCACTCGCACTTTTTTGCGAGCACAAGCTAGCGAACGCTCTGTCGGCAAGCGCAACCCGTCACAACGTCCAATGGTGGCGACCATGACCCTTCCAGTTGGCTATCCTAGTGATAGGACTGTCAGAGCTGCGCTTGTTGTCTTGTGACATGTGCCCTAAGTCCGAAATGCAACTCTACGAAGATAGCAAAAGTGAGCGAACTTCGCGCCCAGAAACCGAACGATCCACTGACTGCACCACTCTCGAGCACAGGGCGCAGTCGTACATGGCAGCATTTGCCACCTTCGCCACACTTCTGGTCTGCTTTTTTGCCGTGGTTTAGGGTGGAACCATCATAGCGCAGCAGTGAGCTTGCATGCACTCTGACAGCATTCGGACTGAGGTCACTTTCGTCACGAGGACAGGGCCCACGGTGACATCCGGAGACATCTGGGCTTTGCAAGCTGCCGGAACCGTATTGATGGTTGTCGCGCAGTTGGACCCTAGCCCGGCGATGATGCAACTAGGGAATAGCCTCCATCATGCCACGCTACTTGACTATTCGGGCAGGGGATTACAAGAAGAGCATAGCTGATGCTGTCGCCTCTTGCTGCGGACACGGAAAACACTCCGTTATCTACGGTACCGGCATATGTACGTTAGACGAACCGGGCTGCCCGCTACATGTCTGCAAAAAATTCTGCGCTTGCATTCAAGTGTCAATGGGCTTTGCGAGCCTCCGTCCGCGGATGGTATTGCTCCCGCGCTAAGCCGTACAGCCCCGGAGCCACCGCGCCGCTCCGGTCGGCATACCGCCGGAGGCGCCTTCCCATCCGCCATACTAGGAAGCGGAGCTAGAGCTAGTTTACTCGCAACCCCGACATACCGAAGACAGTCCGCTCGGGAGCCTCCCGTTCGTAGGAAATCCTGCAAGCCTGCAGGCTAAACTCGTGTGCGCCACTTCATGCTGCAACATTCGGGATGTCGTTGGGAGCTCGGGTTCGCTTCAGAACATCCTACGGTACATTTATGGCCGGATTGCACTGGCGGAATGCTTCACCACGTCTCCCTCGGCCAGCGGCAGCCCCTCCTACTGGCTTGTTATGATTAATACAATCGGTACCAGCCGCCCCCTCAGCACTTCCGGGTGTCATGGGCACGCTGCCTAGGGTCCCTTGACAAGGCATGAGGGCAAATTCGCCATTTTCCGACCGCGAGGGTATATAAGACGACTGCTATAGCGCACTAGTTTTGCAGCATTCCGCCGCCGAAATCCCAGTTTTAACGCCTCAGGGACTCGCCAGGCAGGATGGTAAGTGCTTCCTCACTATACAAGGGAGAACTTTGCCTCACTCCCGAAATACAATGCGGCAGGACCAGAAATACAACAGGCCAAGTGAATACCACACATTCGTGGACTACCCTATGGTAGCGCCAGGAATCATTGTACCGCAGGCGGCCGACAACCGGCTCAGTCGTGCAGAATCTCTAACCAACGTGCAGTTCGTTGTCAAGGGTCTTCCCACGCCCGGGCTCCGCCTCGGCCCCTCCGCAGTGCTACCACCACAGCTGGCAAATTTGCAGGATGATGGGCCAATACGACTGCTCTATGGAACGAGCGAGCTTATCATCAGAATAATGGTGGGTTCCAACAGCTCGCCCGCCTGTTCTCGGTTGAGCCTGACGCACCGTTGCAGTGGCCAGGATACCCAAGCTGGGATAAGCGAATCACAGCGGGGAATAGCAACGCCCAGGTACCTCTAGCCAAGTTCGCAGCCCTGGTCGCTGGTACGATTCAGCAGTTTCTGGAGGTCAGTTGCGTCGTGCATCGCGTTCCACGTACTGACGAGGGTGTCGCAGGACATGTCAAATAAGCCGTCGAACGAGGCCCGTAGTGATTGGTGGATCTCTCAGATCGGTATCGAGTCCCTGGTATTGCTGGAAGTTCGGAGGACTGGTCCTGGCACCTGGCAGCCTATGCTTTGTCGTATAGTGTAGACGAATCGCATTCCCGTACAATTTATACCATTGACCAGCCCGTCCGATAAGCTTTGGGGGCTTCAGCTCTAGCGTTGAATGGTCCGGAACAGATCGAGGCACCTGCGAGACTGGGCTTGCAATTTCACCTGAAGTGGTGAGGGTTCGCTTGTCCTTGAATTGAGTTAAGCCTAAGGACCCTTTCCCGAGTTCTTCCCGGACCCTTTCTGCCCTTACACGAATCATACCGGAAGGAGTGCGAAGCTTCAGCTAGCTGGGAGAAGGAGGAGAGCATCCAACGTAATCACCTCCCGGCGGAACACCACACCACGCCAAGATCCAGAAGGACGTATGCCACCGAGGACCCTAGCCATCAGCGACGTTAGCGCTAGTGGACCCTTGTCGGGCGTGGAAAGCGAGGCCTCGGACGTGGTGTTCTCGTGAGCCGGAAGCGAGCAATAAGGAAAAGTTGGCTACCGCGATTATTGCGCCACAACGGCCACCGGATGTGCTGATGTAGCATGTGAGCTATCATGAGCTCCTACGCCAGCTGCGGAAATTCGCGGAAGCTGCCTGGGACGAGCGAGGAAAGGGTTCATGTCGGGGTAGGTGCTTCCATACAAGCCAAGCTTACCTTCCCAGGCGCGTCATTGATATGCTCCACGGCACAGACTAGCATGCTCTCATCGAACTCTCTGATTCATGCCGAGGTAGCCATATCGCAGTTTCGCAGCGGCGTGCACCCGATTACTACAAATGTAACACGGTTCAGTATGAGGGTAGATCGGTAAGGATGGGGGGATTGGGTATGAACTCATCGTGTTTCCCTGCTGCTTCTGCTTGGAAGCTACATATCTTAAGGATAGAAAGGTAGGGAGGCGGCTTAGTGCACGGGTAAGGCTCCGCCTGCAGCGCTTTGGCACTGCCTGGCTGTGCTCAGGCGCCTATCAAACCGACGCCATCACGTGACATGTTCAAGTTCAACTCGCTTCTCGCGCGGCTTGGGTCTCGTCCATCGTCCATCTCCCGGCATGGCCGCATCGTAAGTCACCCATTCTTCATAACACCCGACATTTCTGCCTTGTGGATATATTTGGGACACGCATCGAAGACTACCCCCTCAATACCGACGCCTCCGAAGGCGATACACCGACACCATGTTTTCCAAGCTGAACAGCATTCTCAAGCCGCGCCCTGGCACATCTCTTTTAACCACGGACGATGAAGGCTCCTCCTCTAAGGCGGATGTAGTAAGCCGCGTCAAAGACCTCCATCCGAACATGTCGATATTCCACAAAGACGACTCCGAGGTCCCGTTTCCCACACCCAGCCCTCCGATGTCCCCATCCAAGCAACGCAAAGGGGGGATGTTGAAGAGAATGTCGAGGGTAGCCAGCGATGGAGCGTACGACAGTATGCCACGAATTGGGCTCCCAAAGAAGGTGAAGTCGACCCTTGCGAATCTTGCCACAGGTGCGTTCCGGGGTCTTTGATATGTTTGTGGCGTCCTAATCGCACGCCAGGTTCTGACGCCTCAATTGGACGCGCAAGCGCAGAGCTTTTTGCTCGTCAATCTCAGGATACCTCTCGAACTTCTGCAGAGAGTATCCGGACACCCATCACACCCATTTCAGATTCTAAGCTCCCTGCGGACGGGAAGTTTGGCTCATTGCGCTCGATCCTTAAACCTGGTAACACGCCGGGCACAGGTCAGAGTGTTCGCTTCTTCTCGAGAGACGCCTATCGCGTCATCACCCCTGAGGTCACCAGCGCAAGCGAGATGGAAGACTCGAGATTCAATCGCTTGCAGAAGTCAGCTGCACCTAGGCCAACCGTCCAGCAGGTCTTTACCGCGCCGCCGCCTACACCGCCGCCACTGCCAAAGGATTCCAATCCTATCACGCCCGGCTTGGCCTCGATAATCGCCCCAGTATCGCCGCCTGACGTCGGCAACATCTTTGGCGCATCCGCGTTCGAGCTGCCCGCTATCCCCACCGATCTCGGTGCCCCGCTCCTCGACTCTGCCGTGGAGATCTCTGATACTGATGACCAGAGGTCCATGTCAGCTGAATCTGTTGAGAAGGAGCAAGAGAATAATACTTTGTCAGCATCGCCGACCCTGAAGTTGGGTAACCCCACACCAGACCGTAGTCATTCCTTCAGCTTTGGGCAGACCGTCTTCCGCTCAGCGGTTGAGGCGGCTGCGGAAACATCACCGGTGAAGCCCTCTCCGACACAGCGAAATCGTGCTTTCAGCGACACCATTTTCACCACCTTGGCCCATTCTCCGGTTATCACTGTGGCCGAACCGAAACCTCCGGAAGCAAGCATTAATGATAACTCCAAAGCAGTTGTTGCCCATCAGTCCAATATGAAAGAGCGCGATCCGTTCGCCGCGAACGCCTCCACGTACTACACGCCAGGCACTATGCTTCCGCCATCACCGCCTCAATCAACGCATACACGTACCGCTTCTCGTGAGGAGGATCTCATATGGTCCCTTCGGACCCAGCTCGCGGTCCAATCGGAGCTCTGTGCGCAGTATCAGGTCGACCTCTCTGCCAAAGACGAGCTCGTGGAGATACTCAACTCTCGTCTTGGCGAGTCCGAAAAGGAGCTTGAGCGGCGGAAGAACATTGTTCGCAACTGGCGCAAGCGGGTCACGGAGCTTGAAAAGTGCGTAAAAATGCTCGAAGAGGAGGTCGACCGCAGTCGCGAAGTGAGCGCCGACCGCAGCGTCATGGATGAAGCTAGTAGCGAAGCGCTCCGCATGCTTCACTGCCGGATCAACGACCTCGAACGTGAAAACCAGGAAGCGGATCAGCGGGAAAGGGACCTCCAATCGCAATTGAAATCTGCGAACGCCCGGCTCGCGAAGGCGCAGGACGAGCTGCAGACGCGCGACGAGAGTGACCGCGAGCTGCAGGCGGGCATTAATGCCGCCAAGGAGGAAATGGAGCAGATGGGCAGGTTCGATATACAGACCCTTGAGGTTCGAGAGCGCCTACAGTCGATGAAGTCGGCATGGGAGGTGGAGCGCACGGCTCTCGTTGCCACCAACGACGCCCTGCGCAACGACCAACTCACCCTGCAATCCAGGCTCACCGGTCTCCGTGAAGAGGTCGTCCGCAAGGAAGAAGAACTTGCAGTGCTCAAGGCTGAGCTCGAGGCGCAGTGGAGGCACACCGAGCAGAATACCGATGACGTCGAACGGCTCCGGAAGGAGCGGGACGCCCTCGCTCGGGAAGCAGATGAACTCCGCGGGAAGCTTACTAGCTTAGACGCTCATAGAGACGAGCACGAGAACCGGCGCCGCCAATTGGAACGCGAGCTTGAAGAGGCTTGGGTCGCGCGGGACGAGCTCGGGAGAGAGCGGCAAGAGGTACGTTATGCAGCGCCATCTGAGAGTTTGATCATGCTCACGGATTCTCTTCGTAGCTGGAGAAGCAGCTGCGGGCTGAGCAGAATCACACTGAGGAGCTCACGAGGGCCCTTCAGGAGCGAGAAGACCGCGTCTCTCACCTCGAGCAGGAGCGCAAGTATGCGTACGACAGCATGTCTCGCCTGCAGGAGAACCTTCGGCAGCGAGACGCTGAGCTTGCTCAGTACAACGAACGTATTCGGGAAGCTGAGGCCGAGGCCGAGGAACTCCGCGATGGCCTCACCAGACAGAAGCGCGAACACGCACGCATTGTCGACGGGCAGAGCCGCAAGATCTCGGAAGTCGTCGCACGAGAGGTTGAGGCGCGTCATACATTGGAGAGGCTTGTCAGAGAGAAGGCGGAGGATGATGGCGCAGCAGACAGTCTGAAGGAGCGTGTCACTGCACTCCAGAACGAAGTCGACAAGCTTCGCAAGCAGGTGCACGTTCTGCAGCAGGAGAGCGCAGATAAAGAGGTCAAGCTTGCGCAAGCTGTGAAGCAGAGGGCGCAGGACAAAGAGGACATGCAAGGCCTCAACATTGCGCTCGACTCGAAGCAGCAGGAACTAGAGCTGGTGAGTGACTTGCAGGTCGATCTCTGCTGCGTAATCATACCACTTCCGCAGCTAAAGAGGCGTATGGGCACTCGCGCGTCGATTAGTCAGTCAACTGCGACCAAGCCCGCCGCCCGCCGAGAATCATCCATCTTTACTACGCCGAGCGTTGTCCGGCCTTCATCCGCCATGTCAGACGCTAGTAGTTCAGCAAAGGAACCTGCGACCGTCACCAAGTCGAACTTAACCCGACGCCCTCCCAGCATGATTATCAACGCTGCAACAAAACGCATGGAATCCGTGAATGCACCCACTGCAAGACCCCGTTCTTCTCTTTCGCCACCTTCCTCTGCCACTACGAGCCGCCCGCCCTCCTCTTACGTTTCGCGCTCCAACTTGGCTGCGCCCCTTGCGCCAACACACCGCCGTATGTCGTCGTCGCTCGAGCCGCTTCGCAAGAAGCCCGTCTCAGGTAACGAGTCCGGCACGGCGAGTGCCAGCGAGAAGGAGAACATCAAAGACAGGACGCCCGTCGCAAAGACTAGCCGCCGACAGAGCGTCGTGTTCCCCTCATAACGTACCCCGCGCATCCTTAATCATCCTCTACATTACTGTATTGGCTAAGGTACCCCCAACACCCGAAACGAACGCGCGGATACCCATCTTCCTCGTCATGTCCATCACAATCTTTTCCCACAACATACCTGCATCCTTCACTGCACGCTTCGATTCACTCACGCACACACACACACATACCGATCAACTCGCTCTGCGCGCCCCCTCGCCTCGTCCGCTGTCCTGTGTATCCTTCTTGCTCTCCTTCCCTCCCCGTCTCGATTTTTCATTGTCGTCAGTCTGTTCCGTCATCGTGCAATCCCCACCAATCTTTGTACTTCTATCCAGTCACGATCCAGTCACGTCCTCTATCTTCCATTGTCGATTATATGCCCATCCACCAATCATTCTCTCACTACCTTTTTTTTCTTGCGCATGAAGGACAATCGTTCGCGCATGCTGTGTATCATTCGATCGTTGGCAGTCAAGCAATGTGACATGTGGTGTTATAGATATGTGCGCTTCGTGGAGGAAGCTGCTGTAGCTATAGGCGAGTGTCTGCCGAATATAGATGGTGAAGTGCGGTAGTCGGTGGTGAAGACGTCTCTGTCCTCATCCGATAGATGGTGAAGTTGGGCACACTTTGAGGATTGCGCGGCAGAGCCACTGGGCGACTAAGGTCGTTCTATGCGACCAGATCATGTTACGTTCCTGACTAATTCTACATTTGCTTTAACTTTTGTCGCTGATAAGTAATGCTACACTGCTCAGAGCTTCGAGGCAGAGATGAACGTGACGCCCTTCTCGACGTTGGTGGCGAGCTCAGGAAGCGCAGCCTCGACAAGGGTCTTCTCGTAGTCGGTAAGCTTGCCGAGGGGCTTGATGCTTGCGACACCCTCAGGCTGCGTGAGTGTATCAGCACACACTCAACACACGCAGAAGGAAGGGGACGTACGCCAAGCTCGACAGGGGCCGAGAAGTACTCGAGTTCCTTGCCGATCTCCTTCTTGAGCGCCTCGCCGCCCGCGGGATCGGACGCGAGGTGGACAAACGTCGGGGCGACAATGCCCTTCTCGCCCTTGATAGCGCGGATGACCTTGCTCGCGAACTCGGCGCCGGCGTACGCCATCGAGAGCGTCGCGGAGCCCGCGCCGTCCTTGGCCTTCACGACCTCGTCGCCGCCGTACTGGATCCGGTTCGTCAGCTTCTCGAGATCGCCCTGCGCGAAGCCGGACGGGAGCGCGGCCGAGGACTGCGAGAGGAGGGGCACGATCTGCAGGGGTGGATGGGTGTGTCAGCGCGTGGCCATAGCGGAGGAAGCACAAGCTGCTGCACACCGTAACGCCGCTGTGGCCGCCGACGACGGGGACGCTGATTGAGGGTGCCTTGCCCAGGTCACCGAGGACCTCAGCCACGAATGTTGACGCGCGGACGACATCGAGCGTGGTGACACCGAAGAGGCTACCTCGCTGATGAGTACTAGCGGTATCGGGAGCTTGTAAACGCGGATCTCACCGCTTGGGTTCAAAGACGCCGTGCTGCTTGAAAATCTCAGCGACGATGGGAACAGTGGAGTTCACGGGGTTGGAGATGACAAGGACGAAGGCCTTGGGGGCAGTCTTCGCAATACCGGTGGCAAGGTCGCGTACGATGCCCGCGTTGATCTGGTAAAGGATAAGTATACAGTATGTATGCGACTAATCTGGCGTACCTTAAAAAGATCATCCCTACGCGTCGCGATGCGCTCTTAATTCTCTCTTTGCTTTGATCAGAGTAGGCCGCTTACCTAGTCATCTGCAAAAACGCGTCAGCATGAGACGTTTCAGAGAGAAGGAACCACGCACTCCTGGCTTACGAGGGACGCCAGCAGGGATAACGACAATATCGGCACCCTGGAGGGTCTTGGCCAAACCATCATCAGGGGGAAGGTAACCGACGACCTTCGCAGGGGTCGAGATGTGAGACAGATCTGCGGCGACACCTGGGGTGTTGACGATATCGTAAAGACCCAGCTATATGAGAGCAGCTATTAGTTTCGTGGCATTGCCCAAACGCGACCACGTACCTCAGTAACGGAAGGGTTAGTCTTGAGCAACAGCGACAAGGGCTGGCCGATACCACCTGCACACGTCTCTCAGCTTACCATCCCAACGGACCCAACATCGTGTACGTTACCTGCGGCACCGAGAACGACGGCCTTGACCATGATGAGAGACGATAGAGGAGGTGAGGGGAGAGAACAAGAGGCGATTGCGGATTCTGCAGCCCTATGGAGGATTTCGTGCCATTTAACCGCGATCGGTCCGGATTGGGGAGGAAGAACCGCAGTGCCGTACACGTTTGAATCCGCGCAGATCCAGCTGGTCAAATGATGAGATTGCGCGACATGAACGTATTGAATCCGTGCAGCGATGGCACGACAGACTTTGAAGAAATCGCGTCTCGATTGCTGAATATTTTGGATAAGATTGTGTGATTTGTCACGTCAAGCGAGGGGCGCCACACCCGGTCTCGCTTCGCACAGTCCCAAAAAATATTCACACGGCGCGGAAATACGTCTACATGCTGGTGGCGTCCACACACATTCACAGCCTGAGTCAGGGCTCTCATGAAAGTGTCCAAGGCCAGGAGATATATAAGTAGCGCAATATTTGACCAATGAATTGATAGAAGAAGAAAGGCAGCTTACATCTTGTGATGCACTGAAATTTTGGAACAAGCAGCCGTTGCACACGCGTTCTACTCCAACCAACTGATCAAGCATCTTCGGCACAATAAGCACAACACACTCAAGTAACCATATACAAATACTTCACAACTACACATCTATTATTATTTAAATCTCATTCTTTGGTCATCTGTACGGAGGCGTTATAACAACTCGTGAAAACTATACACATTATTTCCCAGAAACCCCGATTTAACAAGAAGCATCAAGAACGAACACAGATGAGGAAGAAGTAGCAAAGAGCCCAGGCCGTAATATCACATCATGCCTCCCAGCTGTCGAAGATTGCGAGCGCGCGCGTCAGCATATCGACATTGAGCCCGCGCAGCCTAAGACACTTCTGGAACAGCTTCTTTTCCACAGGGTGTTGAACCTTGGACGCGAGGTGTTGGCCGGCCACCAGGGATTTGACGGCGCCCGCGACGAGTCGTTGCTTGTGCACGTTGATTAGAGGCTCCAGCTGCACAGTCGGCGGGAGCGGGGCTAGGTTAGAGAAGACTTCGGGGTGCGCCGGCGGCTCGAACGTATTCGTCTCCGGGTCGATCCTGACAGGTTCATGTGGCGCCGTCGGGTCAATGAGGTCAGGTAAGCTGCTGTATCTGTACAATTCAGACAGATAAACACCTGGAGAGGAGTCAGCACAAGGAGCGCCAACAAGTCGGGATTAGACACACCGAAGAAGGGTATACAAGCAGGCGGTGTCGGGGGATTGCCTTCAGAGGCAGCGCGACTTCGAGTCGCTGACTGCGTCTCCGCATTGGGGGTGGCAGAGTCCGGAGACCCTGGCTTAGCCTCTGCCAAGCTGTCGATAGTAGTTCGGATGTGTTTGAAGTCGCCGTCGCTGGTGGTCCACTGCTGCAAGTCGCGGAGCATGCGGCTCTCCCATATACCCGGCTTGTCGTTGCTTTGACGCAGCGCCCTTTTGACCCAGTGACTATCCAGGCCAGCGAGGATCGCTACTAAGGCATTGAAGTTCCTAAGGCTGTATGCTTTCTAGTGACACGGTCAGTGATATGGGCACCACAGACAGAGTGGCACCGCTCACCCAAGCAATGCGAACAAACTTGCTGAACACCATCAACCGCTCGCTGGGATGCGTGATGACAATCTCCGCAATCACAAAGTTCGCCATCAGGTTGAATCGGCCGCGTATCGCAGTGAGGCCCGACGTCCTGGCCGCACTCGGGTCTCCAGACTTTGTCTTCCGGTCCTTCATGAACTGGCCCCAGTCCAGGATGTTATACTCCTCAGACGGCACCATCCAGTCACTCTGGGACACCAGCTCCTGGAACTTAACGCCCAGGAACAGCTCGCGGTCGATCATCGTGAAGTGGTGCATCAGCGTGTCCGACTTATACCCGAGCACGAACGACCGGTGCCGCGTCAGGTTCTTCTCTTTCACGAATGAGTTTGCGCTCGGGATCGTGGTGGGCAGGTTCGCAGGGGGCGGCAGGGGCCTCTCGGCCGACGGAGAGCCCGCAGAGGTTGTCGGTCGCGAAGGCACGCGGCTCCGCAGAATCTCAAACGGCACGACGTCCTCAGGAGCGGGCTTGCCGTTGCTCGACGGCACCGAGTGCCCAAGACCGGGAGGAACGACCGGTGCTTCCGGCTCTTCTGGCGTGGGGAACGCCACCGCAAACGGCGATTCGTGGTGCGCCGAGCTGACAGAGTTGCGCGAGCTGCTGATGCGGGGTGCAGAGGAGCGAGAGACGCTGCCCCGGCTGACGACCGCGCGCTTGCCGTTGCCATTCATGCTGCTTTGGACCTCCCCGTAGTCCTCTTCGTCGGACGAGTACCGCCGGCGATCAGACCCAAGCTGCCCGTTGGCGAGCCTCTCGCGGATGCTCTGCACCCAGCCATCGACCTTCGTCTGCTTGTGGCGCTGCTGGTCTTGGTTGATCTGACCCTCCAGGCGTCGCAATGCGGCCTCCACGTCTCCGGACTCTTCGTCGTCGCTGAGCGAGTCCACAAGGGCGTTCATCTGCCATTGCTGGATCGGCCCCGCGAACTCGGCGCTGCCGGACACATGTGCAGAAGAGACGACCGACGAGCCTCCAGAGAGCACCGAGTCGTGCGTACGGATACCCATCGATGACGCGCTCTCAACGGACTGGCGCACGAACTCAAAGTCCCGCCGATTGGGAAGTCTCCGCGGGTTGTGTCTTCGCAGGCCCACACCGGTCGGGAGAGGCTCCCTCGGGTCTTCCTCTGACGAAAAGTCAGAAAGCGTGTCAAGCTCGTCGATCGAAACGATGTCCATCCGGTCCGTATGGAACCGGGACCGCCATCTCTGGTTGCCAGAGAACTCCACCGAGGTGTCGTCTGACATGACCGAGGAGCGTATGGAGGACTGAAGAGAGGAGTGCAGCAATGAGGCTGGAGGGGACTGCGCGCGAGCGGATGGAGTAGTAGGATCTGCCTCTATTTCAGGCGCGGGTGCCACTTCTTCGCTCGGCTCTGGAGCCTGATCGGGCACAGGAACGGGCACGGGCTCATCCTCGATGGTACCGCCTTCGTCTGACGCCTCGCGAACCGGTTCAAGAGACTCGACCAGGGTGTCTTGCTGGCTGATGGAGGACAGGTGGTGGTTCGTCGCGATCTCGTACGACGGCAGGGAGTCGACCGTCCTGGATATTCGGAACATGTGGTTTGCTTTCCGCGCCGTCACCTGCGTCTCGATCATCTTCAGGTATTGCTCGACGCCGCCTTTGACCATCAGCAGGTCACCTGTCTCGCTGGCCTCAAGGTCAAACGCCGTAGCATTCACACAAGCGGTGCCTAAATTGAGAGGTGGTCGCATCGGGGCCCTCGCGTTGGTGGTCCTGTAATTCAGAACACGCTTCCATCGGCCCAGCCGACCGATAGCGTTGACGACTACGCGGGAAAGCGAGCTATGTCCGGCAGGCAGGGAGAGTTGAGAGGAAACGACGGTGGGCGGTGAGCTTGAGAGTGTCTGCTTGCCACCGTACTGCAGGAACGCGAGGTGGAGCGGCTGTCGGAGCATGGCCAGGTCAACGGCAGACGAGGGATTAGCGAGTGGGGCTGCTGAGGGGCTAATGCCAAAGTCAACTCGGGACGAGTCCACGCCATCGAGGCTCAGATCAAGGTCGGTATCGTCTTCATCCCTGTTCACCGCTTTTCGCAAGGCCTCTGCAAAATTACCGCCGGACAGATCTCCCAAGCTCTGCGGAGTAGGAGGCACGGGAGGCTTCGATTTGGCCTTTGCTTTGCCTGCAGAGTCCTTCGACTCTGTGTACGCGTTCTTGCAATCTCGAACGACTTTGCGTAATTTGACGACAATGCTCTAGACAGCACAGCAATCAGTCGGTATCCCTGTGGTGAAGAATTGGCGCACTGACCATAGCGTCTTTGTGTCGTGCCAAAACGCGATCTTTACGAAGGCTGTTGAGCCAGTCGGCAAACAGGGCGCGAAGCTCTGGGTTGGGGACGAAATCGACGCTGAAGAAGGTGAGAAGCCAGTACCGGATGGCGATGAACGTCCTGACGCGGACGATGCGCCTGACCATCTCGTCCCGCGTGGACGTGGGCTGCGCCAGCGCCCAGTGGAAACGGCAGATGAGGAGGTTCCCGAGGTCGTAGGCACTGATGTACGTTCGGTACGTCAAGAAGAAGAGAAGGAGCTCGTCGTAGTTGAGCTCGCTTGTCAACTGGGCGATCCAACGTTCGATCGTCGCGGCGACCAGCACCCTCTTGGACGGATCTTCAGACGGCACACGGACATGCGGGGTGTCTGGCGAGCCCTTCGTGCTCTTTCGTCGTGATCCGACCGAGTTCGACGGCGACATGTCAGTCGTACTCCAGGAGGGACTGATACCATCGAACGTGTCCGTCTGGACTTCTCCCCAGATGACGAATCGCGGATCATCCCTGGGTGCCGCGGACTCCTCCGCCTTCAAGGACAGACGAATGGTCGTCTGGTATGGATCCATGGCGATGCTATCGATGGAAGCCGGGATGCCCCTGTAGTTTTGCAGCACGTCGAACAGATCGGTGGCGTACAGCGACTGCACGGTGAGCTCGGCCAGCGCCTCGAACTTGGGCTCCTCGGCCACGAGGCCGTCCAGCTGCGACGTCGACTCGTCCTCGGGTATCGTCGCGCTGTCGTCTGACAACCGTGCGCGCTCCTTGCTGATGCGAATGGACTTTGGCGACGAGTCTGCCGCCCGCGCGGTCAGCCCGGACTCGAAGGACTGCATCTCACGGAGAACGGGCGGCGACGTGAGGTGCGATGGCGAGTGGCAGGCCGGTGTGTCGAAGGCGACGCCCCGGCCGAACGGATGCCGTACGGCGTCCAGCGATAGCTGATAGTCCACGGCCCTCTCGGACGGCGTATAAAAGCCATGCGACGAATGAAGCTGAGAACTAGAACTGAGGGGTGAGCTGGGCACGCTGCTCCAGGACATGACCCCGGCGAAAACATCCTGGGTCTGTACGGGAGCCACAGAGGTGATGGACGGAATCGGAGGACGGAAGGCATCCACGCTTGACACGCTGTGAGCATGGGGCCGGCCCGTGGGTATGACAGGTGGCGGAGGCATGGATGCCGACGGCTCCGCAGTGGGCGATGCCAAGTTGGGTATGGACCGAGTCTTTCTGAGCCTACGCACAGGAGGCGAGTGGCTGCCGTCCTGGTTGCTGGAGGATGATGACCTTGGCGGGGGATGAACTTGGCCGTTCTTGAACATGGAGGGAGGGAGGAAAGAGTTGATGCTCATTCTCGAGCGCCGCTTAGGGTGCGGAGGATGTGCTGATGAACCTTGCGCTAGAGACGACGAAGCAGTGGACTCGACGCTGGTCGACTTGGTTCTGCTGCTGTGGCCGTCGACGTCGTCTACACTGGATGCCGCCGGTGCAGACATACCACGGTGACTGAGAGGGTCAGCTTTCAAGCAAAAACGAGATGCTTAGCGCACTCACCCGACACGGTACATCTGCTTTCCGTAAATGTTCACGAACGCGGTGATCGCGTATGGAGACCGCACGTCCTTGCCCACACCCAAGTATTGGTCGTATCTACGCTTGATTTCACGCGCCGCAGCTCCAGAGGATGTTTCCACGAAGCTAAAGTCCGCTGCAGGGAGCGTTAGCAGGCGAAAGCGCGGATACACGAAGAGGACTCACGGGCTATCGAGATGTCTGCCGAGGCAATGTCTGGAGGCAGGTCGCTCAGATCGACTACAGCCTCTTCTCCGCGCCCGTCTGGGTGCACGTAGGTTGATTGCGCTCGCGATGCGGACGGGGTGGGCAGTGGAAGGACGATGGGTGCATTCGGAAGGTTGGGGTGGGATTCGGTAGGACGGGCGCCGGGTACATCGTACAAATGCAGCACCGTATCAAGTTCAGTCGCAAGCGAAGCAGAGAAGGCGCGGATATCGTCGTTCGTATCTTCACCAGCGGGTTGAGCCGAGTGGTGGTCTGCTGCGAGACTCGCGCGGTGTGATGGGGCTATCGGGGTCGCCACCCGCGATGAGTCGTCGTCACCCTCTGCTGCGCCTTTGTACGTGGTCGTCGCCATCGTGTCAAGTTCGTAACGTTACAAGCAGCTGAAATATCGTGTCGCGCCGGCTTAGCAGACGGTCTGAAACATCACGCGGGTCGGGACCGATCTTCTGTAAGACACCGCGGGTGTGATCCAGTGCCGACAAGACGGTTGTCGTCCAAAGGTCGTGAGCGGGATGTGAGGACGGGTATTGACGAAAAAAAACAGTGGAAATGGACAGCTTTCAAGAGACAAGGTCGTCCCTCCCTTAACTACACCGACGCTTATGTAAGCCGACTTATAACCGCAAAAGGCAGCTCCTATAATATCACGCCTGTTTCACACAAGTTACCAATCATGCACCCGTTAACCGACGTCTTGTAGACTCTTCGAAGAGGCGTTCTTGATGTTCCCTTGTCTTTGAGTGGCAGGCGAAGGCGCCGCAGGAGGACTAGTGAACCGTATTCCAGCGATTTTCGCGGGAAAAAGACCGACCACTTCCCACTAGTAATACCACAGGCGGCGGGAGTTGAGTCTTTCGTACCAGACCCGTCCAGGCTCAGCCGGAGCAAGATATGTTCTCGGCGGCCTCCAGTGTTGCACTACTGCATCCGGCACGCACCGCTGTCTTGGGCGCATCAAAGACGCGTGTTGCGTTCCTTGCCTGATTAGGAGATGCCGACAGTGTGCCAATTCCTCGACCCAACAACGAACGTTGCGCGGACTGTTGTGTCGTCACAACCTGCCCCCAATGCGTGGCGCTTGAGACTCTGATGACATGCCGCCAACTGGATCCTCCCCTTCCTCCCAAGGGATTGTGACTGTATTCTAATGAACATGCCGTCACGGTTGGCAGTGCTAAAGTACATAGCTGTCCTCCGGCGAAAGTCAGGGCAGTGCAGTGCGGAGTAATGCTCTGCATGACGATCAATCAGCACTACGGTGAGAAAGATGCTGCGAAAACGAAGAGATGCGGTATAAATGACTAACTGTGCGAGTCACGGTACAGCGCTCCCGGGCCACTACCCAGCCGTGGCTGTAACCACTCATTTAATTCCTAGTACCAGTACCAGGCTAGGTGTCTTGTAGCCGTGGCTCTGACGTCAGTCGTTTGCGGTGCAAGGTATAGATGCGTTGTGTCAGCTTGAGTGTGGGGCTGACCACGGGCGAGTTTGCTGCATACCCTGTCAGTGAAAACCTTTCTCCATAGGCTGCAGGAATGGTAGGATATATTTGTGGCCTTTCCCGCGGTCCAAACCGAAAAGCCCCGCATGCAACATGCCGTAAGTCGGACTTAGCGAGGTACGTATCGCACGGGGCTGCTCATAGGGTATTTACCGTGGCGGTGAGTCAGCGTTGGTCATAGGGGGCATGCGCTGCGCCGAACGGACAGCCATCCTAGGACAAGTCAAAGAACTGAGGCATCCGCAAAGCAACGGAGCCGCGGTCATTGTTATGCTCTGTTTGGCTCCAGATCCAGATCGTACGTTATTGATGGCGGTGTACCGGCCGAAAAAGGCATGCCATGACATTCCCCTCCGTCGTTCGTCTCCAAGGTCTATCCTGGAGATACTGCCCTCCTTCAACCTGTTTCCCCGGCTCACGTATCGATATGTGTATTATTTTCTCAAGAGCTGGCTCGGACACGGCTGGGGGAGAAATTACCTCTCCCGCTACCTCCTGGTAGTCCGCGGAAATGCGACCCTGGGGACTCGCCGTTGCCGTCTCTACGTCGGCATTTGCAAGGCCCTTCCTTCTATCTGAGCGACACGTAAAGGCCTTTACCCCTGGCTGCGACTGGATAGCTGCCCTCGCAATAAGGTTCGCTTAGATTGGCCTTCCCCCATAGCTCCCGGACCTTCTGGGGACTTCCGCTGGCGCCGGTTCATCCCGCGTGCCAATGCATCTGTCATGTTTCGGACTATAGCTGCACCTCTTCTACCGTTTCACTAACCTGGAAGGGCAGCTTCTACAGATCAGCGCACTGGCTGGGGACGCGGAAAGGGCCTGGCCCTTGCGTCTCACGCCGAAACCTCGTGGCCGTTGTGCACATTCGACCGGTTTCTCGTGGAATGAAAGTATACAATGTACAGCTCTCATCCCCTGAAATAGCATGTATTACCTTGCATGAGCCGTCTCATGCGGCTTCTCGATTTCGAGGGTGTTATGAACGCGAAACTCATGTCGACGGCTCGCTGTACATTCCCGCCGATTTTCTCCGTTCAGTGCACGGGTCCGCGCTCCGACAAGTCATCTGGTTGTATAAGCAACCAGCGACTGGTAAAATCTCTCAAGGACTAGCCGCTGCAGGCTCGTCCCCACTGATCCGAGGAGCGACGTGATATTTTGGCATTGTTGTCGCGGCGAGGAGTCATGCTGTTCGCGACAAGAGGGCAGCTACATGAATTGGGCGCCGTCTAGAAAGATCACTACTCTCTGCTGAGCCTTGTTGCACCTGGCACACTGCCCTGAAGCCACTGACAGGATCATTAATGAGACTGTTACTGCAGCGAGGCGCTGAGCGGGTACCCCGGGTGAGTGCCTGGAGGGCCAGCCAGAATGGCGGGGACCTCTTTTCTACTGGATGATAGGTTCTGCGAGAAGCTAGACTGTGGAGGGTGCGCTGAGGCAGAACTCTCGGCGGGGCAACCTAGTAGCTCGCTGCTGCAAGCACCCGCAGATCGGTCATCAGATCTTCGGAACATTCCGCCTCTTGCGCATCGTCCTTGCCCAGCGACGCCTTTTCCAGGCGTTCGCACGGCGCAGCAGCAACGCCTGGCAATCCTGGGGGCCAACAGACATGTACACCCGCTGCAGTGAGAAACAAAATGCGTTTCGAGTCCTGACGAGGATGGCCCGCGCACCGTCGGTTTTTCTGCAGCAAACGCCAGCCGAAACGGGCCCGCACCTCGCAGCGTTGTTTACGTGTTCCGTTTCCCCGGATGGTGGCAAACATTTTGTGGCCCTCGGCCTGTGCCGCGCCCTTGCCCTCCCGCCGTTTATTTAGTCACGTTTGGTCCAGGAAGGTTGGCACCCCTCCCTTGCCCTTTCCCCTTCTCCACCTCCCTCCCTCCCTCCCGCCTCGCCACCGATTTTTCTCCCACCTCCCTCCCTCCCTCCCCTCCTCCTCCATGACTACTGAGAAATTCGCCGGTGCTGTGCCTGCTGCCGTGGATTTACGGCAGGGCGCCATGGACCTCGCCCGTCGGCTGTCGTCGTTGCGGGACTTCCTCTCCGCAGCAAACGAACTGACAGCCTGCAGCGACCTCCCCTCGCACGATGTCCGGCGTCACTGTCGCAAGGTAAGGGAAAACCGGGCAGCGTGTGTTCCGCCTCTGCAGCCGCTAACGGGTCTCCCTTCACGGTGTCTCAGATCGTCACGCTTATCGAGGTAGGTCCGCCGGCGGGCCCAGCGTGCCTGGGCCGCCCAGTGCCGCGAAGCCAGAGATTCGCCCCGCTGACGACGAGCCTTTGCCCCCGCGCGCCCAGATCGCACGGACGACGCTGACGCGCAGCGGCGCGAAGCTCCACCACGCGCGCTCGTGCATGCCCGCCCTCCAGCGGCACAAGGCGGCCTACCTGGACATGCTGCACATGCTCGAGCAGCAGCGGCACCTGATGCAGGACGACCGCGCCTTCCAGGGTCAGCCCCACGTCCATCTGTAGATTGTCCCCCCGTGCCTGTCGCGAAGCTGATGCCCTTTGTTGCTGTCCTTTGTACAGAACGCGTCGATCGTCTGCTTCTGCCGCTCTCCGCCAATCCGCGGCTCGCTGCCGCCGAGGATACAGCGGGGCGCGCGCCACCACCACCACCACCACCACCACCACCACCGTCGTCGTCTGTGCTCCGCTGCCTCGGCAGCGCGCAACCCTTGTCCGCTTCGATGCCGCCACCGCCACCCACCTACGCGAACACCGGTTCTGGCCGCAAAATGTTGCGTGAGCGTCTCCGCTTTTGTGTGTGTGTGTGTGCGTGCGTGCGTGCGTGCGTTGACCGCTCAGCCCCATTGTGCGCAGCGCCCGACGTCCTGCTGGGCCGCCCGCCACGACCATGGACGCCGCCGGCCAATGCCTGGAAGCAGCAGGCCCACCCTGCGCGCCCGCTGCAGCAGCAGCAGCAGCAGCAGCAGCAGCAGCAGCAGCAGCAGCAGCAGCAGCGCGGCCGCCACGAGTGGCGGGGCCCCGGGGGAGACGAGCCCGACGAGCGTTCGGACGAGGACGATGACGAGGACGATGACGACGAGGACGACGAGAGCGCGCGGGCGGTGCTCGTCCAGCAGCCCCGCCGCCGCTTCGGGATATTCTGCACTGGCAAGCCCGGCCACCGGCGTCCGGGGGGCTTGAGGCGGTGATGACGGCCACGGCGCCCCTTGCTGGCCTTTGTGGTGCGTGGCTCTTGCGCTGGGTTCTGCCTCGTTGGCGCAGATTCGGCACTGACGAGAAGGGCAACAGCTCGTTCGCACCGAACCGCGTAGAACTGGCCCGTCTCGCTTGGCTCGCTGTGCTTTGCAGCGTTTCCCCCGGGGTTGGCATGCCACTGCACGGGTGCCTCAGCAGACCGTCCCAGCGGGTGACGTGCGAGGCGCTTCTCTCATAGACCGCCGCCAACTCACCACGGGAGGCGCACCGAGTCGAAAAGGCTGAATCTGTCAAAGCGTCTCATCTGTACAACATAGGTTCCTTGCGTGTGTATATATGACTAGAATACAACGGTGCCCTGCCGCAACCACATCAGTCCGTGAACAGCGGGCCCTCCTGCGGGTTGACCAGCTCGGAGTCGTGTCCCCCAGGCTGTCCTCGACCCTCGAGAGCCCGGAGCTCCGCGGCCCACGCGCGGAACTTGCGCAGGATCTGCTGCTCGTTCTCCGCGACGCCCGCCCTGCCGGCTTCGCCCTCGAGCGCGGTGATGACCTCGTTCAGGGCGCCGCCGAGTTTGTTGAGCGCGCCTTGGAAGGCGAAGGGGTTGCCCAGCACGGACGAGGGCTCGTCCTCGCCGCCTGTGCCGGGCACCGACCCTGCGGGGGCCGCTGGAGGGGCAAAGACGTGAGCTGGGCTGTGTGCGTCACCGGGAGGTTGCGTTTCGTTTACCGTTGGGACCCGACTTTGGGTACACCTTGGGACGAGGGTTAGTCGAGGGTGCTATCGGTGAGGGTCGGAAGGTTTCTTACGGCTCCTGGGTTCTCGCGTGAGGGGGAAGGGGGAATGGCGTCCGGGGGCTGGTTGGGGAATTTCGCGTCGGCTGATGAGGACGGTATGTGAGCGGGCGACCTCGAAAGGTTCATGTGCATACCATAGCCCACAGACATCTTGCAAAGTGTTGTGAGGTCTTCAGCTGGTGTAAAGGAGGGCTGGTGCGGGAGCCACAGGCGGAATACTCGGTGACGTCATGCTGGTCGCGGGGTCTGATGCGATGCAGCGTGTGCTTCTTGAGTGAGCCCCCAGGAGAGGCTGGTCTGCCGGGAGTACTTGGGTGACTTTTCTCAGCTTTAGCTTTGATTTCTCCGGAAGTGCATCGGGTGCGTGGTGTTAAGAAATAGCGAATAGGGCTGGAGGCAGACGGCTGGCAGAGAGAGTGAACGACGTTACCATTTTGGGGCCGACGAGAAGCACGCGTCTAGTCCGGCCAAACAGAACCAAATCAACCGTACCCCGTAAACGACACTCACCTTTTTGACGTTGGCCTCCGACGACCTCGACGACCTCGACAACCTCGACAGCGTCGGCGAGAACCGCGCCAGCATGCCTCGCATCCTTTTCGTCTCTGGCTTCCACCCCACCACCCGCGCTCGCGACCTCGCATACGAGTTTGAACGGTGAGCCACCCGGTCCTGTGTCACTCCTTTCTCTCCTCTCAACCCTCTCGCAGGTACGGCCCCCTCGTCCGCTGCGACGTCCCTGCTCCACGCAACCCGCACGCCAACTCGAACCCGTAAGTCACCACCTTCTACGTTTTACATCCGCCTCTCTTCGCAGTCGAAGCGTACCGAAAAGACATGTGGTCCGTCCACGCGATGGAAACGCCGCGAGCGAACACGTCGTCTCGGTCCCACGTTGCGTCCCCTCCGAACCTCATGGCGTCGCGCGATTTGCCCCAAGAATCCGTTTCGTTCCAATGTGCCCCTGCACTCCCTCTCGAGTTCCGCGCCCGAGTTCAAACCGATCGCTCAACGTCCTTCGAATCCGTCTCGCAGTTACGCCTTCGTTGAGTTCCGCAGCACCCGCGATGCCGAGGACGCCTACTACGAGATGTACGTGCCCAGCTCCCTCAAACAACGTCGTTCTGTCCTCAACCGGACCCTTTTTTTTTTTTTTTTGGCAGGCATGGTCGCTACTTCGAAGGAGCGAGGCTGAGCATCCAAGTATGTAAATCTGCGTACACGGTTGGCGACGTGTGTTCTGATAGCCATCTAGTGGGCGAAGCATCCCCCCTCCACCGTTTGGCGCTATGACAGGAGGTCTCCGCCGCGCCGTGACCGTGACCGTTCTCGCAGCCCCCGTCGCAACGGTAGGGACCGAGGCGACCGCGACAGAGACCGCGAACGTGACCGCGAACGTCCCAGGGAACGCGACCGTGATCGTGATGAGCGCGACAAGGACCGCGACAGGGATGACAAGGGGAGGAGGAGCCGCAGCCCTGAGAGACGCAGGAGCCCTACTCCTGAGCGTCGCAGGGACGACCGCGCGCGTACCCCGCCTCCTCTTGAGGATGGGAAGAAGGACGACGACAGGGCGCAGACGCCTCCTTATGACCATTAAACAGTCGGTCACCTTCGTTTCCGTTCCCGGACTTTTGTTTTCCTCCTCTCCCGAAAATTCGTAGCCGCATCTGTTACATAAAGAGCCCGTTATGATTCCGCCATGTACAGGGTCGTCTTGTCGACTATCAATAAAGCATTTTATTCGAATGTTGCGCGTGTGACGACAGCTGAACTCTCCGGGTCGAAGACGAAGAACTGCGCCGATCTATCTATCGCGCTTGACTGGCGCTCTCTGCCTCCCACGACTCCAAGCTTCGCTTCAGCCCCGACCACTACACTAACACTTTCGACAAAGTCACCTTCAATCTTGCCCCTTACTTCTGTGCAGCGTGTCCACCACGCGCAGTATTGCTCGACGCTCGTGCCCGGCGATACGCGTCCTCTCACCTCCTTGTGCCCACTTGCTCTGCCTCATACCGCACTAGTCTAGTCTGCGGACAAAGTCATGGAGCCCGTGCCAGAACGCGTGCCTACCATCGACGACCTCCGGGTGAGCACACACGGCTGCGCGCGGAGCACCTCTGCCGAAAGCGAAACTTGACGGGTGTCTCTGCCATAGGTAAAACTGTGCTGGATATGCCGGGATGAGGAATACCATGACCGTGCGTCTCCTCCGTCGCAGCAGCCGACCCACCACGACCTTCGTTGCTCACTCACAGCCCTTGTGCAGAGCCGTCGGAGCCCCGGGTGCAATGGGTCCACCCGTGCAGGTGCACCCTGATCGCGCACGAGAGCTGCCTCCTGAACTGGATACGCTCCGCACAGCAAGACGCCTCGCGCTCGCCGAACGCCCTCAAGTGCCCCCAGTGCGGCGCGCGATACGAGATCCGGAGCGAGAACCCGTTCCCCCTGCGGCTGCTCAACCACATCAACACCAGCATCTCGCTCGCGGGGAGGGCGGTGACGGTGTTTGGCTTCGCGACCGTCGTCGTGTCGTGTGGCTTTGGTGCGTGTCTTGGGCCTAGTTTCTTGGATCGTTCTGCTTATGCGGCTCGCCAGGAATGTACGTCATGCTCACCTCCTATGGTGCTTATGCGGTGCAGGAGTTTCTGGGGAAGGAGATGTGCGTCTTTCAGTCCTCTTATTGAAGCGTCGTTGAAAGTAGGATTCAAGGTTCGACCTGCTGCTCACAGATGATCCAACCAACTGGCCGTGGCACGCCTTCATCAACCTGCCGCTCATCCCCATCTCCCTCGTCGCCACACGCACAAAGTACTTCGACACAGCCCCCGTGTTCCCGCTCTATCTCGCCTGGACGACCTCGCCCGTCGCACAGATCATGACCGACAAGGTCCGGCTCGCCGACCTCGCCAGCTACCCCCAGCAGGCCCTCCTCCGCTGGCCGCCCTCGCCGATCATGGTGTCGTTCTGCCTGCCGATCGTCGCCCGGCTCTACCGCCGGCTGATGCGTCGCGTGCGCGGCTGGGTGCTCGGCCCCCAGCCGGCGCAGGACCTGCCGCTCCGCCGCATCGAGCTCGCGCTGAACGAGGGCGGGCCCGCGCTCCACGTGCGCATCGCGGCCGACCTGAACGCCCCAGACGGCGCACACCGGCAGGGCGCCGCCGCACCCGCACCCGTACCCGCACCCGCGCCTGCGCCTGCGGACGACCAGCAGCAGCAGCAGCAGCAGCAGCAGCAACCGCCGGCGAACAACCTAGACGACCCGGTCGCGGCCGCAGAGCAGACGGTGCGCGTGACGGGGACGTCGCTCGGGCGGTTCATCGGCGGGGCGCTGATGATCCCGAAGCTGTCGAACTGGATGGGCGCGGTGCTGCTCGGGCTCTCGCGGCACTCGGTGCTCCTGCGCCGGCTCCTCGGCGTGCGCCCGCCGCTGCGCCTCGGCGCGCACTCGCCGCGCGTGCGGTACGGCAACGCCGGCTGGCCGCCGGAGGGCGGCCTGCTTCACCAGCTCGGGACGAACCTCCGCGTCGTGCTCAACGTCATCTGCGGAGGCACCAAGGTCTGGGCTGAAGCGGATCCTGTGTGGTGGCGCAACACCGTCGGGCTCGGGATCTTTGTCTTTGTGAGTCGGCCGGCTGCTTTGCTTTGGCTTGTGCTCTCGGCTGCGCTGACGCGCTCTATCTCTCTCTCTCTCTCTCTCCTAGGCGAAAGACTGCCTGGGTCTGTTGCATGTCTACCTGACCAAGCGCGAGATCGAGTCGCGACGGATCAAGAACAAGTCTTTCGCAGGTATCGACCCCAGGGAACTAGACCTCATCGACCGACCTGCTCCTAACGGCACTGCTATATAACATAATCTCACCGCATGCTCTGTTCAGCTCTCCACTCATTGCTTGTCGTATTGCTGTCACCACTCAAACTGTACGCCTTCTTGAATGATCATACGTCGTTGATCGAGAGTGTGAGTGCGAGACTGCGCATCGATACAGGCCTCTATTGCTACACGAATATCGAAAATATGGCACAGCGAGCGCGCGATGCATGTGTGAGCACAATGAAGTGAGAAACTGCCCAATGCTCAGTCAAGCTCGAGCACAGTGCCGCGTTGCACAGAGCCCCATCCGACCAGACGCCAATGCTTCTCGATGCGCCGCGAGAGCGCGACCTTCTCGCCGATCTCCGTGCACGCCGGCGTCGTCAGCTGGATCTTGGCGAGGTCGGCCCTGACGCTGAGCACACGGCCACCGGTCGACGTCGAGCCGATGTTGATGAGCAGCAGCTCGCCCTTCGTGAGCTTGGCGACCCTCGTCTGTTTCTTGTCGTCGGACTTGACACCGAGCAACCGGCGGAGCAAGAACATGGAGATCTCGAGCTCTGTCAGACATGTGGTCAGCATCCTGTGGCGGCAGAGCAACGCCGTCGACGTCATCAAACGCACCGGTGTAGACCTGAGGCAATTTGCCGACTGCGCCGAGCACCTGGCCGACGAGACGGTCTGCACGGCAGAGCGTGGGGTCGATCCTGGTGCCGACACCGATGAGGCCGCCGGGCACGGCGAACTGCAGCTGGTTGTTCTCAGCGAGCAGCGTCACGATGCGCGAGAAGATGGGCTTGCACTGGTTCCGGCCCTGGGCGTCCTTGGTGACGATACCGGGACGAATCTCGACCTCTTGCCCTAACCGCAGGACACCCGTCAGGATGGAGCCGCCAGCGACACCCCCCTTCAGCTCCTCGACTTCGGCACCAGGCTTGTTGACGTCGAAGGAACGGATGACGATGAGCCTCGGGTCGGCTATGAAGTCTCGTACAGGGATGGGGATACGCTTCACGATGTACTCGTTGACTGCGTCGATGTTGTACCTCAGCTGAGCCGAGATGGGGACGATTGGTGCCTTCTCTGCAACAGTGCCTGGGGGTCCCGCACATGTAAGAGGTAGAAAGACGATGCAAAATCTCTGACTCACCCTTGACGAATGCGAGAATGCTCTTGTGGTGCTCCAGGGCTTGCTGCTCCTTGATCAGGTCCACCTTGTTTTGAAGGATGATGATATTCTCGAGCTTCATGATCTCGACAGCCGCCAAGTGCTCAGATGTTTGGGGTTGAGGACACGTTTCATTACCGGCGATGAGAAGCAATGCAGCATCCATAACTGCGGCACCGTTAAGCATAGTAGCCATCAAAATATCGTGTCCCGGGCAATCGACGAAAGAAACGTGGCGAATGAGCTTCATGCGGTGACCACAGCCTGGCCGCTCGCAAGGGGGATTGTCTTCCTTGTCAGATCGATATGACCTGTAGCAGCCAGGTCTTGGGCAAGCGGCGTTCTCGCACTTGTAGATCTATCAAGAGGCTTAGTCTTCGTAGATGTGAGTCAGCGAAAGCTCTTTTACGCACTTTGGCGTTGGCATAACCAAGCTTGATAGTAATGTTCCGCACCAACTCATTCTTAAACCGCACAGTCATGACCCCTGATATCGCCTTCACCACCGTCGACTTTCCGTGGGCGACATGTCCGATCGTGCCTACAAGAGGTTCTCGTCATATCCCTCGCGTGTGCTTTACAGAATGTCTCACCCAAGTTGATAGTGGCCTATCCGATGTCATCAGTAAATATTGCCGGGCCTGCAGAAGCAAGCTTACGCACCTGTTTTGAGATGACCTCTGGTGAAAGTGGTGTTAACTTCGTGACGTCTATGTCGACCTTAGGGATGTTGTCGAGGACGTCTTCCTCCTCGGACTCCGAGTCGGACTCATCGTGGTCTTTTTGGCGTGTTTCGTCGCCGGACATGGCGTGCAGTTCAGAGAGAGGTGACGGTAGGGAATAATCTTCGAGCTCCCTATGCGGCATCACGTCCTCGCCTCGGTCACGATGGGTAACGCGTTATGCGTTACATGACTCGATTTTCCTCATGTCACACGCCTCACCACCTTCGCGCAGCGAGCACGACCTCTCTTTGGTGCGAGCGGTGTCCGGAAGTGCGTGACCTGTTCATAATCCCTAGATATTTCTGACCTCTGCTAGGCCAAATGTATGTGGTTCAGGACGCCTGCTCTATCCTCGATAGTGACGCGTACGACTGCCTTTGCTGGGAACACCTTCCGCCGATACCCGCTGTCCACTCAGACTTTAACCGTCACGTCGCAGGCTAGACGAGTAGCTGAGCTTGCTAGAGAACTACGAACCAAGTCCAAAGGCGATGATACACTTGCTGCAATCGCATCTGCCAACCGTGGTTCTGACTCCGTGACCGCGTTTGCTCGCAACCTCGCGAAATCGGAGGCAGACTCCTTATCCCTCCAGACCATTGACGCTAGCAGTTTTCAAGATATATTATCATTCATACCGCCCCAGGATGACCGGCGGCCGCCTTGGCTCGCGCTGTACGTTTTGTACCACAAAGCCCGTTCATCCCAAGATGCTGTCTCCTCCCTGGACCTGATCCGTCGCGCTTTGCCACACGTTCACTCCTCGACTACCGACTCTATCATCGTATTAACTGTCGCGGAGCTGGCTCACAAGAGACTTACAGCCATTATACGTGAATTCGTACAGAGATTCTGTGAGGCGCGTCATAGGCCTTCGAAGCTACACTTCAACCTTCTTCTCCGTGCCCTGTCTCTACACCCCAGGTCCAAGGAGACCAGTGCATTGGTTAGCCAAGTTCTCGAGAGGATGACGCAGCATGGCACCAAGGTTCGCAAACAGACCTACAACGCACTGCTCTCCCCTGGTTTTGTTACTATGGAGGTCGCGGTCGCGGTTGAGAGGAAGATGGTGCAAGACGGCGTCGGTCCCACAAGATACCAGCTGCAATGTCTATGTGACCTCATGATCACGCACAGATATCGCAAGAAGGCGGCACGATATCTTAGGGAGCTTCGGTCGAAGTGGAAAGAAGAGGATGCGCCAAGGACAGTGGGTGTCAAGCTTCTGCAAGCCCGCTACATCAAAGCTTTTCGACGTGCTTCCCTGGCTCTACGATATTTAACCCGCCTTGTTTCGTCGCAAAATCGCCAAGCTCATGGAAGCCGTATAGGGAGGAGGCTGGCTGTGGATATTCATCAATGGGTGTCCACGCTCTATGTCGCCTCGCGTGCCCCAGAGACTTCCGCCGCCAACTTGCTGAAGACTTTCCGACAAAGCGCATCCGCGTACCCTCTAAACCGTGCAGCTTATTCGACGGTCATCAAAGGTCTGCTGGCTAAGCATGACTACGGAAACGCTGTTCTGTTATGGGACGAAGCTTCCTCATACGGCTTATCGTTGAATACACAGTCTTTAGGCATGGGACTTTGTGCCCTGACAATGAATGGTCAGCCAAACCGTGCTTTTCAGCTCTTGGAAGCGGTACACGCGGCGCAGGACTCGGGAGGGTCGTTCGCCGGTCGACGTCCCCCAGCGGTCACCCTGCGTGCCCTTCACCAGTTCATGGTCTCTCTTCACCGCATGGGCCGGCCTGATGTCGTGTTTACTTTATTCGACCATATCGAAACCTTGTACCACCTCCGACCCGACGTCTACACCATCAACATCATGCTCCACACCGCGAGATGGGCACGAAAGTTCGAGGATACTATTCGCGGACAACTAGCATCCATCGGGATTGGACGCTTGTCAAACCCTAGTTCGAGCGAGGCCGAGCCATCGGAGGACCTTCGGACGCAGCCTGCATGCCGTATTACGGCTATGCTCGACCCCGAACGGCGCCCATGGGTAACAGGCAGATGGAACTTTGAGCGTGCGGGCCAGGTGGCTCTGAGGCACGCTGTCCAGATGCTCCTAGGAAACTGGCCTGCGCTTGCGAGCATCCCATCTCCCGTCCAAGCTTTGCGCCGCGGAAGCGATGACGCCGCTCTTAACCCCGTCAACGAAGTCATCAACCGCGTCACTGAACGCGCGCTCTACGACGAGTCGCCCCTCCTCTCCCTCCTCCCCGACAAGCCTGGCACGCTCTACCCTGAGGTCGTGCCCACCGACGTCACATTCCGCGCCCTCATCGAGCTGCTCGCCACACAGTCGCTCCAGACCGAGATCCCGCTTGTGCTGGCATGGATGCGTGTGCTCAGGATCCAGCCGTCAAAGGCGACGCTTGCCACTGCGCTGGTGCACTGGGTCGATGTCAGCATGGACTCTCCGTTCATCGAGCGTATGAAGGGGAAGCAGCGCAGGGACCCATACTCGCTGCTGATGCAATGGATGGAGGACTGGGTGGGCGCGCAGCACATGCCGAAGCGAGAGATGTCGAAGGAGATGCGACGGGCGGCGTATTACAGGGACGTCAGATATGTGGACATTATCAACGATCGGAATAGAGCGGCTGCAGCGGGCAGAATATCGAGAATAGATTAGACGTTTTATTATACAGTGCTTTGTTCTAACGGTAGACATCTTGTCTCCCTTTTGCTAATCTTGCCCAAAGTGTAGCGACCCCCAGCCAACGCATGATGTGAAAACTTTCAGCACTCTGCCAAGATTCCAAAGCATTCCAGATTAAGCGGTAGATGAGTTCGCGCTGTACCAGCTCTCCATCCCCGCAAGCCGTGCCCAGTCAAGATCGAGGTTTTCCATGTGTTGCTGCGAATCCGGCTGCACGCCCTGCAGCACGTTGAACGGCATGAGCGTCGATTGCAGAGGCTGCATCATGTCCACGTCCGCCGACGGGCCGAAGGACATCTCAAAGTCCGACGCAAGTCCTGCGGACGCGGACGGGAAGGGACGCAGCGGGCCAGGCGCTGCGGGCGGCGCCGTCGTGAACATGGACGGATTCGACACGGGAGGGTACGTCGAGTTGAGGTACGGGATGAACGACACCGCAGAGGCGGCCTGCGGGGCGCCCCCAAACATCCCGTTGCCGGCAGCGTACTGCTGTTGCTGTGACGGCGGCGACGGCGGCGAACCCATCTGCGCGCCGAGCGCGGCGTAAAAGTCCGCCACCGCCGCGCTGCTGCTGCTGCTGCTGCTATTGTCCGTCGGGGGCGGCTGCTGCTGCTGTTGCTGTTGCTGGAGCGGCACGTGCGGCTGCGGCTGGTCGCGCTGCGCCTGGACGAGGAGGTCTTGGAGGAGGACGAGCTCGCCCTTGTCCTCGTCCCTGCGGTCCCACCCGCCGGCCTTGCGGAGGGCGCGGAGGACGACCATGGCGCGGCGCGCCATCTCGCCCTCGCCGTCGAGGGCGCCCTGGGCCTGCTCGGCGTGGCGCGCGAGCACGGTCATGGCGCGGTCGATGAGCGTCCGGCACTCGCCCGCGCGCGGGTGCGGCGGCGCCTGCGAGAGCGCGCCCGCGAGCGCGACGGCGCCGTCGAAGAGGAAGTACGAGAACGTCTCGGCGTTCAGCCGCCCCGGCGCGCGCCACGGCGCGAGCGCGTCGTGGAAGTCGCACATCGTCCGCGTGAGCTCGAGCGCGAGCTCGATGCACCGCTCGCGCGACGGGTTCAGCAGCAGCCTCGTGCGCGCCGCGCCCGGCGCGCTGCCTGGCGGCGGGAGGATCGGCGGCGCGCGCATGAGGTACGGCCGGTGGATGCCCATGAGGCCGCAGAGGTACCAGCCGGCGAGCGTCGTGGTTTGGTAGCGCCGCGCGCGCCCGGCAGGGGTGGAGAGATCCGAGGACGCGTTCTTTGCAAGGTCTGGCGTGCCGGGTGCGGACGATTTGGGCCATCGCAGCTGTTCGGGAAGACGGCGCTCCCATTCGCAGAAGCGTCGGTCCAAATCCAGGACTGTCGCGTACGGCGGAGCGCGGATGCCCAAGCACTAGACGAGAGCGTCAGCACAGGGGTCTGTAACAGCTGCATTCCGGCTTGCCTTGTCAGTTGCTTCAAAGATGAGATCTGTCAGGGGGATAAACACCCTGTGATACGCTGCGCACGAGTTTGGCGTTCCGTCGGCGTGCAGGTCGCTGGGCACCGCTTTCACATCGTATGAGCCCGGGGGTGTCATCGATGGCCTGCCCAGAACGAAGGACCACATTCTGTGTATTCATGCGTCAGCAGACCGAGCTCCTTGTAGTGCCAAAAAGATCCTAACCGGTCGGAGATGATGAGCAGCCACCATCCGCCAATGCGCAGCTCCCGGTCGTCAGCATGCATTGCTTCCCATTTTCTCCATCCAGGATCGCGGTGCATGCCCAGGGCTTGAGCATGGCGCATGCCACTGAAACATTGGCATCAACATACCGTTCACTCATCAGGAACGGGAAGCGACGTACTTGCCGACGAGCTTCCAAGCCTCGCTAATTCGCCCGCGGTCAACAAGGTACATGGCGTGCAGCGACGAGGAGATGCAGGTAAGCACGCCGCCATGGACGGACCCCTCCGAGGTCGAGTACGCGGGCGTGACGAGCAGGACGTCCTCGACGTGGCGTCGCGCCATGAGCGAGTACATGAAGTACCTCCCGTTGTCCCTCGGCGCGCCGCGCGGGCTCGGGGCGAGCGCGAGGACGGCGAAGACGAAGCAGAGCCAGTGCGGGTTGATCTCCTCCCTGCACGCGGGGCACTCACCCTGGCGGCGGCAGCCGGGCACGCAGCGCATCGCGAGGCGGCCCCACATCGCCTGGCACCCGGCGCGGAACCAGCGTTCGGGTATGCCGAACTGCCAGCTGCGCTCGGGGAAGAAGCCGTCGAGGGTCTCGTCGAAGACGTGCCGCGGCGGCAGCTTCGCGACGAGCCGCCGGATCGGGGACGTGTACGGGCTCGAGGACGACGACATGTCGGGCGACGACGACGACGTGCTGCTGCCTTCGGTGCCGCCGAGGCCTTCCGAGAGGATCTCCCACGTGCGGCGGCCGTGGCTCGAGGCCTCTGCGAGGGCCGCGGGCGAGACGGGGCTTGTTAACATCGTCGCCGGGTGCGGGAAACGCCAGGACTCGGGGTTTCCCAGCTGCAGGGATCGTCATCGCAGTTAGCACTTTGGCACACACGCGCACGCAGGATCGGCCGAGGAGATGGGGATCAGTGACGTGCCTTGTGAATCGCACACAGCACTGTGCCGTTGCCGACGTACTCGGTCCGGGGGGCGAGCGAGAGCTGTGCGAGTGCGACTGCGGCACGCTGGACGTCGTAGTCGATGAGCGCGGGCGGGGCGTCCTCGTCTTCGTTCTCGGTCTCCGAGCAGGGGTCGGCGGCGCCTGGCGACGGCGTGAAGTCGTGGCCGAGGTCGGGGGTGCTCTCGCTCGAGGAGGCCGGCGGCGACAGCGACGACGAGGCGTGTGAGGTGGTGTCGTTGGTGTCTTTCTGCGCACAGCTTTGCTGCTGGAGCAACGCTTGTTCGAGTGCTGCGATGCGTGCAGACAGAGCCTCGATCGTGGAATTGGCGGCGGCGGCATTGGCGGCGGCACTGATGGCCGCGCTCGGCGGCCTCTGCGGGGCCGGTCGAACCACGACGGGCTCCCAGCGGCACAGGTGGGGGATTCCGCGGGTCGTGCACAGCCCGCAGGGGAACTGGCGGTCACATCGCTGGGCAAAAAGGAGTTAGCACCTGGATCGTTGCGCTTGAGCTCGGCACATGGCTGCCTATCGAGAGACGTTCCAACCGACTAGAAATCCGAATCACTGAAGGCTCGGCATATCCGCGTCCCTGGTTCAAGGCCGAGAACGAAAGACTCACCTGTCGACGCTTGGTGCATTCGACACAGCTCAACCGCTGCCGCCTCCTCGTCTGTTTGACCTTGCCGCCCTGCGCAGGGGTTGTCTGAGGAGCCATGTTTGAGTCCGAAGCCGAGCCTTGGGACTCTCCCTCCATGATGTAGGGTTTCTGGCGAGGATATCGTGGAGCCTAGCTGCTATCTCCTGGCTTATATCAAGCGTGTTTCAGACGGCGCTCGCGAAAATCAAGGTTACTGAGGATCCCCGGTGAGAGACCGCAGTAAGCAGGCGCCAAGTCCCTAGCGCCGGATGTTTTGACGAGCTATTCGGAGGATTATCCTCCGGCGAACCAGGCCTCCAGAGTTCACAATGGGCCTTCGCCAGCAGGCGCGAGTCAAAGCAGCATGTTGCCCCTTAGGGTAAATCTCCGCAGGAATAAAATCGGCGCTCAAGGCCTTGTGGCGTTTGTTGCCCGTCTGGTCGCACTCCCACGTTGACCGTGGCCGTGTCGTCGTCGTCTGGCCCGATATCTCTGGGGCAGCATACCCGCTGTTCCAACCAGCTCACGTCCCCGCAGAGCTTAACGCCGCTGCCGCTGCCTGCGGGTAAACATGGCCGCCTCCTTGTCACGAGCGTATTGGTGATCGGACCACAGTGCCGTAACTTCTATTGGCATACACGGCCGCCGGCGGGATCTAAGCACCCTTCTCGCCTTCTCATTGACTGGTAGCTTATCTCGCCTCCCATGCATCGCTCAGATGATCCTGAATATTCCTTTTTACCGACATACTTGCCCAAGTAGGGCAGCTGCAGTGATGGCGGGAACGACCGGGAGTCAATGTCGTATGCGAGCCTGCTTCTGAGTCGGCGGATGTCGGGCTGCCTGTGAATGCCGTGAGTTTTGAGGCCTACTGCAGCTGTACTCTCAGGCTGATGGCCCTTGCAGGCGGAGCGGTCACCTTGGGAATTCCCGGAATCAGTAGCTTTGTCAAAAGAATTCCCACGCCTTGCGAGGCACGAATGGGATTTCCGACATAGGCGAAGGGTAGGCAAAAGGGTGAAGCGAGATTAATCTTTACCAACGAATATCAGAGGAAATTGCCTGGTGGCAGGTGCCACACAAGGCATTTCTCTAACGTTATTTTCTCTTGGAGCCTTGAGACGCCTTCCAGGCGCTTATCCCGATTTCCGACAAGGGCCTTCTTAGCCGTATGTGACTCGCATATGTTGTTGAAAGATACAGATTCAGCGCTCCGTGAAGACGACCCTGGCTTTATCGTGTCCAGTCTATGAATATATCCCTACAACGAAAAGATCACCATGACCCTCGAAATCGCACAAAAGAAATACGTAGTCGGTGGCTCTGAGCTCGTGACAAGCCATCGTTACCCGTCTGTTCGTGCATGCGCAGGCGGGCAGGTGCCATTTAGGAGTTCCAACAGATAACAGGCTGCCTGCCGCTTCTAGAGACGTGACGCAGCTCCGCGAGATAGAGGTTATCGAACGGGGCTCCTTGGAGCTTCCAGCCAGGCTCAGTTCCGACGTTGCGCTGCATATCCTGTGGCGTGGCACCGGCAGTCAGCGCGGAAAATGGCGGAGGCTAAGCTGAGACGTACGTCCTGACGAGTCGCGCCACCTCGTGCGCGGTGCGCTCGAGAGGCGTCATTCCCGTGTTTGACAGCGTGGGTACTGTCCTCGCTCCGGGGAGCCCGGGGAGGCAGGGAGAAGCTAGTGCGTCCCGGAGGCGTACAGAAGGAATATTGCTGTGTATGAAGCGAATGCTCGGCAGAGGTGGATATGACCTCTTGTCCAGGCAGGGACGCGTAGACTGCTTGGGGGGCAATGATGCCTGGAAGGCTCGTCTTGTAATCATCGCTGTACTCGAGGAATGAGTGATGAGTGACTCAGATCTGTCAAGGGTGCTTTGTATTAGCTTTGTAGATAATGCGAAAACAGTAGCTGTCCCTACCCTGCAGGCCATAGGTGAAATACTGTGAGGATTTCTAAGGATAGCTCTGTTATGACAAAGGTCTCTTGTGTAAGTCTGAAGCTTGTCTAGCTGTTTAATCTGTAAACAGAGTTAGAGTATGATAAAGGACGCGAATGTACAAGGAGCTAAAAGCTATAGAAACATTGTACATGTGCTGAGGTATATAGGTATGTTGCGCGAAGAGTCAGGTATCCAAATACCTAGTAACCACTAGTGATTGTGCCGTAGTTCTGTTGGCACTCGCGGCCGCCGGCGGGACCCAAAACATTCTCTCCGTTTTCTCATTGACTGGTAGCTTATCTTGCCTCTCACGCATTGCTCAGATGATCCCGAACACTCCTTTCTGGCACCGACGTACTCACCTATGTAGGTAGCTGCTGTGATAACGGGAGTGCCCGAGACTCAATGCTGCATGCAAACTTCTCGCATAGAATTCCAAGTCAACGGATGTTGGTCTGCTAGCGAGTGCCGTGAGCTTTGAGTCCCACTACATGAGGTGCCTTTTCCGTACTCTGATGGCTCTTGCAAGCGGAGCGGTCGCCCTGGGATCATTGAATAGATAGTTCTTTTTCGAAAGAATTCCCCACTTGAAGAAGCTTCAAGTCTCGCAAGGCATGGATGGGATTTCCGACATGGGCGAAGGGTAGGCAAAAGGGTGAAGCGAGATCGAAGGCTACTAAAGATTGGTGCAAGGCATATCGGGGGGAAATATCTGATGACAAGCGCCTTATGAGGCTTTTTTCACAAGCATTATTTTTTCTTGGGGCCTTGAACGCCTTCAAGGCGCTTGGCCCGATTTCCGATAAAGACCTTTTCCGAAGCTGTATGCGACTCGCTTATGTTGTCAAATGCAGACTCAGCGCTCCGTGCAGAAGACTACCACCACGATCTCCGACTTCAGCTTTACCATGTCACCCGCTGCTATAGCTCACCGGCATGGGCGGAATATGCAACGACGCCCTATCGTAAGCTGATCTTGGAGCTGTTCACCCTCGTCTAATAATGTTAATAACGTAGCTACGTCCATAATCCGGCAATCTAGGGTGTGTCTAGTCTACAATAATATGGCTACAATGAATGGGTCACCACGACCGCGACGATACTCGAAATCGTACAAAAAAAACACGCTGTTGGGGGACTCCGAGCTCGTGAAAAGCCTTAATTACCTGCCTGCCGTGTATGCACAGGCGCACAGGTGTCACTTAGGGGTTCCAGCAGATAACTGGCTGCCAGCTGCCTCTAGAGACGTGACGCAGCTCCACGAGATAGAGGTTGTCGAACGGAATCCCCTGGAGCTGCCAGCTAGGCTCAGTTCCGACGTTGTGCTGCATATCCTGCGGCACGGAAACAGCGGTCAGCACAGAAAACGGCGGAGGGAAAGCTGGGACATACGTCGTAGAACATCTTGACGAGCCGCGCCACCTTGTGCGCAATGCGCTCGAACGTCAGGGGGTTCGCTTGGTACGTGTGGTCGAAGAGGTCTATGCCGTTCTCCTGGCGCCAGTTTGGGTATCCAGGCCACTGAGAAGCAATAAGTGGATGTATATTATCTTTGAAGGAGAATGCGACCGACATGGATACGAAGAGTAACCCTCATTCCTGTGTTGGACAGCGTGGGTGCTGTCCTCGCTCCGCGAAGCCCAGGGAGGTTGGGAGAGGCCAGTGCGTCCCGGAGGCGTATAGCGGGAATGTTGTTGTGTACGAAGCGAATGCTCGGCAGAGGTGGATTGACCATCTGTCCATGCTGGGGCACGTAGGCTGCTTGGGGAACGATGACGCCTGGGAGGTTCGCATGGATATCATCACTGTAATCCATAAACGAGTGATGAGAACTCTGCTAAAGACGCTATGCGTTAGCTTTGAAGATGATGTGAGCAATAGCGACTGCGCCTACCGAGCGAATGTTGGAGGCCATTGGTGAAATACTGTGAAGATGTCTGGGAGTTGTTCTGACGAAAAGACTGACCAGCTACAAGCCATCTTATACCAGACCAGCCACACCACTCAGCGCAAGGCATGTTTCACGATAATCCCTGAATGCAGTAGCGAGCTGTGACACCGTTCTTCCCGCAGAGGCGAAGGCTGCCCGCGAGGGTGCGGACGCTCCAATGCGGGACGTCATCTGTAGAAACAAGGGAACCTCCGTCGGAAAGCGAGACATTCATGTAGGGTGTCAGCCAAATGCATATTTCCATGAGATATCGCGGAAAGACGCGTTCGCCTTTGAAAGCTCACAGCATAGGCTGCCCCTCGCGTATGGGCGGGCTCAGTGAAACAGCAGGAGTATAACAATGCTGCAGCCTGAGACTCGCAAACTTGCGGTGGCGTGGAAGTACAAAGAGGTGCATGGGTTGCCAGGAATACGACTACAACAACGGTCAGTCAATTCCGAATTCATTTCTGAGTAGAACTTACGTATGTACCGCGGGTGTCTGGGCGGGCTCATCATACTCCGAGTCCTCATCGGCATGAGTTGAAATGTTCAGTGCAGCATGTCACTGTTGGCTGAAACAGGCTCGATGGCGTACATTAATGGAAAGCTTCTTCGGTTGCTACTAGATCCGGCAACGTAAGGTGCCTGGCAATCCGATATGCCATATCTCGAAATCAGCGCGTAGACTCGGGCTCACTAGGACCGGACGAATTTACGAACTAGAACTAACTGTTAGCATAATATGCTGTAAAATGAGCCCTGGACGTGTGAGCCCCGCTGGTTCACTCCGAAGTGCAAGGAGGTGATGTGGTGCGCGACGAATTGGCGCGCGCGTTGAAAACCTTCGTTGATCGCGATGGGCATTGTGGCGCTGATAGGCACCTTAAATATAAGGTCTGCCGAGGCGATGCCGAGCGCTGCCGAGCAGACGTCGGCCTGACTAATCTGGAATACACTGGAGGGTTCATATGCCAGGGGCATGGTTTTACCGGCTTACTCTCGAATAAGTAAGTAAGTAAGCATTAAGCTGCGATCGGTGCAGCGCAGAACCGTGTCTGAACGTCTCAATGGCGGTCGTTAATATCGCTTTTGCGTCTTGCGTTCGGATCGACATAGCTGTGGCGCATTGGCGATATTGGTGCCACTAAGGCAAGCCACTCATCTCAGGAGCCTCCGACTCCACCTCTTGGACTGCGCTGGGCACTACAGGCACCAAAGCCGAACCGGTCGAGCAAGGCCGGGCCCTCACCAACCCAGCCCATAGCTCGGCTATGTCGCTTCCGCATTGACAAGTCTTGTATCAAAGACGATCACTGATCTAAAGCAATACTCATCATACTCGTGACCCTACAATCTGGCAGTGCTGTCCAATCCAGGCACCGCTGCGTCATAATACATAATCTAGGACAACTGCTATCTACGTGAAGCTACTGATACACTTGGCGCGTGAACGGAAGGACGAAACAATCAGGACGCTCTAAGGCGAATCAAGACGTTACAGCTAAGTAGGAGAATGACAAAGAACAGGCTGCCAAGATCCCTGAGAGACGTTGCGCAGCTCCACAAGGGAAAGGGCACGGAATGGGATGTTCTGCAGCGCCCAATGAGGATCGCCTCCGGTAGCGTGAAGCATGTCCTATACTACATAAGCGGGTTGGCATCTAAGCTACAACGCGAGCTACTCACATTGTAGAACTGCTGAACACGGGTGGCGGCCTGGTTTGCGATCTGGGCCAGGGTCACGGGACGATTCCCCAAGTTGGCGGTTAAGGCATTAAGCATGGTCCATTCGTCGTACCCAGGCCACTGTGAGATGAGATATGCATGAGGCTTCGATAGTCGGGGTATGAAGCGGACATAAACTTGCCAAAATGCGTAGGTTGACCCTGATGTTAGTCTCTGACAATGGTGGAGTGGTTTCTGCGTTGTCAAGTTCATTGCCAGGGACCAAAGCACTCTCTAGATGCAGCCCGAGGAAACCGTTGGCGAAGAACCTGATTGGAGGAAGAGGATTGAAGCCGTTTTGACCAGTCGCCCGCCGATAAACTCGTTGGGGGACAATAATGCCTGGTGTATTCGGCGGCTGCGGGTAGTTCATGAATGTATGGAAATCTTGCGGATTCTGGTTCTGCTCAAAGTCAGCTCGTATAGGAGCGCTACGAGAGCAGCCGCTACACACATTAATATTCTGCGCCATATCGCGAAAACAGTGAGACTGGGAGTAGACGAGGCGAGTTTGAGATGCACTCACCGGGCTAAGCTCACTCTGATTTTGTATCGTCACTAATGTCGGCTAGGGTTCATTGCTGTTGTGCGCATCGTCGCCTACGTCCACCGCGTTCAAACGCTCTACGCGCGATGGCGTAGTTTCCAGATGTGGTGCCTAGCCAAATTGTAAAAGTAAAACATGTGAGGAGTCCTTTCTGGAAGTATGGATGAAATTTAAGCATCATATCGACTGGCGAGTGAATAAGTAAGGTTGATAGGTGGCGTCATCGGAAATTACAGCATGGACATCGTACTAGGAGTAAAGGGGCAATCACCTTAGCTCATAGCGCCCCCAAATACACAAACACATGCTTTACCCAGCACAGGACGACGCCCTGCTGCGGCAACGCGTCCCACGGTCCATGAGGTGTCCAGGTACATCCCGTGCTTAACGGAGGCCGGCTGTAACCAGACAACTTCCGGGCTAAACACGAGGTAAGTCGAGGCTCAAGATAATCTGTAAGCGTCCAGTCAATGAGGTGACTCACCCTAACCTACCGCGCCCCACGACGCTACGGAAATCCGACAGGCATATGTGGCCCGCGGCACCGTCTTCCGCGCGCACTGGCTGGATACCGCGAGGTTAGAGCCGGCCTCGTCGGAGTGCAAGTCGGCGCCATAGCCCCTCGCGGTCTGATCGCTCAGGATATGGTGGTGGTTGGAGTAAAGAGGAAATGACCCTTCGTGTTCGCTGGCTGTGGCGATGATAGACGCCTAATAGTAAGCATCGTCACGTCATGCATGCCTGACGCCCCATCTGGGCAGTACCCCCCTTATCCTGAGTTCAGGGACACTATGCACGAAGAATTTAGAGGTAGACGCTTGGTGGAAGACTATACGATGAATTGCTGAAGCGTCAAATACCTCGTCCAGTCATCCGGGCAGTTTGGTTGGATCGGAAGGGTTGAGGCTGCAGGTTAGTCCACTATCCAAATCATCGTAATGCCATACCTCTTCTCTTCTCTTCTCACTCTTGACACTCTGTCCGGTAGCTCGTCGCAATCGCTTCAGGGTTCAGAATACAGACTGATGCCAGATCTCCCAATGACTCAATCCGTCCGGACAACCCGGCGAAATCAACGAAAGCCAGTCGCGCATCTGGACAATCGGCATTTGAAGTGCCCAACATGATTCGAAAAACTTGCTCCGCAACAAACCGACGCGCAAGAGCGTGGGTGCCCCCTTAATCACACCTGCGTCACTTTCATTAATGGCCCATGGCATGTTATCGAACACGATATCCAGCATTCAAGCCAGGTGCACGCTCGTCGTCAATCGGCGACGCGTGCACTTTTGGGTGTCGCATCGTGGTGCCGGAAGCTGTCATCGGTGTGGCAAATGTTTCGCCGCGAATATATACAGAGCCAGCGTGACGCCCCCCCCCCCTCCCGGAAACGGATCCGTCACTGGACGCGCCGCGTGGTACCCAAGCACCTAGGCACAGTCCTCCTTATACAAAGGCCCGCTGCTGCCAGACGAGTTACATCAAACAAACGACAATTGAACACAAAAACAATGCGCGAACGCTGGACAAATGACCGCGGCGGACGCGGCGGTCTGCCCACTCCGCGACATCACGGAAGTCCGATATGTATCCGCAAGAACCATCTCCCGCCGGGCACCAGACCGGACACCGAGAGGTCAGGCTTGGAGTCAACTTCGTTGAAAGCAACTCTAGAAACTCTTCGCAGTAAGTTTCTCACACGCAGGGCCCGGCTTCGACTGTCGGGCGCGCTTGAGGCTAGCAGAACGGACGCTCAGTCCGTAGCTCAGAAGAAGGGAAGTCTCTAAGATGTATTTACCTAGCAGAACGGACGCTCAGTCCGTACTGCAATACAGTCAGTACCCTACAGTGTCCATAATGAGAGGATATACGCACGCTCAGAAGAAGGGAAGTCTCTGAGCGTGCACGACAGGGAAAAGCGAGTAAATAAGGAAAGTGGCAGGTGCCTTAGCAACTGGTGAGTCAGGAACAAAATAACGAACGCGCTATCTAATAAAATACTGTCCAATAGGAATCTGAGTCATCCCGAGACATGTGCGTGCGAGCGCACGAGCCCAAAATCCAACAGCAACCAACACAAGGGACTTTTGATCCCGCTGGCTTGGATGGAGGCGGTGCTGTTTAACATACAGCGGAAAAGAATTCACATGCCCGCCGGCAGAGTTGATGCGCACATTCCTATCTGGAATCTGTGGCGTCGATAGGCGCCACATTTGCATCAGGAAAATCCGACCCGAGCTATGAGTGCTGATCAGCGTGTATAATACTCGTAACCTCCGTAAACATCATCCCGGGGGCATTAAAAGTGCTTACCGTTTTGACAAACTTTCAACGCACACTCATAACCACACACCAAAATATTATAACCGTAGCTGATATGATCATAATCACAGCGCGTCCTGTTGCACGATTATGAGCACCGATGATCGTCTGGCAGCTATTGACCACAGCAGACCACAGCAGCAAGCAGGGTAAGCTAAGGCAAGCCACTCATATAAAGTGCCTCTGAGTCGGCCAGAACGCCCTCTTGAAGTGCGTTGGGCCCTGATGCTGTGCAGCTTCGGCTTCTGCGAAGCAGAATCGAGCAAAGCCGAGCCGTCACCAGCCCTCGGCGGTTTAGCTCAGACGGCCTAAGGCCCGGCTTTGGCGCAAGCTGGACAGGCCTAAGTCGGCGCCAGTTTATGACGCAGTTGCATTGACAGGTCTTGTCTCAAAGCGAGTCACCAGTCCGGAGCAATGTCCGCTGAGTACTTATTGCTAAAGAATCTAACAGTGTTGTATAATCTAGGCACTGCTGCATCGTAATAAATAACCAGTGAGACAAATGATAACTATATGGAGCTCCTAATGTATCGAGCGCGTGAACGAAGGAAAGACACTCGAAAGCGAATCAAACTAGCACCGGAAATTAGACGCCGTTGGGTACCGTATAGCAGAAGACGGGCTGCCAGGATCCCTGTGAGACATTGCGCAGCTCAACAAGATGAAGAGCGCTAAATGGAATCCTCTGTAGCTGCCAATCTGCCACAGCACCAACGTTGGTAAGCATGTCCTGTGCCATGTTAGTGAACCAGAATCTAAGCTACGGTATGAAGCACTCACCTGGTAGAACTCTTGAACACGGCTGGCAACCCGATATGCGATATTGGCGATGGTGGCGGGATTATTGGCCACTGTGGCGACCAAAGCATTGTTCAAATGCCACCCTTCGTACCCAGGCCACTGTGTAACGTGCATGAGAATACAAAGCTAGGGTATGGAGCGGACATAAATTCACAAGAATGCGTAGAGCGGCCCTGTCGTTATTCAGTGACAATATTGGAGCAGTGGCCGCGTTGTCAAGTACATTGTCAGGTACCAAGGCACTCTGGAGATTTAACCCGAGGGAACCATTGACGAAGAACCTGATGGGAGGAAGAGGAATAAAATCGTTTTGACCAGCCGGCCGCGGGAACACCTGTTGAGGGACAACAATGCCGGACAGATTCACGTCCATCGGTAGTCCATCGTAGTCCATGAATGTATGGTACTCTGGCTGATCATGACCCAGTTACCTCGTATAACAGAGCCACGAGAGCAGCCGCTACGTACATTCTGTGCCATGTCGCGAGAACAGTGAGACTGGGGGTAGATGAAGAGAGCTTGAGATACACTCACTAGGCTGAACTCGTTCTGATTTTGTACCGTCACTAAATGTCGGCTAGGGTCGATTGCTGCTGTGCGCACCGTCGCCTACGGCCACCGCGTTCATGCGCTCTACGCGCGATGGCGTAGTTTCCAGATGTGATACCTAGCTAAATTGTAAAAGTAAAACATGTGAAGAGTCCTTTCTGGAAGTATGGATGAAATTTGAGCATCATATCGACTATTTTCTGCATGATCTGGCGAGTGAATAAGTAAGGTCAATAGGTGGCGTCATCGGAAATTACAGCGTGAACACCGTACTAGGAAAAAAGGATAATCATCTTAGCTCATAGCGCCCCCAAATACACAAACACGTGCTTTACCCAGCACAGGACGACGCCCTGCTGCGGCAACGCGTCCCACGGTCCATGAGGCGTCCAGGTACATCCCGTGCTTAACGGAGGCCGGCTGTAACCAGAAAACTTCCGGGCTAAACACGAGGTAAGTCGAGGCTCAAGATAATCTGTAAGCGTCCAGTCAATGAGGTGACTCACCCTAACCTACCGCGCCCCACGACGCTACGGAAATCCGACAGGCATATGTGGCACGGCACCGTCTTCCGCGCGCACTGGCTGGATACCGCGAGGTTAGAGCCGGCCTCATCGGAATACAGTCGGTGCCAGAGTCCCTCGCGGTTTGATCGCTCAGGATATGGTGGTGGTTGGAGTAAAGAGGAAATGACCCTTCGTGTTCGCTGGCTGTGGCGATAATAGACGCCTAATAGTAAGCATCGTCACGTCATGCATACCTGACGCCCCATCTGGGCAGTACCCCCTTATATTGAGTTCAGGGACACTATGCACGAAGAATTTAGAGGTAGACGCTTTGTGCAAGACTATACGATGAATTGCTGAAGCGTCCAAAACCTCGTCCAATTATCCGGACGGTTTGGTTAGAGACGGGCTGTGAGGCTGCAGGTTACTGGTCCACTATCCAAATCATCGTAATACCATACCACTTCTCTCCTCACTCTTGATATCATTTCAAACCCTGAAGCGACTGTGACGAGCTACCGGACAGACAGACTGATTCCAGGTCTCCCAATGACTCAGTCTGTCCGGACAACCCGGCGAAATCAACGGAAGCTAGTCACGCATCTGGACAATCGGCATTTGAAGTGCCCAAACATGATTAAAAAAAATTATTCCGCAACAAATCGACGCGCAATAGCGTGGACTCTCCCTCAATCACACCTGCGTCGCTTTCATTAATGGCCCATGGCATATTATCGAATACGACATCCAGCATCCAAGCCAGGTTGCATGCTCGTTGCCAATCGGCGGCGCGTGCACTTTCGGGTGTTGCGTCATGGTACCGGAAGCTGTCATCGGTGTGGCAAATGTTCCGCCGCGAGTATATACAGAGCCAGCGTGGCGCCCCCCAAAACGGATCTCTTCCTGATGTCGCTGGACGCGCCGTGTGGTACTCAAGCATCCAGGCAGAGTCCTTCTTGTACAAAGGCCTGCTGCTGCTAGACGAGTTATATCAAACAAACGACAATTGAACACAAAAACAATGCGTGAACGCTGGACAAATGACCGCGGCGGACGCGGCGGTCTGCTCACTCCGCGACATCATGGAGGTCTGATATGCATCCGCGAGAACCAGGAGGTCAGGGTCAGGGTCAACTTCGTTGGAAGCATTCAACACCAGGGGGCCTTTGCTCCCGCTGGCTTAGATGGAGGCGGTGGTGTCAAACACGCGGGAGAAAAGAATTCGCATGCCCGCCGACACGCTGATGCGCATATTCCTATCCGGAATCTGCCAGCGTGGCGTCGATAGGCGCCACCATTTGCGCTTCGCGTCGGGGCCGCGTTTCAGATATCTGGATCTCTGGCACGCTGACGTTAAAATTTGATGATCTGCATATGCCGCACCTCACGTCAATCTAAGTTATACACTCTATAGTCACGTCATATGACGGAGTAACGACAAGCTGTAAGTGTTGTACAATCAAGGTCCGGCCAGTAGCGTCAGGCCTGAGGCACGACGCGGCAGAGAACGGGCTGCCAGGAAGCCTGGAGAACATGGTGAAGTTCCAGGAGCACGAGCTGGTCGATTGGCACTTCAGCCGCCCACCAGTCGCGACTGGGTTCAGTAGAGGATATTCCCGGCACTTCCAGTTCCTACGCTTAGTCAGCGCGGTGCATCCAGAATATAACCATGGAACAGACCTGCAAACACTGCCGGACTGTCTTTGCGATATCCTGGGCGAGCCGAGCCTTGGTGACGAGTCCACCGGTAGGCTCGGTGATCACGATGTACTTCGACCACGGGGTATATCCGGGCCACTTGCAGAAGACGGTATGAGACACTCAAGACAAAATATACGACACTGCAAAACGTACAACAATGCGGATCCCGATCTTCTGACCAGCGTTAGGCATGTCGACTCTGTCTTCCGCGCCGGGCATGCTAAAGGTATCGTTGTTGATGGCGTTGGCAAGATAGATGCCAGGGATACCTGCCTGTTCGAAGCGGATGGGGTTCATGCGTTCGAACGGCGGGGTGGGACGCTCCGGTGTGTACGTCTTTTGAGGGACTAGCACACCACCAGGAGGCAAGATTCTCGGCATCGCCGGGTTATTAAAGACGTGGTACTTGAGACATAGATAAAGCGGGTAGTGGAACAAAAATGAAGCAAAATGACTTACTGAATTCGCCATGAAGCTCTGGGGAACGAAGTGTCAATGCGCAGAATGTGCAAGAGCATTTCAGGCTCTGGGTCGCTTTTGTATGACAGCTGTCGCGGATTTACGGTCCACTTACTACGCAACGTTCTCTGAACCGCTGGAGCTATACATCTCGAATGATGTTTGAGGCTCGATACATCAGCAATATCTGTGTTCGCGCAAGGCATGGATCTTCGAGATCATGGTCACAGTCGTTCCATAGACACTGGTAGGTTATGATGGCACGGTAGATTCTCAGCCTCATGTCCGCGCAAGAGGGCAGTAGGCACGGTAGAGGCTTACATTAGCCAAGAAATGAGATGGATTATCACATTAACTCACCTGTGTAGCTTCGGCGGACTGAACAGCAGGACCGAGACCCTGCAGCTTGGGCGAGCCATCGAAGGGACTCATCGCTTGGAGGGTAGACATCTTAGAGAGGCAGAGTTCAGTTCATCGTAACTTACAGCAACGACGATATCAGTGCAGAAAAGTCAGCGCTTCACCTACCGTGTATAACATACCGGGAAAGGCTGCCTTGTTCTCGGTCTTGGACCCTTTTATGTCCTCGTGATGGCCCACATACTGATGCCAAAATGGTGTTCCCTGAGGAGTCCGATCCTCAGTTATTCCACCACGGAACCGTCAGACCAAAAGTTCCGGGTTCACTCCCTTTGCTTAAGTCCTGCTAGGCGCACCCGGCTGTGGCATTTTCCTTCATTTCTCACGTAACTTACGACGGGAGCCGCCCGTGGGTAGAACGGTGATGGCCGTGATGGCGGCAGGCACTGGTTCACGCGCGCTTGCTGTTCGCGAACCTGAATACGAACATCTCTATGCTGCCAGTATCTTGCCATACTCATACAACATAATGGTGGGGGTTCCAGTGCCGCCAGCTGGGAAAGTGCTTCTCGGGGAGTCGGTCGAGGAGAGTCGGGTCAAACGTCTGGAGAAGCAGCAGTCTCGGTATAGGGACAGAGGCGGGTATGTCCAGACATTTTACGCGTTAGCAGCCAACCAGACGTGTTGCACCCTTTCAGGATGTTTGTTCCTGCCGATACAAACCCTTTGCTTGATGTGCTGTTGGCGCGGGGCGTCAATGGCGAGTCACCCCAGAAGCAGCGGTCAATGGCCCCGTCACCCTCACCGCCTCGAAAGGCAAGAAAGAGTGCAGTCTCGGTTGTCCGCGCGAAGAAGCCCAAAGCTAAGGCGAGCGATGGCGGCGCGTCTCCTGCCAAAGTAGCCAGGAGAAAGTCAGCCCGGGTCAAACGTGACCCCAAGCCGAAGAGCAGGGCAGCAGTGAAGTCGGTAAAGAAGACGGCTAACCCTGGGCTCGGTGTACAGGACAACGGTGCTCCCACCGCAGGTTAGGCTATTTGTTTGGGCATCGATCATTTATTTCCGACACACACTTCCATAGGTCCGTCCAAGCTACCTCCAGAACCACCCAGCGGGGCGCGCATGGGCAAGGCGCGGCTTAAGGCCTCCGGCATGTAGCAGCTCATGTTCTCGTCGCTGTTACATAAACTGACAGAAAGCGGATTTGACAGGAAATGCAGATGTGTCTACACCAGCTACTGATGCAGATGCCGCGGCACAGAAGGCCGCCTCCCAGAAGGGACCCGCCAAACGCTCAACGAGAGATCCCGGTGCGCAATTTCGCACCTGCTGTCAATGTGTGCTAAGCGGAATTATCGTGCAGCTCCTAGGAAGAGTGCGGAGAAGAACAAGAACAGCTTATCGGCGCGGGTCCACCCAACGCCCGAGGATAAGCCCGCACAGCCCGCAGCCGGAAGGGGCAGGCCTCAGAAACAACGTAACGAGAAGGCGAACACTGGCGTTGGACCGTCTGCCTCGGTGCCAAAGCCATCCAGCAACCGAGCTGGAAAGACGGCAGGCGACACCCGCCCCACTGTTCCGAGCACTGCCGGGGGAAACAGAGGCAAGTGCCATCGTTTCCACGACAGGTGATTCGAGATTGACTTCATCATGGTAATGACAGATACCCGTGGTGGAGCCAACCGCGATGTGGCGTCCAACAGGTCTGGTATGAAACGACCCGCGGGAAGTGAGGGGCCCGTGGCTAACGGGGCAGCGGACGAGCTCTCTGCGCCATCCAGGCACAAGCGGCCAAAGCTGTACATCCCGCCCGACTCAGAATCCGACGATGACGACGACGTGCCTATCATGGCGACTCTGAAAGCGAAGACAAAGACTCGGGAGGCGGCGCAGAGCAGCAAGGTTCAGTTGCCGACCACCGATGCTCGTGCCAGTCGCGTAGCGCCTACGTCCGGGAAGATGCCCTCAGCTAGGAGCGCGGATCTCCCTCTTCAAGCTGCACATGATGGGCAAGCAGGTTCCTCAAAGCTTCCTACAATCGCACAAGAAGACGAGTTACCTACTAAGGGGCGTAAAAAGCCTTCCTCGCAGTCAAGGGCCTCCAAGAAAGCGACAGCTAAGGCCTCGGTGAAACTGGCCGACGATATTGTGGACGACGCGCAGATAGGTTCCTCCAGCCGGACTAAGCTCTCTACAGTGGTAGAGGCGGAAGGACGAATAGGTGAGGTCGCACCGAAGAGACAAAAGAAAGGCGCGGTGAAGGCTCCGGAGGGACCTACGGGCGATGTGCCTTCAGCAACGGATGCCTCGACGAAGGGGAAGAGTCGCTCCAAGGCATTAGCCAAACGCAAAGAACGAGAAGACCACTCATCTCCAGCCCCCGCGGAAGATCTCTCTGAGGCAGACGAGGTTAGACCGGCGAAACGACGGAAGGCGACAGCGGACGATGATCACGGCAGTGGGAATGCGAAGCGGTGAGTCTCACGATCCACGAATAGCTTGAACTGTCTGAACTATGTTTTCAGACTGAAATCCTCTTCCAGCCGGTTGAAGGAGAATAGGAAGACGAGCAGCGCGAAGAACCCAGCTCTGGCGAAGGCAGCGGCGCCCAAACCGAAGGTCAGGTCAACTTTGTGCATGCCTCGCACTCCGTTCTAACTTTGTACTACAGCCACGGATGTCCATGTTCCCCGTACCAGATGAGATTGAGAATAGTGAAGACGAGCTTGACTTCCTCAGATAATCTTCTGTAGTGTAGTACGATAGCGGCACATGACAACGATGAAATCTCTGGAAGCAATGCTGACTTGATAAAATTCTTGCACAAATAATCTTGAGCAAAATAGAGTTCACGTTGAACGTTGATAGTTTATCTAAGGAGTAGGCAGAAGCGTGCCCGTCGCAGCGGGAAGGGCCTGGTCCTCGTCCCGACCTGACAGATAAATTCAGCACGGGACATACTGCATCGGATAGACCACGCACCCTCGTAAAACTTTTGCAAGAATGTCCGTGGTGGGCGACCCCTCGGTACCAGCAGCTTGCCCATCACATGGTCCTTCTGTTTCCAGAAGTTCATGGTCTCCTGGTACTCCTGCCTGCCCTGCAGCAAGAGGTGGTTGATCACGCGCAGGTCGGTAACATGCCGGTTCTCCTCAAATCTCCTCCGTATCTGCTGGCGAACGTACTGCGGCGAGACGTGCAGCGTGTAGAGAGCGCAGAATTCCGGGGCCTGGCGCGCAAGGGTGAGCGACGTCTGCGGGGGAATACGGTAGAAGACACGCAGCATACACCGCGGTACCAGTCGCGGTAGAGCGTCAGCACTGCCGCGCGGGCCTCCTCGGGGGTCTTGATTACCTTCGTCGCGCGGGCGAGACGGGATGGGATGGTGGTCATAGCTCGACGGTGTTGAATGCACCCGACCCGACTCGCGAGACGACGTCGAGTCGGGTCCGTACCAGTTTCAGTCGGAGCCTATAGGTTCTCTATGTTTGGGACATTTGCGTCAGCGTTCTGCGGTGCCGGGACCTCGGCACCACACAAGTTCAAACCCAGACACGTGCTTGGTACACAATTGCAGGGCAAAGCCAATCGTGTTTGATCTGACGCCCTCGAGCTGTACTCTATCCCCCATCGTCCTCGATTCAACCCTTTCGGCCGTACACTTTTTTCAGAGCAACAATGGCCCGCGGGACCTTCAAGCAGAAGCGTGGTGGAGGCCGAAAGTGAGTGCAAACGATCTTTGGTCGTTTTCGTGCGATGCTTATATGCCGGACATAACTCGCCTTTCAGCTTTAGGTATTCGCTTATCGACCGCCGTTATCGCGCACAATATCTTGACCTTACTTGTATAGCCGGCACCTTGAGCTCAATGAGGAAGGCACCGCAGTCGCAGTAGACAAATGGCTAGTGTCCTGAAGTCTGATGGACAGCCGCAGAAAATTGACCTCTTGCAGGGGCAGACGCGAGAAGGAGGAGGAAGAGGAGAGCGACGACGAGGAGGAAGAGTCCGATGAAGAAGAGGAGGAAGAGTCCGAGGAGGAGGGTACGCCTCAGCAAGTCGAGCTGACTCGTGCGCAACGCAAGGAGCTCAAGAAGAAGAAGAAAGAAGCCGCCACTAAGGCCGAAGAGGACCAAGACGAAGACGGCGCAGAACCCTTGGTGGCGAACCCTAATATTGCAAGCGGAAAGCAGAGAAGTCTTGCTTCGCTCGATGCCCCCCAAGAGCTCTCTCGCAGAGAGAGGTACGTCGCGTGATGTACCAATATACCCATGCTTATCTCGCGGACTTAAAGGGAGGAGAAGGAGGCCAAAGAGAAGAAGGAGCGCTACTGGAAGGTATGCAAGTATTCAAGCAGCCCTAAATCGATACTTACCTTTCTGGGTAGCTGCACGAACAAGGCAAGACCGAGCAAGCTCAGGCAGACCTCGCCCGCCTTGCCAAGATCCGCGCAGAGCGCGAAGCGGCTGCTGCTAAGCGTAAGGCTGAAGCTGAAGGTGTGTTTTTTTTCGTGCCTGGAGGTGTTGATCTGCGCTTATACCCTTATCTGTAGCCAAAGCTGCAGAAACGGAGACGAAGCGGAAGGAGGCTATGTCGAAGAGAAAGGCCTAATTTGTCTTCAGTGCCTGCCCTCTGTATTACTAGGTTTCCCGTGTAAGATTAACATCATCGGATCTCGTTATTGGCCACTGCAAATATCTTCTGCGTGATGCGTTTGCCAATCCTATTTTAAGAGGTTGTGCTCGTCGACTAATTCTGCTGCTTAGAATCAGTGCACAAGCGCCCCGGCATTGTGGCGCTCGGCAACGTCCGTTATTGCGAGATACTACTTTTCCCAAACCCTGTCAACTCAGCTGCGGGGAAGGTCCGCAACGTTATCCACAGCGCCACGGATGTTAAGGCAAAATCATGACAGTGGACAGCACATGTTTTGTCCTCGGCAAGACAGCCTCGGGTCACTTTTGGCCTAGACGCCCTCTTGCGGCGCCGGACACCCAGAAATCGGTCACGTCAATGGAGAAGCGGGACGCCGAAACTCCTGTCGTGCAGCGCATGTTCGCTCCTTCTATTCTTTAAAGGTATAAAGTGATGGCTAGGGCTTGGTGCGCAGACACGGCATCCCTCTTCCCGGGCAGATAAACGCCCCTCGCGGTCGTCGTGGACAATGCCTCGCGGGACGCCTGTCAGAATCCAGAAATGCTCATGCTGGACACGGCAAGCTAACCGCCACAGAAATCTACAACTTTGACCGTGGCTCTCTGTCTGGCACATGTCGAAGCAACGTATAAAGGCTTGAGAGATGGTGCAAGGTTATGCACCTCCGGACTAAACAGTTGCGAGAACATGTTGCCATCCACACCAGAGGTGCGTTTTTCAAGTATCACACAGACAGATCTTAGCTGACGACAAGGAGCAACCTTAGTATCATACCTTTAACAACGCTCCCGATGACTGTGGCATGCTGGTTCCCCAGAAGGTGTATACTCAACACGGCGCGACGTTCGAAAGACGGGCCTCAGTCATTTTCCCCCCGGAGACGTACTTACACCGCGCATTGGCACGGGCGTTCGCCAATGATACGCGTTTTCAACAGCGTATACCCACGTCCGACTTCAGCAAGCTGAAGTTCACTCTCCGTCTCGAGGTGAGTGGCTCGTCCTGCCTGATAAAATCCATAGCGGTGCTGAATGGCCATAAGTGGCCCGGGTACGCGCCCTGGAACTGCAATATCCAGGGTACAGAACGTGCAGGCCATCCAGAACCAGTTCTTCTGTCTGTTCTGGCCGAGAGGGTTGCACATGCAGTCGAAAAGTTTTTCGCGGTGGGTGCTGAGTTGTTACACCGGCTTTTGCTCTCATGCTTACTAAAAATCTGTACAGAAAAATGCGAATATCCCGTCATCGGAGAGGGACTGGAATGTCGGCGCTATTCGCTTTGAGGGGCTGAGCCTTGTAGAGCTGCGACACGTTTCCGAGGGATCATGGCAGCCTGTTCTGAACTACTTCCCTTGAGCTATGTGGCTTGTGCGACACCGTGGCTCGGCTTGCTGCTCTCTTATATCTTGCTCGACTCCGCTCTACTTTGTGACGGAATAATGGCATATTCGCTATATCATCTTTCCGGATTTTTTATGTTCGTATTGACGTACGCGAACAAGCAAGCGCCCTCAAGCTGAAACGCGGAGGCTCCGTTTGTCCACAAATACTGGTGGCCGTCAGCGCCAGAACCTAAAGGACAGATCTAGAAATATTAGAAAAAAGTTTACAGTGGAATGCGCACCGTGAGACTTGCCGAATAAACAGATACTTCTTTTTGCACGCACAAGACATCTAGACAGCTGGCTGCATTTTGAGAATAGCATGCTATGTCGGAGATGATCGATGAGCGGCAAGCGCGAGCAAAGTCATGTGGCGTCGGCTATTAGCGCCGTCACGGTGGCGAACCGCACCGCGTTGACAGCAACGATTGCCGTGTTGCCGGTTGCTTTGTCCACATTTTGTTGGATATACCGAAAGTATCCCTTTGATCGAGATGGACTACGTGGCGGGGTGGGCTTGATGACGTGTCTACCATGCACGAGGCTTGTTATACTGTAAGTCATGTTGAATTATCGCGTTCCGCACCCATATGCAAGTTGCCCGATTCAAGGAGCGTTTGGACCGACTTCGAGTTGAAGCCCTTCGGGAGGTAAATCTTTCTTTCATAGCTCAAGCGTGAATTTTTTATCCCTTGTCTACGGCATAAGCGTGCGCGAGGGTGAACTCCTCCGTCGTAACTTGTGAACTCACGGATTGACAGGTATGACGCCACACGGGAATGCGCTTTCCAGGGTTCAATTCAAATTACGTCACCGTGCTACGACTAAGATATCTGCTTGATCCTCTTTATGTACAGATAACTAGTGCTCTTTGCCATGACGCCCTCCGTTTTCTTGACTGGCCTACCAATAATCCTCGAAAAATGAAGATCGCCCGCAGTTTTCTCAGGGATAGTCTGGGGCAGAAGGCCTCCGTGAGGCATTAAATAGGGTCGGACTCGGAGGGGTATACGGATTTTCTCGTGGCGGTGAAAAATTTGAACCAGGATGGTGAGTCCTAAGATGTCGACGCTATCTGACAGCTGCTCATCGCCTTCCACCGAAGGAGGTACCAAGGGACCAATACCACTTTTTCGGCAATATTGAAACAAACGGCGAGTCTTACGAGGGGATTATAGTTCCTCAGAAAGTATACGAATGTGGGGGAAATCTTCAGGCGAGACAGACGGTCCTGTTCCCTGGGAATCTCACGATTCAGGAAGCCCTCCATATGCGGTCCGCTCGTAGCCCAGAATACGAGAGGCCTACAGTTACTACTAGCCCCGGCATCCCAAGATTCAGCGTTCGTTTAGATGCGAGTACCATACCGCCGACTTCTTTTGATTCTTTGCGGCTTACACGCCTACAGATGCCGGGATACGACCCGTGGACAAGCATCATCAATGCTCGAGAGCGCGGCAGTGTATCTACAGAACCTATCATGCTCTGGCAGCTCGCACGGCGGGTGGCAGATGCATTCAAGAAGTTCTATGATGTACGCTCAGCCGTGGTCTGCTCCTACTATGTCTCGACTAAAGTGATGGATCCGGACAGGGTCACCTGAATGCATATTGCTCCAAGCCCGACTGGAACCTGAATAGGATGCCATTAGAAAGAATTATTCTGCTAGAGCTGCACCACGTCTCCGAGGGTTCCTGGCAGCCAGTACTGTGCTTAAATATTAACTAGACCGCTGGGCAGAGAGTCGCTGCGCGATCCTGCTAGATTTCATCCTTTAGTTCATTCGTTCACACCACAATAATTTTATAACTTACACTGTGCATATTACCTCTCGCTATCTATTTTATTATCTGTATGACTTTATGTAATTTTGCGCGCCATTTCTCTCACTGCTTGTCGAGTCTAATGAGAGCCACAAAAGAAAGGTCGCTCGACACTTGGAGCTTGAGCTTCGGTGTGATTCAACCATAGAAACAGACATGCCGTTTCCGCAGTGCTCGATATAATCCCACTGTCACTTGACGAGCGTAATGGTCGATGAGACATCCAAGCCTGAGTCTGAACTTGCCTACTCTTCAGCGGCTTGCGAATATCATCTTGTTGCGGACAATGTGACCTTTACGTGTGCCGTTATTCGGTGATGACATTACTAGTGCCCACGCGAGCATATTCGCTGCTAAAGCTGCCAAAACGAGGATGAGCAGAGCGATCTGGTGCATACGGGCTGCACAACGTGCTATTCATTTAACAAGTTGGGCCGACATCTCCCCAAGACCGCCCCGCACACCTTTGCATGTCCGACGCTCTTCTTCCTCGTGTTCTTACGAGAACTGGAAGCGCACACTCTGGACCTCAGAGGTGGCTGGCTGTTCAGTTACGAGGACCTGTACTGGAAGACCACTGGCCTCAGGTCATCAGCCTGAGCTAATCTCGCAGAAGGCATGACAAAGCGAGCACCCTGGAAAAGCTGAAGCAAGTCTTGAAACACCACGGGCTGGACCCTGCGAACCTCTAGGACGCGTGGATGCTGACCATGCCGAGCCACTTCGGATTCGAGATTATCAATCCCTTGACCGTCTACTTCTGTTATAAGCACGGAAGCGAGGAATGGGCCGCCGTCTTCGAGGTGAGTGCCTGAAATATAGCCGCGTGACACGACTCATCTCAGATACACAACACATTTGATAAAAGCACGTCCGTGTACTTCCAGTGAGCCTACCGCAGGACGCGCTTCTTCTCATAGGTTAGAGTTGCCTCTGTGCGAGATATGCAATTTACTCACCCTTCGATCCACGGGTTCATCCATGAAAGTAATTTTCCGCAAGAACTCCATGTTTCGCCATTCAACGATCGTTCCGGGTACTATTGCGTGTCCGCCAACATATTCATGGCGCAGAATCTATGGACAGAAAATACTCCATTGCCTGCGCCGAAAGTGCGGGTGCTCTTGCGCACTTGCACGGGCTGCCTAGAGGAAGAGTCTGTAGTAGTGCCTGTTAAGCTTGCAGCCTTCCTAGCACCATCAGCTTGCTCACCGTCGACGTCCTGCAATTTACTACGGTTGCTCCTCCTGCAACTGCTCGCTCTCTTCTCGTCTATGCCTCGGATCTTGTACCAAGCACGGCTCCTGCACTACAAGAAGGGTCTCAGTGTGTATGTGCGCATCAGCAAAACCTCCATGTGTTGGGCGTATCTTATGCTTGAACATTAATGTTAGCATTAGATAAGTCCATCAGATCTTCGGCGTACTTCTTATATAATTGTATACACTGGTATATAATGCAAATATCATACTAAAGCGATCCTCATTGTGGCCATCCCAGAGCCTATCACGAACTGAGCGATCAACGAAATCTTCAAGGCCGACTCATTGGAGCTGGGCGTGATTTTGCCGTTGCCCTTGATGAGGAAGAATGAGGACAAAAGTCTTCTTAACTACGTCCGTTGGTGCAGAGATGTTGCATGAGTGGATACACCCCAGCGCCGCTTGTGCATCTACGCAAACTGTGCCACGGCGCGCTTCCGAGTACAACGAGCTACGAGACGGTGTGCGGTGATCTTGACAGGCTAGCCTACAGGGAGATGGTCAGATGGAGTGGGGTGCGATTGGAGCCAGAGGGAGTGCGCACCTTCGAAGGATACGGCGGCGATGACGATAGAGCCGTCACTTGGTAGGTGGCCGTGGCAGAGTCGAGCACGCCGATTGTGGCCTTGAAGCCTGGGGTGCTATTATGAGCTTTTGTTCTACAGGAACATAGGGTGACGCACCCTGAGCGCCAGCTGACACGATCTACTGCGCAGACGCTTCGCATGTGCTTGTGTTTGGTCTATACAGCACAGGACGTCAGCACTGTATCACCATCTGCCACCGCCGGAGACTCGGGGAGCGACACCAGTCTGTTCTCGCAGAAGCGCATACCGTGACCGCCGCGACAAGTATGCTCGCCAGCCGGTCCGTACACGGGATCGCGTGGATTTATCACTCGTGTAGCTTAATTGTTAACGTCTATCTGAGGCGCAGATGTACGACAGGTCGTGCATGATGAAGGTGAAGCACCGCATTAGGGGGATGAGCGTGATCTGGGCCTCCGCAAACGGGCGGCCCAGCGTGGCATGCCAGCGGGGATCATGAGGTATAGCAGAGGCAGGTACGATGCAAGCGCACATGCCGAGGTCGAAAGGCTGATGGTCAAGTGGTCAGTACCCTGCTCGTGGTGTTCGTGAGGCGGAGACATACTGGGAGTACCTCGAACCTGCTGCTGAGCATCCACTCAGGACGGAACTTGTTGGCCTGCATGGACAGGTCAACACATCCCCAGGGGCCCGTAGACGGCGTGCACACACATCGTCGCCTCAGACTCTGGGGTCGCGGTAGGGGAGCGTGCGGCGCACGGCCATGGTGCCGAGCTCTCTGTGTGCACGTCACGTCTGAGTTCTTGAGGGGGTAATATAGGACAAACGTCTGGATGGCCGAGATTTAGCGGGGTTAAGCCACGATAGATCTAGAGAGTAAAGCTTTAAAGGACGATGTGGATCTCAGATCTCATGCCCGGGCGGCGCAGCAGGGTGTCGTCGACTCAGAGCGCCCGTAAAGAACCCCGGGCCGACGCAAGATTTGGATTGACTCCGAGTGTCGTGTCGAGTCTTCCCTCTGAGATTATCCACGCTATAGTCTCCGTCACGGCGACGTCGACAATCAGCCACTGTCGCATGCCGACAGACTTGCACTGTCGCGATGCATCTTAACGTGCAAGTACTGGGCTGCGCTTCTCAGGTCTGTATATCTCCGGCATCTTACCCTGCGCTCGAGCGAGGACATTGATATGCTCCTTGCACTCGCGCAATCATCCTCACTACCAAATCCCCCCCTGTCCGACTGCCTACACTCATTGGACTTGGCGTTCTATCTACCGGCTACCGCGAGAGCATGGCTGCATCATGGCTGCAAGCTCCAACGGCTCAGAAATGTTGTTTTCATACGTCTAGTTTTTCGCTCCAGACATCTTCACCTCATCGCGCGAAACCGATCTCATGCACACTATCTCCTTTGCTCTTCCTAGACTCGTACCTGGAAGCGACCATCGCCTCACGGTATTATCGTTCAGTAACGTACATTTATCCAGCACCACCGAAATAAGTCGCCTTGTCGATAGGTTGCCGACAGTACGATGCTGCATCTGCCAAGATGTAATCTTCGAGCATACATCCTTCACATCCAGGCCTCGTCCTAGGATCCTCAAACGACACTTCGAGGTTATATCATCGCGGTGCACGATTGTTCAGTCACCCGCCAATAAGACTCCTATTGCTTGCGACATACAGACGCCCAGTGCGCTCCTCGTCACTTTACAATGTCCGGCAAACGACTCGGACGTTTGGGTCCGCGCTGTGTCGCTTCTATCGCGTTTGTTTCCAGAGACTCAATATGATTACGACGTTGGACTAAGATATGTTCCAGCAGAAGGCACGTTCATCGTAACTCTCGCCGCAACCATAGCCTGTGCTCACATTACTTTATCAGATAAACGTACGGCTGCCATGGCAGACCGGAAGGCAGTGATTCCGGGACTTTCTTCGCTGAACTCCGATATATCTCTGGGGGTTGCCTTCGGTCCGACATCAGCTGGTGTCGAGACACCCGTCGTTTCACTTCTGCTGTATTTGTCCGCCGCAGTCATTAGCGACCTTGAGAATGATTTGGACTGGTCCGCCTTTGAGGATGGCATTTTAGAACTGGATTTCATCCCACGCGTCACCATACAAACCCGCGAGCCCATCCCGGCCTCCGACCTCCATCGCTTGAGTAGATCGCTTAAACGACTCGTCGCTTCTGGAAAATTGAGCATAACGGATATGAAACCCAGTACTAAGTTCGAGCATGAACATGAGGTATTGCATTTGTGTCGTGCTCTTCTGACGACAGCTTACTTCGTGCAAAAATTCAGGTATCCCGAACCACTTCTCGTATACTTTCGACAGATGCTGGAATGGCGGCCGGCAGGCGGCGCGCGGCGACACCCAAACTACTCGCACTGCTCGGAATTCGACGGATCATCATAGCGCCTCAGCAAGAGCATCACACCCTTTACAAAGCTCCCGACCGCTCTGGCGTGTTGGTTCCCCTGGGGGTGTTTGACCACGACGACGCGACGTTCGAAAGACAAGACTCAGTCTTTTTTTCTCCGGAGACGTTCTTACATCACGCATTGGCACGGGCGTTCGCCAATGATACGCGTTTTAAACAGCGAATACCCACGTCCAGCTCTACCAAGCTGAAGTTTACTCTCCGTCTCGATGTGAGTGTCTCATCCTGCCTGGTAAAATCTATGGCGGTGATGAATGATCACAAGCGGCCCGGGTACGCGCCCTGGAACTGCAACATCTAGGGTACAGAACGCGCGGGCCATCCAGAACTAGTTCTTCTGTCAGTCCTGGCCGAGAAGGTTGCACACGCGATCCAACTATTTTACGAGGTGGATGCTAAGTTGACACCCCAAATTCTGCCCTCATGCTTACCAGAAATCTGTACAGCAACATGCGCATATCCCGTCACCCGAGACGGATTGGAATGTCAACGCCATTCGCTTTGAGAGGCTGAGACTTGTAGAGCTGGAGCACATTTCTGAGGGGTCATGGCAGCCTGTTCTGAGCTACCACCCTTGGGCTGTGCAGCTTGTGCGACACTATGGCTCGGCTTGCTGCTCTCTTATATCTTGCTCGACTGCACTCTAATCTGTAGCAGAATAATGACCCCCTTCACTATGCCAACTTTCCGGCACTATGTATTTGACATATGCGATCAAACAAGTGCCCTCGGGCCGAAACACGGAGTCTCCATTTGTTTACAGATACTCGTAGCTGTCAGGGCCAGAGCCTAAAGGGTAGAAGTACTAGATAGAAGTCCATGGAGGAACATGCACAGTGAGACTTGACGAATATATATATTTTATTTTTATTTCCCCGCATACACAAGAATCTGCGCAACTGGCTGCATTTTGAGAATAGCATGCTCCGTCGGAGATGAGCGGCAAGCGCGAGCAAAGTCATGTAGCGTCAACTACTGGTGCCGTGGCGAATCGCACCGCGTTAACAGCGGTTGCCGTGTTGCCGTTTGCTTTGTCCACATTTTGCTGGATATACCGAAAGCACCCCTTCAGTCGAGATGGACTACGTGAAGATGTAGGCTTGGTGACGTGTCTAGCATATACAACGCAAATGTTAGAAGGCTAGTCATGTCGGATTATCGCGTTTTGCACCCATGCGCAAGCTGCCCGATCCCCGGACGTTTGCACCGACCTCAAGTTGAAGCCTTCCGGAAACTGGATATCTCTTTCACAGCTGAAGCCTGGCTTTTTTCTATCACGACAGAAGCTCGTATATCACTACCATGCACGTTCATTCCAGTGTTTATAATGAGTGTGACATCGTGATGTGGAGCTGCTAGTTAAGGATTCGCTTGAATATTGTAGGTCGCCACACGGACAGACGTCACCTTTGATGTCCGACGCAGTCTCCGACCGGCGAAGTCCGGGCGCGCTAGACTGGATGAACGGCTCGAACGACATGGTCAATGAGACGTCCAAGCCTGAAGCCTGAGGCCTAAGTCTTGAGTCTCAGAACTTGCCCATCCTTTCAACCTGTTAAATGAGTAGCACATCGTGCAGCTCATATGTATCATATTGCCCTGCTCATCCTCGCTTTGGCACTTTTAGCGGCGACTATACTCTCATGGGCATTGCCATCGCCGAATAACAGCGCACATAAAGGTTACATCGTCCACAACAAGGTGATCCACAGCCGACTTCTCCCCAAGACCGCCTCGCACACCTTTACGTATCCGACGCTCTTCTTCCTTGTGTCCTTGCGAGCGCTGGAAGCGCATGCCTTGGATCTCGGTGGTGGCTGGCTGTTCGGTTACGGGGGTTTGTATTGGAGGACCACGGGCCTCAGGTCGTCGGCGTATCTCGCAGAAGAGCAGTACAAGTCGAGCATCGTGGAAAAGTTGAAACAAGTCCTCGGACGCCACGGACTGGATCCCGCGGACCTCGAGGACGCGTGGATGCTGACCATGCCGAGCTATCTCGGATTCGAGGGTGTAAACCCCTTGACCGTCTACTTCTGCTATGAACACGGGGGCGAGCCGTTGGCTGTCGTCCTCGAAGTGAGTCAGATGTTGGACTGCAGATGGTTGCCTAGCTTAACTCGATTCAGATACACAATACGTTTGGCGAAAAACATGTCCACGTACTTTCGGTAGGCCCGACAAAAGACCGGTCTCTTCCTAAGGGGTTAGGCCTTTTTGCATGCGAGTTGCGTGATATACTCAGCTCTCAAGCCATAGGTTTACCCATCAATGGACATTCCCGCGAGAATTCCACGTTTCGCCATTCAATGATCGCTCCGGTTACTACTGCGTATCCGTCAACATGCCCATAGCGCCGACTTCATCGGTAACAGATACCCCACCGCCTGTACCAAGAGTGCGGGTGCTCTTGCACACTTGCACAGGCCGCCTAGAGGACTCTGTAGGGCCTGTTAAGCTTGCAGCCTTCCTAACGCCATCAGCTTGCTCACCGTTGGCGTCCGGTAATCTACTATGGTCACTCCTCCTGCAGCCACTCGCCCTCGTCTCGTCTATGCCTCGGATCTTGTACCAAGCATGGCTCTTGCACTACAGGAAAGGTCTCAGGGTGTATGCGCGACCAGATCCTTTTCCTGCAACAGACGGCTGGGCGGAGGAAACACGTAGAGGAGGAGGCGTAGGGTGGCAGCCTGAGACGTGGGTTGAAGCCTTCGCGAGGAGAAGGGTCGAAGTGTTCCTCCAACGCCGTGCGCGCGAAACCAGTATTAGTGTGACCCTCCTCGCTGGAAACCCGGCCGTCCCTAGGAAAGAGTTCAAGCCCGAAACGACAATAAAAGAGCCTCGCCACCTGACGATTTCGTACCTGTCGTCCGTATTCTTCACTGCCATCTTCGCTGCACCCTCATTCGCGCATGCTCGGCTTCTGTGTCAGTCTTCCCGCTGCTGTCACGTCTCTTCCGAAGGTCTCTTCCGAGAACTATTTGCAAACACCGGCAGCGGCGGCGGACAGCCCCCGAGGGGCTCAGCAACCGCGTCCCAGAGGCTCCGGATGCTTCTGCTCCCAAAGCACTTGCGATACAGTCGTCTGGAGCTCGTGGTACCCAAGCAGCACCCGATCGAGGCAGTCAGGAGAGGACCGCTCTCGTGCACAGCAACTAATTTCGTGCTGCTGATTTACATCATCTCGGAATGGATCGAGGCATGGCTGTATCGGACAATCGGAGCCGCATTCGTTGCCGGGCAAGAGCCGTGGAAATTCTGGGGGAGAGCGTTTGGTACCGTAGGCTCCGGGGAGGGCAGTAGCGAGGAAAATGATTCAGAATATATTTTGGGCAGCGTGCAGAGGTAGCACGTTGGTAGAATTGAAATGTAAAATGCGGTGGAAAGCCTAAAATAATCGAGGTACGATCTGAAGGACGTTTGAGGTACCAGTTCTCGCACGTCGCGGTGTTTGCGGGCGAACTCGTGATATGGGACCGTCCGCCCCTGAGCTCACTTTGGACGATTGAAGAGTCTATCAGCGCCTCGGGCAAGTTGTGTCGCTGCTTCACGGCGGGCGCTTATTAATGAAGCTCACCAGGGATCTACTTACTCCCACATGTTATCAAACAACTTCTTCAACCTTATACCACATCGCCACAGAGTCGAAGATAATGCGGCTGTTGATGGTGACAAACCTCAAATATCACGACCGGATAGGTGCCTCTGTGCCCGGGCCATGACGAGGCGAGATACCAGAGTAACCAGATGAGATGAGAGCCTCGTGGCGTGTGACATCAAGATCATTCGGGGTTGACTGAGACTGGATAGACTGCACGCGGAAGGATTTGGCCGCAATGCCAAAGCGCGAACAAGCTCCACATGCGGTTGCTTCGAGCTACAGTGCCTGCCTCGTCGGATACAACAGACTCGCTCATGACAGATGAAAATGCGCAGTCAGTCACCTCGGTCTTTCCTGAAGATTGAACTGTTCACAGCCTTCCATTCTGACAGGACTGCTCAGGGCTGTCAGCTAGAGGTACTGACTTGCCTGTCCTTGGATATTTGACTTGATCGGAGCCGACCCTTGTCCGCCAGACGCTTTCCATATTCGCACGCGGGAGGCATATCGGGACATGCGCGAAAATTCGTACGACGTAATTCCTCTTAAAGAAATACTATTCTGCGCCAAGGTCCAGGACGCCTGGACCCATCTGAGCGGCGAAAGGGAAGTACACCACATACTACACAAGACAACGCTTATGATTAGTCCTTCAGAAAGCTCCGCCACTTGGGTGCTGACTAGGAGTCGCCTTCTTCCTTTCTCGTATCTATATCAACTTCCCTTTCATGGAATACGGCGGTTGCTAAAGCATCGGGGCCGGGGCCTTCGTTCGTGATACAGCCACTTGACAGGCCTTATCGCACCGCGATGCTGGCGCCGCGTGCGGCTGCAAAAAGCAGTCCTGCAGCATAGAAGCATTTGTCAGGGTGTATTATAAAAGGGGGAACGTATGTGGACCAATTTTGTTGTTGTGGGCTCTCAGCCATCAAGCTGAGCCCATGGTGAGTCTTGTCCTGAGATGTCGATGCCAGTCCACTAAACAATGTATCAAAGGAACAATACCACTATTTTGATAATATAGGGGCAAGCTCTTACGAAGGGATTATAATTCCTCAGAAGGTGTATTACACTAATGCAGGGCCCTATCAGGCGAAGAATCCAGTAATATTTCCTGGAAATCTCACCGTCCAAGAGGCACTCCAAATGCAGTTCCCTCGAAGCCCAGAGTACGATGTTCCTGCCGTCACAACAGGCGCAGACGTTCCGAGGTTCAGTATCCGGCTGAACGTAAGTTCGACACAGTGAATTTTTTACTTTTGATGCGCCGTTCACACACTTGCAGATGCCGGGGTATAATTCGTGGTCAAGCATCGTCAATGCTCGGTAACGATACAACGGGGAGTCTGTTATACTCTGGCAACTCGCACGACGGGCGGCTGAAGCATTCAAAAAGTTCGTCGACGTACGCTCTGTTGTTATATCCTCCGGTGCCACTACTGAAACGAGCGACTCTGAGCAGGAGCATCAGGATATGCATTGCACTGAGCCCTACTGGGACTTGAACCGGATGCCACTCGACAAGATTGTCCTAGTCGAACTACGCCACGTCTCTGAAAGCTCCTGGCAACCCGTGCTCAGTCTCAACGTTGACTAGATCGCGTAGTAACCTCCGAGCGCAGCTGGAGCAGTCATGTTTCTCAGTCCTAACATATTGGTTATTTACTTATCTTTGGTCTGCTCTTCCATGCCACAATACTCGTACGACTTATTCAGCACCTATTTTTTATTCCCCACTCTTTTTGCAATCTGTCTTGTTATGTGCGGCCGAAGATTGAAACTGAGTACTGAAGTACCAGCACTGAAGCTAGCTTGACATCAGCAAAAAAAATCGGCGGCATATATAGCCTGGGCAGCCCTGGCAAAGCTAACCTCGCTTACAAAGGTAACCATTCTGGGAACAAGTATATCAATGTAGATATAGCACCGGTTTGCTTTATCAAACATACCAGCCTGGGATCCTTTAGCATGCATAGCATGCTGGCGAGGTTGGTATGGGCTGGCAAGGCATTACCAGCGAGCGCCAGTCTGGGTGTCCTTTACAATACGGCTCGCAATAATTCATTGAATATTCCAATATATTGGGAGCTACCTCGCACATGATAATTCAGGACAAAGAACAATATATTTGCAAAGCTACAGCAAGTACATGGGTGCAGGCAGGTATTATAAACATGTCAGTGATGTCAAACAGTCGAAGCGGCCACGTGCTGCCGCCGCATGTCGCCGCCGCATGTGTCACTCGCACTCTAAGCGTTCGACGACGAGCAGCCCTCGCAGTGGTGCACATTGCGTGGGGATCGAATCCTGATCGCGCATGTGAGCGTCCATCACGTGGGAGCCTACAGATTGCGACGCATACAGTGGATGCAGTGCGCATATCATGAGGTGCTGCCACGCGTATTGGTGCCGGCGTGCCCACCATTTTGATAGGTGCGCCAGGCAGCACCAGGTGTTGGAATATCCTAGTCGTCCTGCTTGTTAGCTCCATTTGATAGAGAAAGTGTGCACCTGAGAGCACGCACCTCACAAGTTGTTCCTTGCTGCCATGTTCTATGCGCGCACAGCTAAGCCTGAGTGCTGATTATAAAGCTCCATGAGTGAACAACACAACGAATGAGCTACACAGTTACGGCGTACATTAGGTGTCATAATATGTTTGAGAAACAGCTTATCGGATGAGAAAATATGTCTAACGAGGATCTGTGCATGAGAAAATGGATAAAAAAGTGCATATATGCGGGCCACGCACCTTATATGAGCCTGTGTAAGCAAGAATGGGGGGTGGGAGCCGACATCGCGGCTACCATATATGCGGTCAGTTGACCGTACTGTCAGTGAGAATACTGAAGCCGCAAGCTAGGCATAGTACATACACTGTCTGCAGCGAACGCCCCGAGCACCACTGCAGGTGCAATGCCGAGCACAGCGGCGCTCTTGCCGTTGAACGTACGGGTCCAACCAACGAGAGCAGGCCACTGCTTGCCATGCCGCCCGCGAGATTCGCGCCGTTCAGTTATCTCGGTGGGCACATGAAAAATTGTGTTAGCGGCAAGAGAAAAACGTACACGGCACGAAAGGAAGGAGAAACGCACCCCGATCGGCCACGAGTTGTCAGTGAGCGCATACATCGAGGCCGTACAGGTGCAAGCGCCCGCAATTGAGTCCCAAAAACGGCGTCGAGCAGTTCGTGGGCACTGTATGTGGTATGGTGATGGCGGCGGCAGCGACAGCCTGAGTGGTACAGAGGCAGGAAAGGGGGAGGCGTCCGCCTGACGAGACCCGTGGCATGGTGGTGGGGAAGTAAGAGGTACAGAGCGACCAGTGCCCTCTATATAAATCAAAATATAAAAGGAAATACATCAAAAATGAATTTAAGGGAGGTCAAACGAACCTTTGACTTGTCTTCGAAGAGTCGACATAGAGGCGAAGGCTGACGAAAGTCACGTCTTGGAAGATGGTGCGTGTGACGTCACGTCACCACCGAGATCTGGGACGAGCAGGTCATGTCATGTCTAGTGATATCATGATGGGAACGGAATGATATTGACATACCGGTCTGGGCTGAGATTGCATTGCATTACCAGCCTGGTATCGCCTGTCCTTGCATTGCCAGCGTCCACCAGACTGTTAGGCGCTTGTATAGTAACCCTTCTCCGATCTACGACCGATTTTTTTGCTGATGCTTGAAGCTTGAGCCTCGCGGAACGACGGACCGTACCACATGGCTACCGGAGCTCACGTGCGGACGGCAACTTTTTTCTAGACGCCCATACTCTAGCTCAAAGTGTTCTGAGCTCGGCTTTGAATTAATTTGAGCATTAACTTGGACGCTGACCAGCTGGCTGGGACTGGACTCATGGCCTCTGCACTCGCTCAGCAGCTCGCTCAGTCCGCCTCTCTCAACACCGCTCTCCTCGTCGACAGGTCTCGTCGAAAACCCACCCCGTCCTACCTCTTCACATCTCGCGAAGCCGACCACCACGACCTCGAGTCTATCCATGCTCTTGCAGTCAACGCCTTCTTCCGTCTAAAGACCGTCGAGCCCGCTTTGTCTGCCTACGAAGATGCTTTGTTCTCAGTTGCTGCGGAAGCGGCAGACAGAACACTACAAAACGCCGAGGCGAACGCTAGGCTCGATGCGAATCTAGACTCGTTTTTGCCCTTGCTAGGGCCTTATTTGTTGGAGACTCCCACTGGCAAGATTATTGAGTGGCTCGTCCGACGCTTCCGCATACATGAATTCAATGTTGAAGCTGTCCTCGCGCTATTCTTGCCGTACCAGGGGTCTCCTCATTTCACAAAGATGCTCTCGATCCTACACATCTCGTGCGTCCCTTTGTGTCTCTCTTTCCATGCTTGTTTTGACACGTATACAGAGAAAAGTCTACATTCGCCGCTTTCTTGCCTTACAAATCGACGTCTACCCCCCTCACGCACAACGCCCTCGTCGAGCTCATGCTCAAGCCTACAAACACCGACCTTGCTCGCTTCGTCGGAAGCTTGCTCCCCTCTACCATCAACGCGACTTCCGCCGCAGCTGTGCACCGTGCGCTTGTTGCGTTCCATACTGGAACACTTATGGACTTCGTGAAGCGCATGCGGGACCTCCGCTCAGGACCACTGGACGAGGAAACGCTTGCCTGGGTTCTCCCAGCGGCAATGAAACCGCTCCAGGCGTGCACAGAGCTCGAGGTTGAAAGTGCGAAAGATGCGCTCGTTAGCGAAGTCGTCCTCTCATCCTACCTGCTCCTCTCTGCCCTCGCGCATACATGCCCACTCTCTTCAAAAGCGCTTTCGGCCATTCTCAAGACAGCGTCCTCCTGCGCTCCCCGGGTGTCCCCCAAACAACTCATTCGGACTCTCGCGAGTATATGCGCATCGCAAGAGCTCAGCGCGGTCTCTCCACTTTCCAAGACGGTAGTCAAGACCGTGATGAGGCTCCCAGGTGTTGAGACCGAGATCCAGGAAACGCTCAGGTTCGCCGGCACCGAGAGGTTCGTCGGTCCATTCGCGCAGAGTCTCGCGAACCGCTTGGACGAGGAGCGTGCCGCCGACATCCTGACCTCGCTCGTCACCTTCCAGTCTGTCCCGCTCTCGATCGTCCGCGACCTCGCGAACGCGCTCATCCAGCAAGCAGTGTCCACTCCTGAGCCGGACGCAACCGTGCTCGCGCGCGGCCGCTCGCTGCTCGTGCACGTCCAGCAGCGCCACCCTGAGCTCCTGCAGATGTATTTCGAGGCTGCGCTTGAGGACGCTGGAGAGAACAAGGATGCGCTCGAGCAGCTGTTGATCTCGTTGTCGGTGGAGCTGCCGGGAGGGTTTGCGGGCACAAAAGAGGCGGATATGGTCGTGGCCTCGACTAGTGCGGACGCTGCTGTTCGTGTCATCGCCGTTCGCGAGCTTTACGAGAAGTTTGCGAAGGGTGACCTGTCGCCGTCTGACCTAGTAAGCTTGAGCGTACCTAAACACAAATACCTTCACTAACGGCTTCACTTCCCCAGGTATCAGCACGTTCTGCGCTTCTTGCCCGTGTGCAGGACACCCACGTGCCGGTTCTGGAAGTACTATACTCCAACTCAACCGGACTTCTACCATTGCTACTCGAAGACCCTTCCGGATACCTACAGACAGTCTCCCAGATCCTTCACTCTCCGGCATCTCTGAGTCGACATGTTATCAAGGCGCACCTCAGCTTCATCGCCACGCACTTTTATCCGAGTATGGTCTCCCAATCAAACGCCGGCCCGCTGGCCACCGCAATCTACGAGCAGGTCTTCTTCCCCTTCCTACTCCACTCGAAGCCCCGCCAGCGCACCGCGTCGCTCGTCTGGGAGATCATCGAGTCGACAGAAAAGACCGCCGAGGGGAACGCCGCCTTCTCGCGCTTCGAGCTGCTCGGCGGCGTCCTCGAGGCCGTCCGTTGGGAGGCGGCGCAGAAGCAGCCCGGCACAGACGCCGAGGGCGGGCACCACAACACCGAGGCGCTCGCGAAGGCAAACGTCACCGTGGCCGCGAAAATTGCAGAAAACGTCGTGGGCTCGCGGGCGTTTGCTGCACACGTCGAGTTCTTGCTCGGGCGTCTGAACGGGGGTGACGCGCATGCGCGGGCGCTGGCTTACCTCGTCTGCCGTGCGCTGCTTGGGCACCTGAGTGGTGAGCGGCGGGTGGATGTGGCGCACAAAATCATCGCTACGATGAAGCTGGAGAACTTGGAGGGCATGGAGGACTTCATGCGCGGTTCTGGCGATCTGCAAGTGGTAAGGATGTCTGTTCAATCCGTCCTTAGCACGTGCTCAGTATTTTGCAGTTCCTCCACGACACGAGCCTGAGCACCGCCGTGGTCCTCAAGCCCAGCAAGCGCGCCACCCTGCATCGTCTCCAGGCAGCCATCCTCGCCCTGTTGCCAGGCATCCGATGCCCCGCTGGCGCCGTACTCAACTGGCTCGGGCCCGCGAAGGACGACACGCCCGGAGAGAAGTACGTCAACCTCATGCGCCGCGTGTACATGCTCGTCAACGCGAGCGGCGCGCTCCCGGGACTGTCCTCGAACCTCGCGACGGCGCTCTTCGTCGGCGTCGGGGCGGACGCGCTCCAGTTCCTCGCGGGCGTCTGGCTGCAGCCGCACGAATTAGCGCCCGTGGCGCACTGCGCGCTGAAGCACGCCACGGCGTTCCTCGAGGCGCACTGCGCCACGCAGCGCGCCATCGACTTCCAGACGGTCGTGCCCGCGGTACTCGTTGCGATGCAAGACGGCGCCCGGCGTGTGCGCGAGGCTGCCCTCGACTGTGTCGCGTCGCTGGTCCGGTTAGCACAAGCTGCGAGTCCGAGTGCTGTGTATGGCTTCGACGCCATTTATGGTGAAAGCTCTGGTAAGCCCGTCTGCAGCCGCTGCGAAGGCCAAGTCTTTGATCATTCGTGTTTTCAGCTGATCTGCAATATCTCGACTGGGCCGACTTCAACAAATACCTCCAGGCGCTGCAAGCGGCGAGGGAGCACCTGGTCAACGATGCCTCGTACCTGCGCGTTCTGCACCAACAGCAGCTGCTCCCGGTCAGGGGCGAGGCCAAGAAGGACGCGGGCTACAAACAGAGCGTCGTCTGCTTCCTACTCTCGCACGTCAACGGCTGCGCGCTCCTGCCCATGAAGCTCGCGCTTCTCCGCAGTCTCGAGGCCGTCGTGACCGTGGCCAAGGCACAGATGCTTCTACCCGCCGTCGAGAAGCTCGCGGGCGACGAATTGCCGTGGCTCGGCGCAGGCGAGGACGCCGATGCGTACGCGGTGCTTGTCCTCGCGAGCCTGGACGGCACCGCTGTCGAACTCTTGCACGAGCGCACCGACAAGCCGTGGAACGCGTACGTGAAGGTGCTCCGCCGGTACTTCCAGACGGACGCGCCTGCCGCGGCGAGGGAGGTCCTTGCCAGTCGTCTTCAGAGCGGGCTGTTCGCGAAACTTCGCCTTGATCGTAAAGTTGAGCTGTGCAAGGTGCTGCTCGAACAAGGGCAAGAGCATGTGGATATCGTGAGTATTCTTGGTTCCTTTCTTTCGGAGATTTGCTTGCTGATCTTCCTTCCTCGTAGGCCATGGATTGCAGAAAGGTCCTCAGTATGATAACAGCAGAGGTCGATGTCATGATCGATCTTCTATCGACTCTTCAGCCAAACATTGTGGACCAGCACGCAACCAAACGCGCTAAGCTCGACAGGTAAGTACATGGCAGACTTTCTCAGTGATCTTTCTAATCTTAGGTTACGTAGCCGAAGTGCTGGCACTTACTCTTTACTCTCTTTCTTGAGCGAGCTCCTCGGCTCGAAGCCGCTACCGGGTTCGATCGAGCTCGTCTCCTGCCTACTTGAAACCCTTACCAAGGTGGTTCACGACACGTCTTCTTCGTCAGCCGAGAAAACCTACGTCGAGCAGCTACTCATGTCCGCGCTCGAGAACGCCTCTGCCAATATCCCAGATGGTGTCTCGCTTTTAGGCTCGAATCTCCGGCTAGATGTGCTCGTTGAGCTCATTCGGGTGTCGGAGAACCCGCAGACATTCAACCAGGCGCTGCTCCTCATGGCGACACTCACTCGTCTCGCGCCAGATGCTGTGCTTCGCAACGTCATGCCTGTCTTCACGTTCATGGGCTCGAATGTCTTCCACCGGGACGACACGTACAGCTTCCGCGTTGTGCAAAAAGTCGGTGATCTCTGCTCTCCAAAGTTTAGACCATGTCGTTGATAAACTGTCTCAGACTATCGACGGCGTCGTTCCTGTCATGGTCAGCTCGCTCAAGAGCACGCATACGGATAAGCTGGCGCTGGCCATCGCCTCGCGATCGTTCCTGCGCGTTTTCACGGATGCGGCGAATCACGTTCCACGACACAGGCGCACCCACTTCTTTGCTCACTTGGTAGATGTCCTTGGACCGGGCGATTTCCTTTCTCCAGTGTGCTTGCTCCTCGTGGACAAGGTGTCAAGCAAGATTGTGCGCCAGAGTTCGGCAGATGTCGTCGCCACCTTGGCGTTGCCACTCGCTACGCTCGGTCGCTACACTCCAGAGCTGCAGTTCTCGGTAAGCCCGCATCTTAGTGATGAGGTGCATGCATTTAACAGTAAGACGTAGACGCTTGCAGAGATGCTCCAAGAGGCACGTCGATTGATCGAGGTGGAATTGAAGCTCACTCCTGAGGCCAATACTTTCTTGGAGGCAACTCCGTACGTGCCCTTCTTCACAACCTAGTGTGCGGACTCTAACCAGTTTTCAGCGATGAAGAGCGTGGTTCACACGCGAACTCTCCCAAGAGACAGGCTCACGCAATCCTCGTGTTTGTTCGCTATGCGCTGGCACAGCTTGCGACAGGCAATCGTTCTACATCACCCGAACGGAACACTAGCTCGACTCTACTGGGTACTCTCCTAGACATCGCGGTCTCCAAGCGAGCGAAGCTGGCAGAGGCATCGATGGCGTACATCTCGAATATCGCTGATAGTGCCGTTCGCGACGCTCTTAACGTCATGTCTGCCTCAGACTTCATCGTTGGTGTACTTGCTGTCATTGAGACTGGAGAAGCCACTGTGAGTTTGCAAGCTTACTGTCGTGACCTCTGAGACTGATAATATGGAACTAGATCCTGGACGGCGTCTTCAACCTCCTTGGCGATGAGCTGCCAAATGTCTCGGACAAGGTGCGGCAAGACTCGAAAGCGTCAACCATCAAGATCGTGGACATCATCAAGAAGTTAATACCCACCGCCGACACCGAGCTACTTCTCCCTGCTGCCCTGTATGCGCTTAACTCCATTACCAACACCTTGGTCTCTGGAGAAGAACATGCACTAACCAGTACTGTTCCTCTCGTCATTAAGTCCGTCCGCGAGCGACGGGCGACTGCTCCAACGCTATCTACGCTTCTAGCCTTGACGTGCGTGTCACACATTCACGAGTCGTCTCGGTAAACTGACCTTTTTGTATCCAGCTCAAAGCTTGGTCCTCGTACTATCCCGTACTTCAAAGAGATTGTCAAAGAGTGTGTCGGCGTCCTCAGAGATGCGGAGCTTACTGCGTCGTCAGACGCTGTAGCTGTTCTGCAGGCTCTACTGGGGTCTATCCCGAACTTCTGGGGCAGTGCGGACCTTACACAGATCGTCGACCTGTGCCTGGACTCGACCGTTTCTGCGTCCCAGTCTGTTACCGCGCTCATCTGGACTGTTGTCAAGGCTGTCGCGAAGAAGATCCCATCCAAGGTGCTAGTACCAGCCCTGTGCGAATACTGGGCTACCCTATCATCTAAAGGCGACGTGAGTCTTGTCATGCGCGTATTCGTTGAATGTTTTTCTAATGGCTTAATGCAGATTGTGGCGACAAAGACTCGTGCATTCTTTACGGTGCTCAAGAGGGCAGTACACGCTGCCGACCGTGCGGTGGTCTCGGATAACATGCGCGTTCTCACGAAGACGTTCTTGGAGGCCTTCCAACACTGCGCCTTTAGTCGCGAGATCCAGACAGAGGCTCAAAGCGAAGCTATCGCGGCCTTCCTCGAGCTGGTCGTCAAGCTTAATGAGACTCTCTTCAAACCGCTCTTCCGCAGGCTCTTCGATTGGGCATTTAACTCGGAGGTAGGCGACTCGCGGAGGGTCGTCTTCTGTCAGGTGTATATAGCACTTCTAGATTACTTCAAGGTCAGCGGAATGCCCCAATGCACTTTGTTCTAAGCTGACAACTGCCCTTGCAGAACCTCGTGACGCCATATATGTCCTTCTTGTTGACGCCGTTTGCGGAGCTGCTCAATACCTGGGCTAAGTCTTCGGTGGACGAAGAGCTCTGGCTGGCTACTGTTCAGGTCATAGCGAAGTCGTTCGCTCACGACGAAGGCAGTAAGTTCCACGTTTCTCGTCTCATATGCGACGATACTTAACAGCCGTCTCCAGCATACTGGCGAGACGACAGACTTCGAACGCTAGCCACGCCCACCATTACTCAGGTCGCGGTCTGCACACGCCTGCAGATATCAGAGGCCCGGACCGCCTTGTCTGACTGCCTCATCGCGATGGTAGAAGCCGCGAGCGATGACAGCCTCGTCAAGAAGATAAATCTCGACATCTTGATGCACACACGTGCCGAGGATTCTCGCCTCCGTCTCTATGCATTGACTTGCAGCGAAGCGTTATGGCGTGCTCACGGAACAAAGCTCATGGGTACGTGCGCTTCCTATTTCCCGCGCACGATTTCTTATCTCGTATATACAGGTTTTGCGGGCGAGACAGCCACCTTTGTCGCGGAGTGTGCCGAGGATGACAACGACAGCATCGTACGCGAGGCACATCGACTCAAAGATGCGATAGAAAGCGTGGCAGGGCGGATAGATTTGTAGATGTCTGGAGATGCAAGTATGCGACAGAGATGTGCTAAACACGATGTCCATGGCTAGACCATGATTAATGCAATGGGTATACCGATATGGAATAGATTACGAGTGCATGTGGGCATGGTAAATGCTTCAACTTCGCATCAGCTGCTCCTCCACCGCGCGGCACTGGGCGAGCAGCTTGACAATCGCATCGCGACCGTCGGCATTCTGTACCAAAGGAGCCTGCAGGGGTGTCTGGTTAGTGAAACTACAATAGCCGTAAAGACCAAGACACTCACATTAAGCAGCACATCTGGGTCTGGTCGTGACGTTACCGGCCCTGAACAGAGCTTTAGGAAACTATGGAAAGATCGTGAATAGTTGTCGGGGTGGTCCACAGATGGCCATCTGTCGCTAAGTTGGCTAGCATCTGTCGCGTCCGAGAATGGCGGTTCCGCCTGCGCCAGCTCCCATACCGTGGCCCCGAGACTCCACACGTCGACTTTCAGGGCATTATATGGGCCACTACAACGCAAAACATCAAAACTAGAACTGAAGATACGCGAAACACTAGCACTTACATGCGCATCTCCGGAGCCTGCCAGTATATGACGCCTGCTTGATCAAAGCGCACCGGCGCGGCCTTCGACACCCGCACGGCACTTGTGAAGTCGGTGAGTTTGACGACACCTTGCGCGTTGACGAGAAGGTTGTCTGAGCGGACGTCGCGGTGCGCGATGCCATGCTTGTTAAGGAAGACGAGCGCTGCAAGGGCGTCTGCAGCGAACTGCGCGATGTGCACCTCGGAAAGCACGATGCCGTGCTCGGCAAGGGTGAGAATGTCCGCGAGGCTGCGGTCCATGAGCTCCATATGAATCCAGAGCGCATCCTCGATCACGTCGACATACAGCGTCTCCATTGCGAGGATGTTTGGGTGTCGGACCTTGTTCATCAGCGTCAGCTCCCTGCAGAGATCTTCAAGCTTCTGCGAGCCCTCAGGCGCAAGCACGACCTGCTTGATGGCGACATATGTCGGGTCGTTGGGGCCTGGTGCGACGACACGAGCAGCGTACACTGAACCGCTTTCGCCCTCTGCAACTTCCTGCAGATCCGTGAATAAGTCCCGTGGATCGGATTTGGCGTCAATGAAGGACTTGAGTGGCGCGATGACTTCGGATACCCAGTCAGAATATCTTACGGATGGCGTCTGCAGCGATGGCGATGGAGACGTTGAGGCGGTGAACGACGAGAGCGGCGTCAGCGAGTCATCGTTCTCATCCGGTGGGACCAACCGCCCCGCGATGGTTGATGGCCGGCTCGGAGATTCGCTGATACCTTCCTGCTCGCGGAATTCCCTAACAACTGCTGGGTTGATGATGCGTTTGTCATTGAACTCTCCCACTCGCGGAGATGGCTGAGGAGAAGTCTCGATGTAGGGTACACTGTTCGCTTGATTCACGGAACTCTTCCTCTCCGGGCTGTCTGCTGATGGCGCCCTTGTGGCGTCTGTCTTCGCGATCGCGATCGACCCTGAGGACGCGTCGCTCGACGCCGACGACGAACTCACAGGCGAGTCTGACCGAGTTGATGTCCTGTCATCGTCACCTGCCGCCAAATCAAGAGTTGAAGAGATGCTCGAGTTCGCGGACGGTTTATGAGCGGGCCGTGGTGGCGACCTTATCATATTCGCTCGCGCTCGCTTCGCTACGGAGACGTGTCGAACAATGGTGGCAGGTGTGACAGTCATCGTAGACATACTGGAATCACGGTTCTCCTTGTCGTGTGAGAAGTCGTCCCGTAAGTCGTCCGCCTCCGGAGCAACTTCCACTGATGTAGCGGGAGATGTAGTGGTAGCGGATGTACTTGGTGGGAAGAGTAAACTAGGGGAGGGACTGAGAGTGGATGACTTGGATGTGGGGGCACGGACCATATCGTATACTTCTTGCCACAGTGGATCCATCGAGGCAGAAGGTGATAGAATATTTGGAATACCAGGGGATGGGGGCGGTGACGGACAGGAGGCTTGGAGGTTGAGGTGCTTCGGCTTATGCGACTGGGACTGACGAGACTGCTGTGACGAACTGGGAGCCGCAGTGTCATTCGAGGCTAATCGTGAAGATGATGCCGACGATCCAGCGTCATGGGTCCGGAAAGGAGAAGGAGAGCGTTGCTGAGACGGGGTAGCCTGTGGCGTCGTGTCTGCAGCAGTCTTTCGAGTTGGTGTAGCCGGTATCATGGAAAAAAGAGATTCTGTCCAACCAGATAAGTCGCCAAGGGTGTCCTGGTGCAGCGATAAGCGTGGTGGCCGCGCTGAGAATCTCGGCGGAATTGCTGCCGGTAGTGGCTCTGGTTCGCCAAGCTCTTCCTCATCTGGGTACAGGTCGTCGTCGGCTGCCTCTGCTACTGGCGGTGATAGGACAGGTAGCTCCGACGGTAATATTAAACTCTCGTCTACTTCATCCAGAGCAGAACTCTTCCTTGCAGAGCTATATGCAGGTGGTGGGGATGCCATAGAGCTGATTGAGCCGTTCGCCACATGGTAGGTGCGCCTTGTAGGTGTTCTCGGAGGTGCATCCTTGGATGGAGGGACATAATGTGACGGCCCAGCTCGTGGTGGTGGTGGTGATGGTGGTGGTGGCGGCGGTGGCGAAGGCGTTGTTCGACGCGTTGATTCGGACAGTGCATCCGATGACCGTGTCAGCACGGCGCGGTTGGTAACGCAGGCGCTGGGACCACCTTCAGGCAAAGACAGCACTGAGTCTTCGGCAGTCTTCGTCGCGTTTTGAGAGACATCTGTGGCATAGCTAGATTCCGACCGCTGTGACATGGCATCGGTGTCTCGATAGTGTAGGGAAGTAGAGCGTGGATTCGGTCGTGTGGTAGCTGTGTACGAACTGGGTGGTGGCGAGGTCGAGTGATTGCTTTGAAGGCTGTATAGCGTCGATTTGTTCTGTTGACGGCGTGCATGTATCGCAGATACTTCCTCTTCTGTGAAACCCATCTGTGCCAGTGATGCCGACCATGTTGGCGGAAGACCACCGAAGCTGACGAATAAAGTGAGAAAAAAAAACGGGCACGAGTAAATGTACATACGCCTCGTCAACGTGCACGTTGTGCTTTGAACGCGTAACGGGAGTCAACAACAGTGCGAGAATGCGGTCGCGACACGACGCACCTGGAAGTTCCATGGCATAGATATTGAAGGGTCTGGCTCTGGCGGTAGATCCTCTGGCGATAACTTCGGTGTCTTCGGTCGCTTGCTCAGGGACGGGAACTTGAAGAACGACTTCTTCGAGCTGGCGGATTCTGGAGTGAGCGACGCCTGGGACGGGCTCAGCATCGTCCGTGTAGGGTCGTAGGTAGGCGCATAGCTAGCGACAGAGTGACTGAGAGTGTACGAGGGCGAGGGCGAGACACTGCGAACAGAGGAGGAGAAGTTGGCAGACATGGGTGTGCTGGGCTGCGTAATGAACGGCGGCGAGAAGGTCCCCGGCGAGACAGGTTGAGAGAGAGAGGCAAGGGAGTGATTAGGTTGAAAATACGGGTCCTTTGGTGGAGGCGGTGGTGGCTTCTGCACGCCGGCAAACTTGAAGACCTTCAGAGTCGAAAATCTGGAGTTCTGCCTGCTGGAAGACGACGACATCGTCCTTTAGCCGTCCGGTCGCTGCGCTGCCCGACCGAAAGTAATGAAGCGGAACCTGTACTAGTGCTCTAAACCTGTCAATATTAGCATTTCAAAGCCCGCCGATAAGCTCCGGCTTTGTGTGAGACCCAGTCAACAACTCACTGTTACTGGGCTTCTCCCCGGATAAATGATCACTCTAACTCGATAAGTGGAATTTTCTTACTCGTTTCCAGAGCGCTTCAGTTATCTATTTTGTATCTACTCCACTCGGCCTCCACAAAGGAACAGCTGCTCTAAACTGATCTTAGCTTGCGTAACCTGAGACGAACGTACGTTGAGCGCAGATGGAGCGGGTATGTTTGAAACCTGATAGGACCTTGCTAGCCGATAGTTGACGCAGGCTTGGGTTTTCGAGCATGCGACCTTCATTTCAGGACGCCCTTCCGACGCCTCTCGACGTTCGTTACATCACGGAAGAGCCGCCTGTCACAGCTCTGCAGCGGCATATTGGCTCCTGCAGATTCAAGCCTGGAGAGCAGTCCAATCTCGACTGCTGCTCACCATACACTTGAGCTCTGTTCTGGTTTCCTTTTGAAAGTAAAACAACCAACGTCTGCTTATATAGTTCATCCAAAGCCCATGGTGATGGGGAGCGGAGCGTTGGTAATCCGGATCCGATGCTTATATCATACAGTGAATTGCGCGGGCATCAGAAGCAAATGCGCGTAGACACCCATGTAAAAATGAAGGACTTCTGACAAATATATCCAGGCACTAAATAACCTGCGGAAGTAGGACCCTCGTTGCCCGCGGTGCCTTGCATGAAAGAGAGTCAGCGGCAAGCTGAAGCATGAGCAGTACATGCAGAGCACGCACAATGCAATGGCGCTGATTGAGCAGTGCGAGAGGAGTGATGCTGAACAGCAACGTGCTAGCACATTGAGTTAGACCATACAGTCGGGTCATGAAACCAGTACAGTCAAGTGTACTTCTGTGAAGCCGACCGACCACTCCTCACGCCAAGCCCACGCCCCAGTGGACTGAAAATGATCCGATGATGGCATATACGTATTGCAAGTGCGCGGGCAGACCGCAGCGTCGAGGCTGTTACCGGCGGGTGCGCTTGACGCGGGGCTTGGGGAAATCCAGCGGCACCTTGAGCAGCGCCCTCTTTGTTGTCGCCGCGGAGTCTGGGAGACCGAGACGCTTGAGTTCTTGGGCGGTCAACGTCTCGATCTTGCAACCTGTACATATCCACGTCAGCACGGCGGTCAACGAGGCCGGCGAGCAAGGACACAAATACGCTTACCAAGGGACTTGAATAGAGGGTTCACTCTGTAAGCAAATATTTCAACAGAGCGCGACAACGGTGTGTAGGGAAACGTACTTTGCAGCAGACATGCTCAAATCTCTCGCAATCAATGTTGTGTCTGTAGCGTAGTCGTCAACGCGCAAGCAAAGCGCAAACATGTGCGCCAAAAGCATAGTCTCCATCGCCGGAGTGATTTTTGCTCTATTCTGGGTCAGTATGTGCTTGGGCGTCGTACTTTTGGACCTTACTGGTTCGTGTCTCTCGACGACTCCGTGAAACGCGATAGCAGACCGTCCAGTACAATGCTGGGAACAACTTTCAGGCGTTCCTGTAGCACCTGCTTATCGCTGACGACACGTGATGCAGCACGGAACGCCAACATAATGGAGATGTAAAATAGGATTTTCCTAGATCCGAGTTAGCGCGACAGAGTGTTCTGAAGCCGAGACACGCACAGTTCGATCTTGTTGGGCTTCGGTGTGCTGAATAAGAGGGACATGTGCTGGTTGACCCAGTTTGAGCGAGTGTATGGGAGAGCAGTCACCCGCTCGTTGTTGCTGCTCATGCCCTTTAGGTTGTTAATTTGGACAGCATTAAACTCCGCTTCAGGTATGATGTCGTGTAGCTTGTAAACGTCATCCGGCCGCTGGGCATCAGCATTGTACGGCGGAATGAGCCTACTGCTGTCCGCTGCTGCCTTGGCTTCCTCTGCAGTCGTTTTAGCAACCCGGCAAGACAATCAATATAGTGTATGCTCACCCTGTGTCGGGAGACTCTCCGTGTTCTCTTGAATGTCTTCTTGCAAGTGACTAGCAACACCCCGCATGGCGTCGATGTCCACACGGTTTCGCTCGTGAGCGCGAATGGCGGCCTTGGCCTTCTTCGTACCAAACGTTTCGCCCAGAGTATTCCGAAGCTTTATGCGCTCGTCCACAGATACTTCCATCGGTTTCAGGTTCTTCAGGGCCTTGACATTGCGCGCTAGAATGTGCAGAGGGGCCGATCGAAGTACGGTCGTCTTGGTCCGCTTGTTGTAAACACCGACTAGGTAGCTGCAGCCCGCGGCAGCCTGTTCAGATTCGGGCGAGGACACGAATTCGACTGTGTCTGTCTCGCCGACGAGGGTAGCGTCGTTCGAGCTGGGCACACCTGATTGGTCCTTTTTTGTGTAGAGGCGGAATGAGGTGGATTTTGGAGGCTGCAATGCAGGGAAACTGGCTAAACTTGTTCACGGCGTCTGAGAGCAATAAATTGTGCGGAGGCCTCATGTACTCACCGAGGACGGGCCCAATCTTCTCCTGTTGTCCTGATATCTGTATAGCAACGTCCTCAGACTCGCCTAAACCCCTCTTGCGCTTTTTCAAAGTCGACGAGGCCATGACCCTGCGGGTGGTAGCGATTAAAGACGAGATGGCCGTGGTTCGAGATCAAATCCGTCGGGGCGCTTAATCATACCGACAGGTTCGACGCGAACCAATTAGTGGAGCCTGGCTTTCCCCAGGTCGTTTTGCTCAAGGGTTCAGGGAGTCGCAATATTTATCTGGTATGCGTTTATGTTCGTGCTTCATCAGTCGCACGCCTAACTCTGTGCAGTCATTAATTTAGTTCCACGCCATAATCTGCTGCTTCAGTGCAGCGCCTCACCTGACTGAACCAAGCGCGACCGCGAAACTGCTCTTCGCGGCTTGTCCCTGCTTGTCTTCATACCGCCACGGTGTCACTCTCTTTCAACAACGGTGCGAACCTGTCACATACCCCATCTGCGTCGACAATGCCGGAGCCAACGAGATCGTCACCAGAAGGGGTCCCCGCTGCCCTTCTGTTCGAGGACAATAGTGTGGTCGTCGAAGAAGTGACTCGGGAGGTGAAGAATGGGGATGGTTTGATAAAGGACGGAGAGGTAGATAGTGCCCTGCGGGATAAATACTCGCCATCTCCTAGTTCGTCTCCCGACGAGCTGTCGCTACCGCCTGGGGGCGGCGATAGCCGTCGCACCTCCACGACGCCGCCTGGAGGCTCGAAATCCAAGAGCAAGCCTGCCAAGAAGGAACCACAGCTCATTGGCGACCTGCCTCGTGCCGAAGAGGCTGCCCTGAAGACGTTCATCGAGATACCCGACAACCACTACCAATACCAGAGTCTGGGACGGTCGCGAGAAGCCGGCGAGAGCATGACTTGCGACTGTGTATACGAACATGGTATGTTTAAGAGCCTTTCTATGCTGGTCCCAGTGTAACCTCGCCGTTCTGAACTCGTACGCTGACCATCGTGCCCTTGTCCTGCCGTCTTTTGGGGATGTAGGCGTATCTGACCCGTCGGACGCCTGCGGACATGACTCGGACTGCATCAACCGGCTCACTCAAGTCGAATGTCTACCGGAAGACTGCCGCTGTCGCTCGCACTGTCAGAATCAACGGTTAGAATATTGTGCTCATTGTCCGTAACAGGCAATTCGACCTGATCGCCGTTTTTGCAGGTTCCAGCGCAAGCAGCACGCCCCTATTGAGATCGTACAGACCGAAAAGAAAGGGTTCGGATTGCGAGCAGGACAGGACCTTCGGAAGTGCGTCTTGAGACTATACCACTATTGAGAAGACGCTAATTTACTGCCTCAGAGACACTTTCATCTATGAATACGTCGGAGATGTCGTCAACCATCCATCATTGCTCAAACGTATGCGGCAATACGGTGAGGAGGGCATCCAGCATTTCTACTTCATGGCCCTGCAGAAGGACGAGGTAGACTTTGCAGCCATATTTTGCGCTGTACATGTTATTTACCGTTTTCTCACGTTAGTTCATCGACGCCACCAAGCGCGGCGGTATCGGTCGTTTCGCGAACCACAGTTGCAACCCAAATTGTTACGTAGCGAAATGGTCAGTCGGCAAGCGCGTACGTATGGGTATCTTCGCCAACCGAAATATCAAGAAGAACGAAGAGTTAACGTTCAACTACAACGTCGATCGTTACGGGTATGTGCTACGGTCTCATTACCTGCGCATCCTGACAATGTCCTCGTCTAGCCATGAACCACAGATGTGCTACTGCGGCGAAGACAAGTGTGTCGGTTTCATCGGTGGCAAGACCCAGACAGAGCTTGCGGCAATGGATGATCTGTATCTGGACGGTAAGCAGCGCATCCGGCCATGCAGGTTTGGGGCTGATTATGGTAATCAGCTCTTGGTATCACCGACGAGGTTGAGATGCTCGGCCTCAAGGGTAACAAGAAGAAGAAGAGCAAGAAGTTAGATGAGGATTTCATTGTAAGCCCATCTTCACAAACTTTCCGTTTGAAATTGACGCCCGGGCAGCCCGACTTGAAGCCGATTGCTGTGAAGGATGTACCCAAGGTCATACAGGCTATGCGCCAGACCCAGAGTCGCAAGGTTTTGGTGAAGCTACTGACGCGTATCAAGGTAAGTGTTGTCCGTAATGCATCGCTTAAATCTCATTACTCTACTCCGCTAGATTACCGCAGACCAACCTGCTCTACGAGAGCTCATGCGATTGCGTGGCTTCAGTGTCATGAACAATATTATGGAGGATTACGCTAGCGATGTCGAAGTGCGCGCTTTGGTACGACCGTTTGCTCTCGCTGTACGTGCGCTTCATTGATGTGCATGTGTGACTCTATAGGCTATGGAGTGCATGATCACTTGGCCTTTACTCCAGCGGAATAAGGTCGAGGACTCCAAAATCAGCGTACCTGTGGAGGCGTGCTCGCAGTCAGATAATCAGGTTCTGGCAGATCTGGCGAAGAAGGTACGCGCGCATGTTTACTTTAGCAAGCTGTTACTGATTTTGCCATTTTCAGCTACTTGAACAGTGGGCGACGCTGGAGTATGGTTATCGAATACCCAAGCGCGTGCGCGAGGCGAGTCTGAGTTGACTAGTGTTAGCGTCTAATTTATAACGATCTTTGCAGGCGGGCGATGAGCAGATGGACCCTCAAAACGACGACAGTCATTTCGCATTCTACAACTCCTCTGAGGAGTACCAAGGCTTGAAGCGCACCAGGTGGTCAGAGTCACCAGAACCTGTCATCAACAAGTCGACCATTCCGCTGGCACCCTGTACTCTTCGGAAATCTCGAGAGACACCTGAATGGGAAAAGGAGAACAGGATACGCCACCTGATGACTCAGCAGCGTGAGCGGTGGCAGGCGGAGGAAGCTGAGAAGAAGGACAAGGTTGCAGAAATGCTCAAAGCTGCGGCCGCCGCGGCAGAAGCAGCAGCGTCTGCCCCGCCACCTCCGAAGGAGGACGAGTCGACAAAGAAGTCACCTCCAAAGCCGAAGCACACTAAAGAGGAGAAGGAGGTATTGAAGGAGAAGCGCTTGATGAAGCTCGTCGGCTCCGTGGTAGTCAAGTGCCTGAGCAAATACCAGAAGCAGATGGACCATGATGCCTTCAAGGAACACGCTAAACATGTATGTTACGCACTGCCGGGCCGTGGATCTTCACGTCTGCTGATACGTGTGTGTAGCTAACACAGAAGATTGCTGACAAGGAAAAGAAGTCGACGAGTTACAAGGACAATCGTCTTGAGGCGTTATCGGATGAAAAGGCCGAGAAAATCAAGAAGTTCTGCAAGGAGTACATCGCTACGAAGATTCTGCGAAGACGCGAGAGCGGCAGTTCGCACCGGCATCATCATACGAGCTCATCTCGGCTCGATACTCCAAATAAGTCTTCGAGGCACACACCCTCGCAGTCGACGGGCCCCGCTGACGTGGACGTGGACATGTCTTTTGAGCGCCCATGGGACGACGCCCCGAGCGACGACGAGGACGCGTCAGAGCAGCAGCCTTCTCCAGAAGAGTCTTCTAGCTCAAAACGTTCTGCATCGGACACAACCGTATCTGACCCACGCGTACGGTTTCGCCAGGACCTGAATGGTCTTAAACATCAGGGCTCGAGCGACCCACCGAGTCCGCTGGACGACCCTGGGTCGCTGACGAGTATGAGTGTTGTTTCTGTGGGTCGAATATCCCGTTGACCGCTGTGTTTTCGACTACTTTGACCTAGTTGTGTTCTGTATAGCAATATCATTTGCTTTGGTTGATCTTCACAGCTGCCGTGTCTCGTCGAGAGGCGCGTGTTCTTCACGTGTAAATGCACCACATGTGACGCAGAATAGACTACCGCACCCTCGTTACAAAGGTAAGTTGTGTAACTTAGGCGGCACGCGCAAAGATCTCAGTTGAGTCTTTCTATCTCCGGCGTTGGTATCATATTGATCATAGCACCGATATGCCTTCTTAGTCTTAGCCAGGTTCCATGCGTGTTCCAGAAGCAAGCGCCGGCTTTGCTGCACAGCAACCAGAATTTCGCAGGTCTGATTGTTGAGGTCATCCTGACCCAGGTTCCTTCACCACATTAATGTCGCCATGGCTTGCCGGTCAAACCTGTGATAGATCCTGCCGTGATCCTCAAGAGACCTCTGCTCCTCTATTCTAGACATGGTCTCCTGGGCCTCACTTACCAGGACCCCTGACAATCACGGAGAAGGCCTGAGGACAGAGTTTGCCGATTTTGGCTACGGACAATATTTTGAACGACGAGCACAAAATAGTACGGACGCTGGCCCACGCCTGTCGGCTTCCTCGCCCATGCTACACCTACTCCTTCGTACATAGTACATGTGTGTGCATTTAGTTGAACACAGATGCACACTATTCTTCGTCGTCCACAGCTTCTCCTGTCATCATTGCTGCTGCCTGCTTCTCCCTATCATTTTGCGCAACATTACACAGCTTCATAACAGTCTAAAAGGTGAGAAGGTTTGTTGTCGGGGACAGTACCGGGTACCGATAGGTCATGATCGCATGATCAGAAGCGACCTCTATGCAAGCTGCAAATGTGGTCTCAGATCTCAAACTACATCTATCGTTTCAGAGGACGGCGGCGCCGGATACGTGCGGAATTTCGGCGAATCCGCTTGATTTGGCTGGAATAAGGCCTAAAGCTGCCTCATCTTTGGGCAGTTAACCCAGAAGGAAACCGACACATACCCAGAACGGATCATCCTCAGATATTAGTGTTTTATTGTCTCCGCGTCGGGGGTCCCGATGGCCATTTCGAGTACGAATTGGCCTCAGACATTCTCCCCGATTGTCAGGGGTCCTCGTTAACCAAAGGTTGAAACGTTGAAATTCGTTAATGCCTTAGACACCCGAGGAAAGTATATAGGCGAGAGAACTGCGCTCGATACTTCCCACACCCACATACCACCATCCATATTCTACCAGCGCAAACCATGTCTTCTGCTCCCACCGAGTTCGACGTGATCTTCGCCGGAGGTGATATCGTAATGCTCTCCCTTTGCGCGCGCGCTGCTTATGACGCCTCGCAGGAGGAACCGCGGCGTGCCTTATCGCGAGCCGCCTCGCGGATGCAGACCCGACGCTCCGGATCCTCATCGTCGAGTCTGGCGGGCACGTTCAGGACGACCTCGCGCACATCCAGCCGGCGCGCTACCTGAGCCACCTCGCGCCGACGAGCAAGGTCGTGTCCTTCATGGTCGCGAACCCCGAGCCGGCGCTCCAGGGCCGCCAGACGATCGTGCCCTGCGGCAACTGTGTTGGCGGCGGCTCCAGTGTGAACTGTAAGGCCCACCTGTCGTGGCTGGCAGTGCGTTTTTTGGTGCTGACGACGGGGCGACAGTCATGATGTACACCCGTGCTGCCGCGTCGGACTACGACGACTGGGAGACAGTGTTCGCGAACCCGGGCTGGGGGTCGAAGGACCTCATTCCCCTGCTGAAAAAGGTGCAGCGCAATGCGAATCTTCGTGGCGTGCGCCGCTGACCCGAGCTTGCAATGCCAGACGGAAACCTACGACGTCGCACCCGGGAAAGATGACGTGCACGGCTACTCGGGCCCACTGCGTGTTTCGTATGGTGGTATCTTTACAAACATTGGCAAGCAGTTCCTCGACGTCGCCGCACAGTGGGACCCCAAGCGCGGGGTCACAGACGACCCGAACAACCTGTTCGATGTCGATAAGTACGGGGTGCGTCGTGACATCTGCTGCGCACAGGGGCAACTTCGCTTAATTAGACTATTTGCAGCGCTGGCAGAAGTGCGTTCGTGGCTGTACACTTGTGGAGATCTTTTTTCGCCTGACAGCTGTGATCGCAGGTGGATCTCGAAGTCGGGCATGCGTTCGGACGTGGCCCATCATTTTATGTACAACAAGAAGCACCCGAACGTGACCCTCACTGTGGGCCACCTCGTCAAGCGTGTTCTTTTCGAGTGCGTGATCCGTGTCTATCTTCGTGTCTCTTTGTTCACATAGAAGTTTTGTAGACGCACACGTGCCGTCGGCTTTGAGTACGTGCAGAACCCTAAGGTGTTCCCAAATGCATCCGCAGAGGTGCTCGTCGCGAAGGCGAAGCGACTTGTCGTCCTGTCAGCGGGCGCGTTTGGGTCTCCGACAATTCTTGAGCGGTCAGGCATCGGTGCCAGGGCAGTGCTCGAGAAAGCTGGTGTCAAACAACTGGTCGACCTGCCTGGCGTCGGTGAGAACTATCAAGGTATGCTCCGCTACTGGTTCCCCGCCCATGCCGTGTCTCACGACTGGACAGACCATCCAGTTATTTTCGCGCCGTACCTTGCCAGCGAAGACTCGGAGACTATTGATGGCATCGTGCGTAACCAGGAAGCTGACTTTGGCAGTAAGTGCACTGCCTTTGTCCTCAGGGTGTAGCTCACTGCGCACAGAATGGTCGACGCAGTGGAAGAAGGACGGCTCGGGGCTCATGTCTTCGAAGTAGGTTCATCCTATACACGTATCCGTGCGTCCACTCACATTGCTCTAGTGCCCTTGACGCCGGTATCAAGCTCCGCCCCACTGCGGAGGAGCTGGAGGCCATCGGGCCCGCCTTCACGAAGAAGTGGGAAGATTACTACCTGCACGCGCCCGACAAGGGCGTGATGTGGTTCGGGCCGGTGTCGATGCTTGTCGGCGACCCGACCATGAGTCCGGCCCGCAAATACCTCAGCGTCGGCTACTACGTCCAGCATGCGACCTCGCTCGGCTTCGTGCACATCCGAGACGGCACCGACCCGACGGCCTTGCCCGAGTTCGAGACGGGCTTCCTCAAGGCCGCGGACGACCTTGCGCTCCTCACGTGGGGGTACAAGCGCAGCCGCGAGTACGCCCGCCGCATGCCATCCTACCGCGGCGAGTACGTGCCAAACCACCCGCAGTTTGCGGAGGGCAGCGCGGCGCTGTGCCGTGGCGAGATCCAACCCGTGGATGTCGGTGCGCCCGACATTGTGTACACGGAGGAAGACGAGAAGGCCATTGACGAGTACACGCGCAAAGCTGGTGAGTAGTCGTCGTTTTGCTGTCGCAAATAGCTGCTGACCGTTACCTATCACCACCACTCTCACTACCGCCACTACTACCTAGTCCAAACTGCCTGGCATTCGGTGAGTCTCGAGACATCTTGGTATGATGGCGGCTGATGATGGCTCGTGCAGCTGGGCACATGTGCGATGAAACCTCGCGATAAGGGTGGTGTCGTGGATTCGAAGCTGAACGTTTACGGCGTGCAGGGTCTGAAGGTGGCGGGTAAGTGCAACGTTGTTTAGCGGAGCACTCAGACTCACTTCAGGCAGACCTTTCCATCCCTCCGTCAAACGTTGCGGCAGTAAGTCTTTTCTTGACCAAACGGTGCATCCGCTGACGATCACCGCACAGAACACATACTCGACCACGCTCGTCGTCGCGGAGAAGGCCACAGTGATTATTGCGGAAGAACTTGGTATCCAGGGTGTGTAAGGGTTATCAATTGGGCTGGCCATTAGAAATTGTGGAGAGAACCAAGATGTACCGAAATACAAGCAACAAGTAGCACATGCCTCGTGAGAAGTTGTACATTCAGTGTGAATACGCGGACGAGATGGTAACCTCGGCTAGAAACATTGATGCTGTAAGATGAAATGCGTTCCATTGAAGGCCACAGAAGACTTTGCATGTGCACAACGCTAGTAAGTAACTGAGGTTTGAAGGCATCAAATGCGGCTAACAGTAGCCAAAATTATTTTGCCAACTGCACCCTGGCGGGGTAGTGGGCACTCGCATTACATTCTGGACTCGGATTTGGACATACCCACGGTTTGAGCGCAACAGGTCACGGGAACGGATGCTGTCAAATATGGCAGAGAGTTCTGCGTGGGTTAGACTTTCCAAATCGGGCAAAAGTTGATCAGAGGCTTCTATCTCGATCATAATCAAAAGTGATGCCACAGGGCAGCCGCCGAATATGGACATCCCTAGATGCTTCAGATATGGCCAGCAAAGCCGGGGGCGGGCTCGCTTTCCACCTGAGCTACGATACCCCATCACCACACACTGCTCGGTGGCCCGCCAGGCAGTCGACGGTCCAGGCGAACCATGTCTTTCTCGACGGGCGCGGGCTGGCCTCAGAGTGGCCGTATTCGGGGAGCATTTAAAGCGATGGGACAAGAAAGGTCCAGCGCAATTCCTGGACGTCCCGGTCAGCTTCGCAGCAATGCTTCATCAACATCGCCGCAACCAGAATTTATCACCCTCTTCTCTTGGAAGTCCTCGGAGAAGATTTCTCTCCCCACTAACGCTCTAGTCGCTCCGTCTCTATGCTCGAAGATGTAGCCAGCCATCAGTTACGTGAGCTGCACCACCTGGTCAGCCCATGCTTCCTACGGCCGTGTCTGCCGTTTCCAGCTGGAGCCGTCCAAGAGCCGGTGGCTCTGCAATCTGACAGTCCGCGACTCGCACTCGCGAGAAAGCTGCAATCACTCCACCCGGTGACCGTCGGTCAGCTTCTCCAGCTGGCGGTGTCTATGTCAATTTTTTCACTACCAGTCGGCTTGTCTCCCTGCTGGCAAATCGGAGTCGTTGCTATTGTTGCCCACTAATCCCGATGATAGACGCCACATGTGACCCTACTCCGGGCCTACTATATAGTGTCGACGGTGATAGGCATGCTCGACTGCGAACACGTCCTGTGGGAAACCCTCTTATCATACCGCCTCAGTTCGTTGCGACATTGACACGATCATCAAGGACCTCGCCATTAGCCGAGAACGTCTTGGAGAAGCTTATTTGATCCTTCTTGGAGGCACAGGGATATATAGCGAACACTTCGCCCATGTTTCGCCTTAGCAGCGCACAGAACATGGGCAACCCAGCGTCCGTCGCGTGAGCATCTCCGTCACTTCAAACGCTTTTTCGGACATTCTCACTCGCACTCCAGGCAAGGTCCGGGTCTTGTCGGCACTTTCCTCAATGTCTTCCTCTACGGCATCATGGTCACTCAGTGTACCTTCTACTACTCCAGATATCCAAAGTGAGCACGGCGCTACCCTTTACATGCGAACCCTCACTAACCGCTTGTCCGAAGGGATCGCATTTGGCTGAAGTGCCTGGTACGCCGAGTCGACTTGGTCCGGTAGACGGAGCGCGCTCAACATCTGTATCAGGTCGTCGGTCTTCTCATCGCAGATACGACGAACTGTGTCTTCGATATCTGCTGGATCTACGACAACCTGGTCAATCACTTTGGTACGCCCTTTGTAGTCTCTGATTATCCACATCACTAACACCACATGCGCATGGCGTACAGGGGATGTCCCCTATCTTGAGTCGGGAAACTGGGGTAAGTAAGTCGTCGAGACTTTTGATGAGCGAAGCTCATGATTTTAACAGTGTTCGCTACTGGTACGCAATCATCGTCTATCTGGAGAGATGTCCTCTGATCAAACGTGCTCGTATGCCCTGCAGATCCCGCTATGGTGGTGCGTCTCCGCCCCGCTGATATCCGTCTCCCAAGCTTAACCTTTCATGGCCTGCCCAGGGTATCATCTCCTGCACCGTGCAGCTGTTCTTCGCCTGGCGCGTCAAAGTTCTTACGAACAACTTGTGGGTCGTGGCCATCATCTCCCTCACCGCCTCTACATCGTTCTGTGCGTCTCATAGCTACATCTACGGTGCGGCGCGCTGATTGCTCGAAATGCCATAGTCGGAGGCGTCGGCACCGCGATCGCAATCCACTTCGTCCCGCAGTTCGAGCAGTTCCAAAAGTTCGAGGTTATCGTCATCATCTGGCTCATCGGCGCGGCCGTCTGCGATGCCATGATCACGCTCTCGCTTACCTGGCACCTGGTACGGCCCCTCTTTCCCTCCACACTCGCGCGCTTTGCGGCTGACGCGCCCTCCAGCGCAGGCACAAGACTGGGTTCTCCGGGACAGACGACATCCTGAACAAGATCATCCGGCGTGAGCACTGCGATCGTATCCTGTAGTGCATTGCGTACTGACGGCCCCGCAGTGACCGTCCAGAATGGCCTGCTCACCGCCGTCTGGGCGAGCATCGACCTTGTCGTGTACCTTTCCACGGTAAGTCCGCCGTGGCTCCTCGCATGCTACCCGTGGCTGACCCTGCTTCACGCAGCCTACCGGCCTGTGAGTACCCCTTGATGCTCGTTACGAGAAGGACGTTCCTGACATACCATCTGGGGCCCAGGCACCTCGCGTTCAACTTCCCACTCGCGAAGCTGTACACGAACTCTCTCATGTCGAGCCTCAACTCGCGCTCCGGCTGGCGGTACCAGACGAGCGAGCACACAGACCAGAAGAGCCGCGACATGGGCGTCGGCGGCGGCGGGCGGCGGGTGAGTGTTTGCTGTCTGTCTGTCTGCCCCTTGTCCGGTTCCGCGGCGTCCGCGCGACCCTGGGCTGCGTCTCTCCTCGTGCATTGCTGACGCCTCTTTATTTTCAGCTCGACGTCGTCAATCTGTCAACAACGACCCGGCCGGAGGTAAGGACGCCCGGCCCCATGCCCGAGCGCGTATCCCACGCTAACAACATCTGTCCCTCTCGCACAAACAGGTCTTCGTGCACGTCGAGCAGCATGAGATGGTCGACGTGAACGATAAGCGCGACGTCGAATGGTCGTCAAGGTCCCTGCAGGAGACCGAACGCAGCACATCGACGAAGGGCGCGATTGGCTCCGCGGTATGATGAGATTTATATGACCCTATACATGTTATTATATGTTTTCTCCGAGACCTTCCCCCTCATTCTTTAAGTAGACCGTAAAAAAGCGGGCACTCGTTTAGTTAGATTTATATGCTTAAATGTTATGTTCGGTGGTCAACGCTGTTTCGTGTAGTCGTTCAATGCTATCTGTAATGTATACCATTTGATGCCCACGAGCGGTTAATCCATTGCGTGCAATGTCCATCAGCGACCCGGAGTGCATTGTATCATGGAAGCCCAACTCTTTTCTCACAAGAACTGTCGTCACAGCGAACTAGTCTACTGCGCCACGTCAAGCTAGGTTGTAGCCGAGGAAAGCCGAGAGCAGATATGTGAATTATAATTGATTCTGGGATAGACCGAGTACAGAGTCCAACTTTGATGTGGCAACCAGCACACACGACGGAAGGCTACAAGGCGCAGGGATAATTACACCAGGAATGGGATGTGGAATCAGACTCATTGGGAATGCAGACAGAAGAAATGAAGGTATAGCATAGAAGAGGCGGTGCGTGTGGTATACGTCCTTGAGGGAAGAATCACGAAGAGTTCCGAGAAGCGACTATGATTGCGCTTTGGGTGGTACCGGAGGGACTGCGGGAACGAGCGGGACAGCATCCTGTTGCCGGGGCCGTTGTAGCTTGCGTTTCTGCGTCTCCCGCGATTGGGCCTCGCGCTCAGCCTGCATGTTGTTCATCGCGAAAAGCTGCTGGGCGATGAAGTCTGACGTGCCGGAACTGCGCGCAGAAGCCAGTCAGCACAGCCACATCGACAAAATTGCATTGCGGAACGTACCGCATTCTGAGAATACGAAGAATGGTCTCCCCATTAGAAACCTCCTTGACCTCTTGCTTCTGCTTCTTGCGGTCCTTGATGGTCCCCAGATTGCGCTGCTGGTACACGCTCTTGGCACGCTTCTTTACAGAGGGTGAATCACGAAGGCTCTGCTGCATCATGCGGACGCATTCTTCCATGAGAGCATCGCTATAAAATTGCTGATGAATAGACAGCTCCATTCAAGTTTAGCAGGTACGTACGTGTGCCAGTCATAGTATAGACGGATGGAGAGAACATCGCGGTATCTTTGGTTCTGCAGAGTCTCCAAGGGCACCGGACCTTCGCCTCCAGCATAGAAGTAGTCTCTCAAGAACTAATGGGGATGGGGTGAGGACAGATATATCCTGGCGAACAGCGAAACCGTATTCACCTTCAGCCACTTGAACACAATGTCGACTTCCTTATCTGTCAGAGGCTTCATGTCGCTGGCAACATCAGACAGCGGTGGGATTAAGAGGCCTTCAATCACGTTGAGGATCTCCTTCCAAACACGTGTCATGACCATCTCCTTGGTGGAGTCGCTAAGGTAGGTGTTGAGCGTGGGCAGATTAGCGTCGAAGAAGTCAAAGACGGGAGTAATGGCCTGTTCAATCTCCACGTCTGACAAGTCTTCCGGCCGTATACGAGGCTTCTCAGACGACGGCAGTGGGACTTGCACCTCGGAGTTGTTGCTACCCAATGCCGAGCGGTACAGCGCCGTGACATTTCCAATTGCTTTGTTGTAATCAATGCTTAGACTGCCAGTCTTCGTGAGTGACTTCAAGACAGGCCGTGAGATGTTCAATCGGATGAAGGGAGAAATCTAGAGGAAGCATCGCCTGATGTGTAAGTCACGTTGTCGAGCTTTCGGTACGAAGATTGCTAACCTTGTCAATGAACACTCGGACCATATCGCTTTCTGCGCGCTTGAGCGAACGGAAGGCGCGGCCAAAGTAGAATTGCGGATCATCCTTCTCGCCTTCCATACTAATTCGCAGTAGGATGCGACCTTGAGAGTCGAGGTCGAGCCACAGATCGTGCGCCAGGAAGTCGCCATACCGCCGCGGGTCTAGACAAATGTATGCCCGTCCGACAGTGTCGTGTTTGCCCACAAGCGCACGATCGCGGACGCTGACCATCAACCAGAGCGGCTTCTCCACTGAGAGATCAAAAGTCTCTTCCCCTGCCAGCGATAGTCAGAAAAATCGGAGTTGGAGCGAAGCTCGAACCTACATCGAGGGCTGAGTGTCTCGTAGATTGTCCGCGTCTTGGCAAGACGATTGCCCTGCTCGTCACTAAGGGTAACGAACGTATCGAACCGTGATGATGGGCTGCTATCCAGCGGTACGAGGCCTTCCGCGATGACGATCTTCACCGTGAACAGGAAGCGAGGTGGTTTGATGTCTTTCTCCGGTACGGCCGGTGTCATCGAACTCAAAGCTTCGGCCTTCCTGTCAGCCTGGATCTGGGCGTAGATATTATCCAGAAGTCGTCGAGCGGCATCAATGTTGTTGAGCTTGACGCAAGATTCGGGCTGGAAAGTGAAAGGTTCCAGCTTTTTCTCAGAAGAGTTTGCAAGCTGTTTCGCTTTCTCGAGCCAGGCAGACGACTTTTGTGGCTGGAGGTGGTCAGTCGGGCGAGGGAACATCTCTTGCATGAAGAGCTCCTCCATACTACGACAGTAGTGCTCGACAGCCTTGCTGATAGTCTTCAATAACATCAGCATGTATGTACGTGGATATTTAAAAGAAAAAGAAATCACCTTGGACAGACTCGTGTAGAATTTGGCTTCTTGATACTCGTCGGTCCATTGCAAATCCTCGAGGAACGATACTGGACTTCGAAGCGAGTCGAAGAGGTCGATGATTGATGAACTGTGACCTTCAGGACCTTCTGCTTGGAACTAATCTAGCTGTCAGAAGAATCTCGATTTACCAAAGAAGGGTACGAACATTGTCAGCTGCAATGGCCTGGAGAATCATATTAGCCGCAAGTCGAGGATGCGTACAAAAAGCACACTTACAGCTTGCACCCATTGGGTAGTCTTGTTGTCCGTGTCTATCAGCCACTGCAACACATACGGCTCGAAGAAGCCGCCAATGTCAAACTCAGCATCCCCACTGGCAAAAGGTTAGAGGCAGCAGTAAATGGATCGACCTGAAAGACTCACTTCGGGCAGAAGGCTTGGTACATTTCCATGAGCGTCTTTGTGCGACGATATAACGCGAAGACGTCTTGAATAGGCACCCCCGGTGTGGGGCCGTTCCTCGAGTTCTCGAACAGTGGCTTGCTTGACGCATCCAGGTCCTGCAATAACAGAGGGATGACAACTTCGACGTATAGGGATACGATGTCGATTTGCCTGCAAAAAGCGGTTTAGGCCTTCAAATTATTCACGACGGGCGGTGCGGACGTACCCAAGAAGCGGCTCAGGGAACCGCTTGTCCAAAGCCTTGGCAGACTTCTCGATCTCGTCTGTCATAAGTAAGAGCGGCAGCGCCAAGTTAGCACCCGCGCCTGCGCCCGAGTGCAGGTCACGGTTCTTCTCGTCGTACCACCGCCCAGAAACCGAGCGGATCTGTTCTTGTACGTCAGCTATTCGCGCAGTCATGTCGTTCTCGAAACGCTCGAGGAGCCCGCTTTCGCGGATTGCTTCGAGGATTTGGAGGTAGGGGCCGATCTCCGAGGGCTTGAGACTCGGTATGGCGTCCATGCAGTGGTAGAGACATGATAGGAAGATGTTGAAGAGCGAGCCATATATCTGAGCCAGATAGTCGCTCTACATAAATTGAGTTGTTTGGTCTAATAAGCTTGCTTAACAATACACTTACATCTTGTATCGGCCACTTCGGCAATTCGTTCTCGTGCTGTATCTTGGTAATTGCGGACAGCGCCTCAGGAATGCATTCCAAAGGCACCTCATTGCGTTCATAGAACTGTTTGACAATGTCAAGGAAGCAGGCCGCACGATACGATTGCCCTATCCTCCAGCGCAATGCGCATTCGTTGATCAGCTCGATATGAGGCGCTGAGAGAATGCCCAAGGACACCTCGTCATCGTCCCCGACGGCTGGGCTAAGCATCGCCTCCAAATCCGCAGCAATGCAGTACTCGAGCAAACGCTTGTAGTACTTGCGCGGATTTGGCGGGATGAAGGTGAAGTGGTGGCCCACTGGGACATCCTCGTCGTCTTCCACCTCAGCGCCTGCGCCGTCGGGGCTACTTGGCGCCAGGACGCTGCCTTGGCTAGCACGGTACGAATGCCGGCTGCTAATAGAAGCATGGCGTGAGGCAGATGTGCCATATAACGAGTCACGCGATGACGCATAGCTGTATACTGACCCTGGTCGCCCGTTCGCAGCCGACTGCGGCAGGGCATCTGCGGGGGTGGACTTTGCCAATTCGGGGTTGAATTGCACCATCACAACCATGAGTTGTGACAGGTGAGACGTCTCGAGAGTGCGCCAGTGCTGCCAAGCCGCTTCGCTATCGAAGTCTTCGCGACGACCTGGGAATGGCGCACCAGCGTTAATGTTCTTGAGGCATGTCTACATAAACAGTCAAGGATGATACTATCTTTGACCACGTCCGCACCTACCTTTAGGTCCGTTAAAGCTGCCTGGATCGTGTTCAGTCTCTGAATTTGGAACAAGAGGGTGTTTGCGCACCTTCTCGTCACAGGATTTGCTGAGCTCGTCAATCTCGCGCTGGACTTCATCCGCTTGCATCTTAAACAGCTTCGCTGCTGTTAACACCAAAGGCATGTCGTTGACGCTTGTGCTCAGCCGTTTGGACGAAACATACATAGAGTCTCGGGTAGAAGACGAGTCGTAGCCGGAGTCGCTGTGGGTTTGTGTTTGGGCGATGGAAGGGGCGAGCTTGGCGGTGTACATATCGAGCCTAGCAGTGAGCTCGGAGGACACATGGCTAACGTTCTTCAAGCACTCCCTGAGTAACTTGATAAATTGTGCGATGTGGTTGTTGAGCTCGACCTTCCAGCCATCGCCGGCAAGAGTGGGTTCTTTTCTGAGGACGTTCGTGGCATTCGTGGCAAACATCAGAATCATTTCTTCGATCTTGCGGTTCTCCTTCATCTGTCGTCTGAAGCTCTCGTCCTTGACTTGCCCGTAGAAGACGGCCATCGTACGCCGGATTAATTGGTCCGAGTATCTGAGTATTCCGCGATGAACACTCCAAAGAAAATGCAGTACGCATGGCTAACATACGCTGGGTCCTTTCCCATGGCAATATCCTGCAGTTTCTGCTCCAGCACCTTCAGCAAGTCCTTGGGAAAGCGTACAACCTTCGTGCCATCTCGATAGTCCTTGAAGACATCCCCGATAGACACGATGGATCCTGAGATTGCTCCAGACAGTCTTGAGGAGTAGTCGCGTTCCCGTGCCGTTTCAGCGTGTGCTTGTGGCTCTACTGCCTTCGGCTGCATCTGATAGCTCAACAGACTGCGGCATCGAGAGCAAGCGTTAAGTCACTTAGGTCGCAAATAAGATCATGACTCGACGTACGCTACGCGTAGCACAAAACTTTGAAGACGAATATGAGTACGGACCACGGGAGATATCTAGCACTACACACCTCATAAGATCCTCGTCTGAGACTCGGTACTTCGACACCCGCCTTTCGTGCATGGACCCCGCATAGCTGCGTCTCGAGGAGGACATCCTCGACATTCGCTTTGACATTAGTTACAGGTGCTCTGCGGATCCTAGGTATCAAATAGCAGTCCAATAGTTCCGTGCAGTAGTCGCAAATTTGGTGATTATCCGCGCAGTGGTCGCGTCGGTAACGAAACGAGGCCGAAGTGATGAGGATAGAGAGAATCCAGAGACAATCAGAAGTAAAAGACGGGCCACCAAAATCGTTAAGTGCCGCCCCAAGCGACAACCAGAGTCGCCAGTGACAAGGCTGAGGCAGACGACAATGACAAGAGGTCGTTACGAAGATGGTAAGCGGTGACAATTCTCGGGTTTTTATTATCACGACAAACCACTTATCCCCATAATTGAGGAGGAAATGGGTCTTCCTCAACGACACCCCCACATTTCGCAAGCTAGTGCCCTGCTCGTTACTGCATCATCAAAGATCTCATGTGCCGACCTGGCCTCATTTATGTTCCACGATGTAATAAAGCTGCGATGTGAAAGCGTCGATCAGTGGAGTTTACGCGCATATGGTCTTATCTGAATTGGCATGCAGGCTCAGAACGCGGGGCCTCTCGTGCAGGGCCGCTCTTCGCCTTCGCTTTGTGGAGTTGCAAGCTTCCTCAAGGGCTTCCTGAAAGCCTGCAGGCTACATTAGCTGAGTGCTAATCCTCCTCATTCTTGTCGTAAGTATACCCGAGTTGCGAGCACTGCTTTAACCACAGAATCACTTCTGAGGCTTGGGGATCGAACGCTCACCTAGTAACTAGCATGTGTCTTGCTAGAAACATGAATGATCTCCCTTGAGCCATGGACGGCGGCCGCGCGCATCGTGCTTGCAATGCCGAAGTTCTCTCAAGGAGTCGCCTGTCCATAAGGGGCCCGACGAGGCCAGCAAACAGTCCACTGCGTCGAAACGGCCCTGGTAGGCGATGTGCAAGCCAACTATCTGAGCACCGGTACGTCTATACATTGGATCATCTCCCGGTCATTTTCTGTACCCCTATCGATACTTGTCGCCATCGTCATTTGCGAGATTCTTAAGGTTTAATCTGACTCAACGCCACTTCCTAGTACAGATCACTCTTCCTAGGACAGGTCACGATCAGACGCGCCACGCGAAACTTATTTCTCAAGATACATACATAAAGGCCATACATCGTCCAATGTTTTGTCGAGGCCTCGTCGTACCCCCAACAACCACCCCCCAACCTCGCATCCTTTGTCCTGACTACAGTCTCGCTCGCTTTTCGGACTGATTTCAGTAATGGAGGTACATCTTGCGAGTCGTATTAAGATATCTCACAGCTAATGGCGAAAAATAGCCCGAGTTTCACTCTATTCACAATGTCCCCAATGCCCCAGGAATATTGGTTCCCCAGAAAATATATAATAACCATGGTGCGACGTTCGAAAGACGAGCCTCGGTCATCTTTCCCCCAGGGACGTCCTTGCGGCGCGCATTGGCACGGGCGTTCGCCAATGATACACGTTTTCAACAGCGTATATCCACGTCCGACCCCAGCAAGCTGAAGTTCACTCTCCGTCTCGAGGTGAGTGTCTCATTTTGCTTGGCGAAACCTGTAGCGGTGCTGAATGGCCATAAGTGGCCCGGGTACGCGCCCTGGAACTGCAATATCCAAGGCACAGAACGCGCAGGCCATTCAGAACCGGTTCTTCTGTCTGTTCTAGCCGAGAGGGTTGCACATGCGGTCGAAAAGTTTCTCGCGGTGGGTGCTAAGTGGTTACACCGGTTTCCGCTCTCATGCTTACTAGAAATCTGTACAGCAAAATGCGGATATCCCGCCATCGAAGCCGGGCTGGAATGTCGACGCCATTCGCTTCGAGGGGCTGAGCCTTGTAGAGCTGCGACACGTTTCTGAGGGGTCATGGCAGCCCGTTCTGAGCTACCACCCTTGAGCTGCGCAGCTTGTGCTACACTGTGGCTGGGCTTGCCGCCTTCTTGCTTTGCCCAAATTTGATTGATCCTGTCGCAGAAACAGAGTTCCTGTGCAATGTCGACTTGTTGGATTATGCTCATTTGGACCGCCGCGTGCCACATGGTCCGCGTGATTAGATACCGTAAGTTCATCGAAGAAAGGAACTCAATGAGAAAACGCGGATAGCTGTAAGGAGCGAAAAGAATATTTTACGAGGTCACGGTGAGGAAATGGTCTAGATGAACGAGAGGTGGAGGTGTGAAGGCAAGAGTCCAGTGAGTAAGATTTGTGAAATTTCAAAGCATTCCGGTCACGTCACTGAGTATCGATGTTCAAGTGCACGCCGCGCACGCCATATGCATTACTCTGGCACTGTCTAATGTTCTTCACAGCATCGTCTACGGACAACTGGATCGATGAACTGAACAAGCTGATAAATGGCATACAGCACCTGACCCTGGAGCGGCCAGAACTTCCCAGAGGCGGCTGGCAGCGATGATCGCGCGTAGTTCACAATATCAACGCTCAGTTAAGAGCAGGGTTTGTCCTTGGTCGCATCCATTCCCTACGCTCTACCCACAGCTATGTCCACCCCCACGATCACCCATACTAGAAGGTTTGATCATGTGGCTAGACGCCGCTACTTTCTACCATAAGAGTCAGTGTAACTCGACGCCACTTCCTAGTACAGTCCACGAGCAGACGAATCTTTCGAACTACATTTTTCAATTGCTCCACCTTGACTACCCTCTGGCCACACCATTTACTCCCTAACTTCGCAAACCCCGTCCCGCCCGCAGTCTGGCTCACCTCTTGGACCGAGATTAAGATTAAGGTCATGTGATTATTCTCCTAGTATCTGCTTGGGGAGTTCGAAGTGTCCCTAATGATAGTACATCTCCCGAGTCGTCCTCATTGAACTCGTAACCAACGACAATAAGCAATCTAGCCATAGCGCTAGCTCAGCAGCGCATGGGTGACTTGTGGCCCTGAAGAAAGAATGCTCCGGACGATTGTCTTCGACTGCGCGACCTTAACTGCACGAAGCCACCATACCCAACCGAAACTGTGGGACGCAGGAATATGGGTCTGCTTATTTGTGCAGATGCATGAAGACGATACATAAATGAAGTCAGCAAGGAGAAGAAGTCCGTCGGACACATTGTCACTGCTCAGAATCGGGGCCATGATCAGCCGCGATTAACGTCGTGAGTGAGGGATTGGCGGCTGAATTCTCGAGAAAGATGGCACATCCTTGCTTGCTTCGACCTTGCGAGCCTTGACTCGTCGGAAATCCCGATCCTCGTCAATCCCGGTCCTCGTCTGCGCCTGAATCCCTATCAACGTCAGCACTGCCTCTGGTTCGCTTTTCCAGCTCCTCACCACTGGCGCCCTTCGAACGGCCTGACCGGTTTAAGCGCCTTATTCGTTCTGTCCTTGAGAAGGCCAAGTGGTGTTTGCTGAAGGATGGACATGATACTCCTGATGCTCAGGCTGAGCTGTTCGCCCGCAGCTGACCAGTCCATCGAGATTGGTTTGGCCACCCCTGGCTTGAGGCCCTTGTCCTTGTCCTTGAAGGCGTCCACCAGATCAGAGCACATAAAGTCCAGTCGCAGATGATCTTGCCAACAGTGGGATGAAGGCCGTATGTCTGCTTCGCCAGGTAGTTCGTGGGCATCATTACCGCCAGTCGATGACCGGGTTCGCAGAGGAGCTTCCAGGGCAGGGCGTGCTGTGCCTCCATGAAACCCTGGAAAGTCCGAGCATCGTACCTGCGCTCTCCTTTTTGGTTCAGCTCGCTGTTTTCGTACTCAGAGACAAGAAGGACGAAGAGGGAGAGCCATAGGATCGATTTCATGTCGGGTAAAGGATTGTGGCGAAATATGACGCGGCTCGGATGCATGTATCTGGAGGTGGTAGAGCAGCATCGGCGGCTTCGTTGGGAGCAAAATTGGGGACAGTGTTAGGTCCAATCCCGCTATCTGCGCATGAGGTAGAGGCGCTGCAGGACCCTGCATAATATCCTTGAACATGTCGTCGAAACTTGTCTCCGTAGATGAAGTACTTTGCGGCTCGACAACAGGCATATAGTTGTAACGAGATGTGCGGACCTCTTCCGACATGAAGTATGGCGTCTCCTAGAAGATCCGCGTCATTCCTCAGGTGGTCACAGATGGTCACCGAAAAAAGGCGTACCGTCGGGACGTCATGATGCGCCCCGAGGTCGGACAATTCCTTGGCACATTCCAGATCGATGATCTTGGCGTGTTTTCCCACCACCAGTATGTTACCGTAACTGATATCGCGGTGGAGCCAGTTCGCTAAGTGCGAAACGTGTAGCCCTAATTAAGTTTAGAACCAAAACGAAGCAATGTAGACGCGTAATGACTCACCGAGAAGTACTTATCTGATCAGACGATAGACTTCGAGGAGTGTATCCACCTCTAAGAGGTCCCTTCCCGCATCCTTGTTCACCTAGATGAAATCGAAAGGAGTTGACACGAAAACTTCAGTACGACTGCATTACCACCAGCGCATCATCCGATTCTCAATCGTAAACCCAAACACAAGTCTCCTTCTCACGTCGTCCTGCAGGATGTGGTACAGCGACCATAGCATCTTCCTCTTGTTCTGAAAGGTCGGGTGAGCGAACGGGCGCGATTGTCGCGAGGATAGGTGGAGAGAAACAGTGCAGTGCTTACATCCCGTCTAGTCTCACGACTATCACTCTTCTTGAACTCTCCTGGAACAGCAACCTCCACCCACTGTGCCTTCTCAGTTGGATCGTTCACGGCCTTCGCAGAGGACAAGATAGCATAGCTGTCGGGCCGCGAGGTGTTATGACGGTATAGACATGTCGGGGCTCGTGAGGGATTACACTTGAACTCACAAAGTCTGTTCGTGTCTGGAATTCTCGAGATGTGAAGACATGCGTTTTCGACGGCTTTGGCCAGCTCTGCGAACTTCTTGAACACCTCGTCTTCGCACGAGGGTTTGGGACCGGGTGGCGGTGTCGTCGTGTCGTCGGGATTGGATGAGGAAAGAGCCCAACGACTCGACTGAATCTTTCCGTCACATTCAGCTGCTGCAGGACCGCATCAACGTCGATCTCTGGTCGAATTTTGGGAAGGAGCTGTTCGCGGAAATAGTCTGTGGCTATTACTACGATGACGGACTCGTTAAGGTCTAGACAGACAGCGTCGTAGTATTCTTCAGCACGAGCAGTACCAGGAACGCTCTGTGCTCGCTCGAGAGTCCAAGGAGTCGAGGAGTCGATTCAGACGCGTGAGTAGGGATTGAGAGACTAGTCTGGGCCATACTGGGTCTAAGTGAGGACTGCCGTCCCAGGCGCATCCACTCTTATCTGGTAATTCCGAGACTGTTTCCCAGAAGAATCGTTTCACCGCGTATGAGTGGCAATGACGAGAGAAGAATGGAACGCTTATGGCGGTAGTAGGCAGCTTTGTGGCCAACCAGGCCAACAACCCAGCTGTGGCGAGGAGACGCTCAAATGATCAAATCCAAACCCTAACCCAACTAAACACGGGCCGGGCCTTGCTCAATGTTACGCATTCTCCTGGGTTGTGCTGAGGGCTACTTGAATAAAATCCTTCTGCAGTGTGGTACCAAGCTGTGGAACTCCGTAAATGTTTCCCACCTGTTTGGTAGGGTTCCGTGTATGCCGAGTTTGGCCTTCGTTTGCCGTATTTCCTGGGAAGCATACGTTGTGAGCCTTGAAATGGTCTGTAGTACTCATGGCTTCGCATGCCAAACGTCGTCTTCGTATTCAAAACGTACTTATGCCATTCTTGCTGTGCCTCTTCGTCGCCCGACGCTCAGGTTCCGCATGATGCGGCCCGAGGAAGCGCTGATAGGGCACTGTAGACTCTAGAGCCAGTCCTCAAGACACAGCATTCACTGGTACAACAAGTATACTAGTACAATCCTTCATGCATCTATTTTTAGTTTGATTACATCGGGCATTAAGGGGTACAACCACAAATACACTGTACATCTCTCTTTTCAGTTTCTATGTCCGCCCGAGAACCACAGAAGGAACGTCGTGGCCCGATGCTTAGGCGCGGCCGTCGACCTTGGCGACGTAGGCGACGAGGTCGCAGACACGCTGGGAGTAGCCCCACTCGTTGTCGTACCAGGCGATGAGCTTGACGAAGTTGCTGTTGAGGGCGATGCCGGCGTCGGCATCGAAGATCGCCGAATTTTCGTTGCCGAGGAGGTCGGTGGAGACAACCTTGTCCGTAGTGTAGGAGATGATGCCCTTGTGTGTTGTCTCAGATGCCGTCTTGATGACCTGCTTGATCTCGTCGTAAGAAGCGGACTTTTCAAGACGGACGACAAGGTCAACGACAGAGACGTCGACGGTGGGAACACGGAAAGCAAGACCACTGCAGGGCACATTAGCTGGTGCAGCAATTGAACAAAAACACGAAAACACACGTCAGCTTGCCGTTGAGAGAGGGAATAACCTTGCCGACGGCCTTGGCAGCACCGGTAGAGGACGGAATGATGTTGTTGCCGACGGAACGGCCACCACGCCAATCCTTGTTGGAGGGGCCATCGACGGTCTTCTGGGTGGCGGTGGTAGCGTGAACAGTGGTCATGAGACCCTCGACAATGCCGAAGTTGTCGTTGATGACCTTAGCAAGGGGCGCCAAGCAATTGGTGGTGCAGGACGCGTTGGAGATGACGGTGTACTTGGAGTCGTACGCGTCGAGGTTGACACCGCAGACGAACATGGGGGCATCAGCGGAAGGGGCAGAGATGATGACCTTCTTGGCACCACCCTTCAAGTGGGCAGAGGCCTTCTCGGTTGTGGTGAACACACCAGTCGACTCGACAATATACTCCGCGTTAACAGAACCCCAGGGGATGCTGGAGGGGTCCTTCTCAGCGAAGACGCTGATAGCCTTGCCGTCAACGACGAGCTTGCCGTCCTTGACCTCGACAGAGCCGTTGAAGCGGCCGTGGACGGAGTCGTACTTGAACATGTAAACCTAGAAGCGCACGCGAAAGCGTGTCAGAATAGCTAATTGTGGCCGCCGCTGTAGCGATAACACGTAGATTCTAAACATACCATGTAATCTTTGTCGATGAACGGGCTGAATGAATATTTCAGGCGTCAGAATGCGTCCCTGAGAAGGGGGACTTGAGGGGGACATACTCGTTAATGGCGACGACATTAATATCTTTGTTGAGGAGAGCATTACGAAGGACGATACGGCCGATACGACCTGGGAGAGGGTAAATATGCGACATTCACTGGGTATATGTGCTGCTCACCGAAACTACGCGAATCAGAATCCCCTTCAGTTAGCGTCCCTCTCCTAAAGGCCCATCCGTCGACTGCTTACCCGTTGATTCCTACATTGGCCTGCAAAGCACGATGAGTACTCTGTTGTCGAGAGCGAACTCTGTGGCGCACTCACCGGCATGTTTGTCTGGTAGTGAGTGGGGGATTGGACTGTAAGTTGTGGGGAGTGGGCAGACGGCGGCGACAGTATTTAAGGGTTTTCGTCATCGATTGGATATCGGAGATTCGCTCGAATCAGTCGCGCCTCGGCAGAGATCAGACTCCCTTTTCTGTCCACGCTTCTTCGCAGTTCTTCGCCCGTCCTCGCCTCTCGCTCCGCTCTCTCGCCCTGGCTCGACCACAGCCCGGCCTACGACCGCAGTCCCCGCCCGGCGCCTACATACGTTCTCCTATGGTCCTATCCCTCCCAAAAATCATAGACAATCAGCAAATAATTGCTCTATCTTCTGTGCCGAGTCCATCGCGCCACGCGCCCGCCACGTCGGCCGTCGGTGCGCGGTAAGCATTGCATGAATCATCAGCTTACCCATTCTCTTAGAAATCGTCGAGCTCCCTACTTCAGCTTGCCCCAAGAGTCTCATACAGACGTGCTATTGCTCTCTGCTGTCCTACCCCCCACGCGGATCCTCGGCGAGCCCAAAGAATAGAGCTCGCAGCTACTACTGGTTCGGACAGACTGCTCGCGCACACGAATTTGACAGAATCCACCGAGCGCGCAGGAGGCGGTGGGGGCCGCAGCGGTGGTGACCAATCTGCGTCGCTCTAAAGTAAATTCTACATTACGACAGCATGACTCGAGCTGTCGGCCGACACTTGGAGACGCGCTTGCGCCACGCCACTCTGATACGATTGTGAGGGGTGCCAGGCGTGTCGCCAGAGCGTGCGCGCAATGTACAGCACTCGCGGGCTACTCGCGGCCGGCTCAGCCGCGCGACACGTTTCGCCGCTCTGGAGCAAGTACTGCTTAGAACATTGGAGCATCTTCCACCAATTGTATGAATTATTGCTCGCTTCGTCATATTTATTATCAGCACCCTGAAGGGCTGGAAGGCTTTCGGTCTCACAACGACTTCGCGGCAGCCCTTAGGCCGCCCGATTGGAGCCCTTGCCATGGGCGCGGCGGATGCTACCCGCAGCATGAGGCCTGCCTGGCCTTCCCGTGCCACAGATCCCAGCCGTTCAGCTCTCCACGCAGTCCGCGGGCCGGGGGTGTGTTAGTCTCGAGTTGGTCTCGAGCCAAGCATGCCGATGAACCTACCAAGTTATCGATAGGCCTTTGCAACAGCCGTGCGCAAATCGGAATATTTGCGCGCCACAAGCTTCATGATGCACGATAAGCCTGTGAACGTGTGAGGCGGGCACGTTGGACAAGCACGTTTCGACCACTCGCAAGTTTTCTCAAGCCAACGCCCCACTAGTGATATCCCATAGTATTTGTTGTAATCCAGCTAGCAACGGACTTCAGCATGCCATCGAGTAATTGGGACGCTTTGTCTCCCGTTGCTTGGAGTCAAGCCAACAGTGCTCCAAATCAGCATATGGTGACTGGAGCTACACGTAACAACCCACAGTACGTAGGATAATAATACATGAGTAATAATTATAATACAGTAGTCGTGCGGGTAGAAGACATGAACATGGACAATATAGAGCCATCGTCAAGGCACAATTGCCCAGAGATAGGGGAAGATAGGTGGGTGACCAACAGCATCGAAGGCTGCGGTTGGGTTCGTGGAGGGAAGAAGCTTCATTTCTAGTCCTCGTACTGGCCTTCGTTCTCGTGTTCGTGCTCGTGTTCGTGTTCATAATCAGGTTCGCCCCCGGCCTCCGATGCAGGACGCGAGCCGCCAGAGTAGGCGGAACCGCTGCTCCGCGACGCGTGCGAGCTCGGCTTGGACGCGTAAGGCGGGACGGCCTCGTCGGGTTCGCGCACGACGTAGCCTGGAGGAAGCGTCAGCACCACAGCCTCTGTTCAGGAAGGAAAGGGACACGCACCCTGCGCCTCCGCCCACTTCACCCCTTGGCGTCCGAAGCCGAGACCGGTCTTGTCGCTCGAGAAGCTGCCCGAGCGGGACGCGTCACTACCGGTGTACAGCATGCCCGGGGGCGTCGCGGCCGTGGGGAGCACGTCGCGGCCGGCCTCACGCCACGCGCGCACGCTGCGGTGCCGCTTCGCGCGTTCACGGAAGATGAGCCCGAAGAGGATGTTGAGGCAGCCGACCGCGAAGACGAAGAAGGCCGCGACGAGCATGAGCTCTGGGACGTGGTGCGAGAGCACGGCCGCCCCGAGCAGACACTGAATCACGCCAAGCGCGCCGAGCCCGAAGTCGGGCCCGAGGATGGGGAAGAAGGACGAGAAGAAGACCTCAGGCCAGCCGAACTCGGAGAGGATGCACACGATGACCTGCCAGATGACGAGCAGCCAGTTGAGTATCGCCCAGAAGGCACCCGCGGGTTGGTTAGGCACCGTACTGCCCCTGTAGAAACGTTAGCATAGATGCGGATGACGGCAGGGGGAAGGGGGGGAGCACGCACTCGATGTAGTCGCAGTCATCTACAGAGCAGTCGATCCCAGTCGAGTTGGATGATGTCTCGGTCTTCCCTGCAGCAATGAAGGCATTGACAGCGCGGACATCGTAAACCATAGTAACGATAGTGCTCGCGAACAGGAGGAGGAGCGAGATGATGCTGATCGCACGCACGGCATTCAGCGAGTAGAAGAGGACTGCACGGCCTTCGCGTGAGTAGTACGGTCTGGATAGTGAACTCTACGACAACGTACGATTGCGAGTGTTCATGGCTGTCTTGACCTGCGTGGAGTTCGTGCGCCTGGATTGGAATAAAAGCTACAAAAAGAATGGTGTGCCAGCACCAATGGCAGAAACTTAGAGAGTGGAGGTGGTAAGCAAGAAAGAGAGCGTCGAGCTCTGTCAACCCAGGAGACAGCAGGCAACCGCGCGGACGATGTAGGGTAAAGGATTGGCCATCCTCGCGTGGAGACGGGGAGGCCTTATATCTGAAGTATAGTGTTTCCCAGGCTTTCACCGTCTTATTCGACGTGCAGATTCGCGAGCGTATGCGATGCGTCGCCGTGGCGAGTCCATTGTCGAGAACAAAAGAGTATGGCTAGGGAACAATGGCCGTCGCCTCGTCCGACGTCGCATCGGGCGCGGCCAGGCAATAGGCGCCTACTGCCACGTGCAAACAAAGCCAAAGCGACTGCGTTCGGCAGTAAGCGGCCTTCGTGAATCTGTACATGTCGCATTTTCCCCCCTAATATTATGATGCCTTGTAGTGCTACAGCGAGAAGCTCTATGTATGCTCGAATTTGCCTCTTTTTTTCTTTCTCTCTTTCGGCACAACAACACGCGATAAGCGCCCAAACTCCGTTCGAACTTCGAGCTCCTTCACGGGTAAACCTGGCTCTGTTCATCCCGCACGTCGTAACCGCAATCCCTGCGCTATGTCGTCGCGCGTATCTTGGAATACTGCTCAGAGGCACTTTACTCACACTCTGTCAGTGATGAAGACAGCGAAACCCATAGTATTCCATGCCAGTACGGCGGCACCTCGAGGCTTACATTTTAGATGTGCGAGTGCCATCAAAGCGTTCGCCATCCATGGTCCCTGTTGTTCATCTCGTGTCCTCCTCTTATCAAAAAACTGTCTGACCTTCTCCCCGTTCCGTCCTATCTCGAGTGCACGTCGTGCGTCTTTGGACGTCTGATCACCGACGCGAACCTGCGTGTTTTCAAGACGCACAGGCGGCCACGGCACGACAATCTCGCGAGCGCACTGACGATTGCAGCACGCGTCACGGCTTTCCCTGCACGTCTGCACAAGATCGCACCGGACTGTGTGTGTGCTACGCGCGACCAGGAAGGACTGGGATCGCAAGACAGGTGAGCTCGTCACTGCAGATTATTGGCTCCGGCAGTTTCTGGCCACGACAGCGAACTTGCATGTTCTCCCTGGTCCATGCCCCTCCGAGTCGCGGATAATTAGCGGAAATATGAGATATAATAAACTTGTGCATTCCTCTGGGATCGGTGCGTGTCGATTGCTACACTGCCTAGCCATTCCAGCAAAGCAGCCATGGCCCCATAGCCTACCAGAGGACCTGCCAACAAGTCCTTGACTGAGAGCCTGACTTTGTATGTCCAGTCACTCCAGCGGAAGCTGTGTGCGTCGGGCGAGCCAGTGGCGGCGAAAGTGCATGCGCAGCCTTACACTTCAGCTCCACGTCTTCTGAGCTGGCGGAGGCGCCGTACCCTCACAATGACAGCCCGCTCTCATTTGAGTTAGTCCGACTTCACACGGGACTAGAGGTGATTGCGCACCTTTGCAGTCCACTCCTGGCTACCAAGACTATGTAGCCCCAACTCGCTTGAATGAGGCGGTGGGGCGAAGGGAGGCAGTAGCGACAGTGAACGTGCCGAGTAGGTGGGCAGCCCGAGACTGTCTGATGCGCCAGGAGTGCGTAGCGCGGTGTCGTCGTGAGCGGGGCTAAGCCCCAGCCGGCACCGTCGTCGTCACCGCCGCAGTCGTCGTGGGAGCCATTGAAAAGTGCGGGATTTGCTCGCTGTACTGTCTCGCACTGCTTGATGAGGTGGCCCAGTGTCTGATTGAAGGTGGTGGCAGGTAGTGGCAAACAAGAAGCGGGATGAGCGCTACGATGGATATTTCTAAGCTGCTGCGTACCTCAAATATGGAGCGCACAATGGGTACGCTAAAATCACTTCGACGAAGCTGATGAATGCACTCCGAAGACGACAGGGTCTGAACGACTGAGCGGTCAAGGGTCTGCGGGGTCCCATAACTTATAATTAAATCACTGTTCCTTTCAAGAGGCTTCAGGGTCGTGTCGATCGATGAGGCCAGTTGTGCATCATGATTCGAATTCTGCTGAAGTCCCTAGCAAATCGTAAAAAGAGCGGATGGCTTTCTGTAAGCGCATGCTGCGATTGATTCTTCTGTACAGACGCAGCTGCTACGTAAAGGTCGAATGTGGATTGTAAGAAGGTGGAAATTCGAAGCAAAGCGTGGACGGGTTGTCGTATCTGGGACATCCGCGCGTGGGCGCGTAGTGTACATGAAAGTGCCGCATATCAGACAGGGGGGATTACCGCTGTTGTGTTGTTCCAATGCTAGACCGGACGTCGACGAGCACATATCTCTAATCCTCCTCTCACGGGAGAGCGACCCCTTGCTTCTTGTACCATGACCTTAGCCACTCCTCTGCGTCCGTGTATTCAACCTTCCCCGACTTTAGCAAAGGATCGATCTTGTTCAATGCCTCGGTCTCCGTTAAGCTCTCGCCGAATTCGTCATGCGACATTTTGCCATAGTTTTGAATCTTCTCGCATGTCGCTTGCACCTTGTGCACGCCAAGGGCTGCAGAGGACCCCTTCAAGAAGTGCCCGAGGCTCTCGAGTTTTAACAGATCTTTGGCTTGGCTGCAGCTCGAGCATCAACAAAAACAAAGAGTACAAGGAAACGGAGGGAACGCACAATGCTTCATCCATTTCCTCAAAAGTATTGCTCGCCTGGTCGAAGAACTGCGACACCATCTCCGATGAGAACTCTCGCTGGTCGTCCTCATCTAGCTCGAGGATCTGCTGGAAGATTTCCATGTTTATGATGTTCGACTTGTCACCCTCTACTGGCACCGTAGACTGCGCCGATGCAGGGGAGAGGTCATAAGCACGGCAAGGGAATTGATCGCACAGGTCGAGGGTGTGTCGAGAGCAATGATGGCAACGGGGTATGGTACAATCGCATCGGGGTGTGCGTTGCGGGGATAGATTAAGAAAATCGGGTACACTAGTTAGCGCATAAGGGCTAACGATCTCAGACGCATCGCGGGCACATACCTCGTTCTCAAACTCGTCGCTATCTTCAGAATGTGCAGACGGGGCCTCCGATACCGCTCGTTTCGCCGCTGGCGAGGCCGGGGGCGATGCAACGACGGAGGGTTTACTTGACGTCGACGCAGGCAGCTTTGTATCTGAGACCCTGCCATTCGCGCTCGTAGGCAGCGACTGCACAGGCTTTGGGGTATCTTCGCTCCTGCGCGGTGAAGAGACTCTCGACATATGAACCTGCGTCCGAGGCGGTAAAGGGACAGATGTCGATGGATAAGGAGATGGGAGAGGGTGATACGGGACGATTATAATTGGGGGTGGCAGTGAGCAGGACGGACGGCCGAGTGACGATCAAAAGGGCGGATTATTCGTGAATTGACTGATAATCTGTGCCGGGCCCAGAGGCTCGGCCCTCTCCGTCGTTTCCACCCAGCTCCCCCCAGCTCCCCTCGCCGGGCGCAACACCACAGCCGAGACCATTCACCGCTCGACCGCCAACCGCTCAATATTCAATACGAACGGCTACAAGCATAGCATCGCCGTCATGTTGTTGGAAATCGCGCGAGAGTCTCTGCACATGATGCAAGGTTTGTCCGCATAAGGCAATCCTGCCGCCCGCCGGTATCCTCGATATGTTGCGCGCGCATCTGGCTCTGTTTACTACCGAACGCGGGTCCCTCACGGCCCTATGTTTTGAACGCCTACTCCCACAGCCAAGGCCTGCCGGTGCTCTGGGGTTTCATATCCTGCGGCAATTTGTAGTTCAGGACTCAGGAGGCCACGTTGTCACTGCACCCTCGTTCGTAATCTTCACGCTCGTATCACCACGACCGTGTTCGCAGCTCCCACAACGCGTTATGTACGGCTCCATAGATGTAGCGAAAGCTGGTCCCACAGTGAGCGGTACGCTCGCAATCTGGAGTCAATCATCGCTACCTGCTCGTGCCAACCTAAGGTCCGAGGAGCCGTTCGTCGCGTTGTACAATCACCCGCCAACAACCATCTAAATTCAGAAACGAACCACCTCCGGTAGACACGGTTTCCCTCTGTCTTCGGTGTACGACTTGACGTGTTTAATTCATGCGTTACAGTTTCCAGGTGACCGGCTCGTCTATCACCGCAGACGGGATGCTAATTTCGCGGTTGTGGCAGAACTAAGTACTCTCTGTCGATGTCCAGAATCAGGCACGCCCGTCGTATACCCACTTCGCAGGTGGCTATGATTAGTAACATGGCGCTGAGCCGTAGTGCCTCCTAGAAATTAACTTCGCATATGTCTCATTTTACTCCACAGCGGCATTACAAGCGAATATGTTTTGACTTAGTAGATATGGCAGGTTCAGTAAGTCTCACCCGTCTTACAGCGGAACCGTGTCTTGCATGACCAGCTTGATCCGCGTAGAGTCGTAGCGGTCGCCTAGCTTGACGTTCTCGCAGAGCTTGCGGATCTGCTGTATGTCCTCGTCTGCCAGCTTGAGGTCAAGGGCTCCGAGATTCTCCTCGAGGTACTGCAGTGAAACAGTCAAACAGTCAGGAGACAGCAGGAGTCTTGATAGCGTAGTCCGAGCTGACCTTGATTTTCCTCGTACCCGGGATAGGGATGATGTCGTCGCCCTGTGCGAGCAGCCACGCGAGTGCGACCTGACCGGGCGTCGCATTGTACTTCTTGCCGATCGCACCGACCGTGTCGACGAGCTCTAGGATCCTCGGGAAGTTCTCCTTCGAGAACCTGTCAAATTCGGTGTCAACTGACAATCGGCAGTGTCTGGGGCTAGGGAAAATCCTACCTGGGCACAGTGAGCCTAAAGTCGCCAGGCTCGAAGTCGTCAGGCGATTTCTGGCACGCGGTGAGCCCTGTGAGTCTAGTAATAGCGCTTCCAACCCACTCACGTATTGGCCGGTCAGGAGACCTCTGCCGAGCGGCGAGTACGCGACGACGGCGATGCCCAGTTCTCGCGCGGTACTCAGAATGCCAGTCTGCGCGCTCTCGATGTCAATCTCGAAGAGCGAGTATTCCACCTGGATCGCCGAGATAGGGTGCACGGCGTGTGCACGGCGGATGTCATTGGCAGTACACTCCGAGAGCCCAAGGTAGCGGACTTTGCCAGCCCTGATTTTCGCTGATCAGCATCCGGGGCTAGTGGATCAAGCTGCCGCGACGCACTGAACAAGCTCGGCCATTGCCCCGACAGTCTTCTCGATAGGAACAGTCGGGTCAGGGCTTAGTATCTGGCGTGAGTACACTAATCACTATTGCTGACGAAAGAGCTTACCGGTGAAGATAATACAAGTCCACGCAGTTCACTAGAAAGACGGGTCAGTCTGCTACAAAAGATGTTATGATCTGTCCAGGAGACTCACCTCCTAAGCGATCTAAGGATTTCTCGATGCACTGTTTCACGTATTCAGGCTCGCCATTGACAAGTCTCTGAGGATTTCCCGTGATGCCAAACTTGGTAGCAAGGAAGATCTCATCACGCTTCCCGGTCCTCTTGAACCTGGACAAGCAGAACCATTAGTCTGTGTCTAATCTAGTCCCGCATCAGATTATACTATACCATTTGCTTAACAACACCTCGGAATCTCCGTAGGCGTTCGAAGTGTCCCAGTTGGTGCAGCCTCTGGCATAGAGCGCGTCCAACATCTGCAAATACCGGTGTCAGCTCCATGATGCATGCCACATAGAACCCCTAGCACCAACCTCGAGGCGCTCCTCGTCGGGCTGGATGCTGCCATAGAATGCGGCGATGCCCATTGCTCCATAGCCAATGGCGGTCACATCGTCGTTGCCGATCTTGCGAGTCTTGGACGAAGGTGTAGCTGGCATCTTGCAGTCTCTTGAACGTGTAAAAGCCGACGACGGGAGTGGCGAGCTTGCCCAGCAACTATTTGTACCTCGGCGTAGAGCCTACACTTGCTGACGAATACAGCCCAGCGCGTGAATATTTAACCCCTAAGGCATGTGTGACGTCGGTGCGAGGGGACGTGCTACTAGCGATTTCTAGACTTCCGTCGGAAAAGGCATTCCTGATGTACGGCAATAGCAGTAGAAGAATCCCTCGGACATGTGCCTACCGAATCATTTATGTGTAATACTATCTGCGTTTCTGCAAGGTTCCATGAGGTGTTTGTCGCTGAACGCTTTTCGGTACCGTGTGTGAGCCGTTCATAGTATGCTCGAAGTATAGACAAGGCGATCTGCTTCCGTATCACATCGAGCAATGATAACCTTAGACGCACTATTACTTCCGAGCCGTGCGGAAAACACTCAGCCGTAGCGGCCAAAAGTGGTCTTCCAGACATGGAAGTAAATCCTGCATTTGCGAAGGTATGATAGGTGGTTTTATGTCTGAGATTCGGCACGTGTCCGCCTGGGCTGAGGACATACGCATTGTACTAATAATTGAAATGTACTGGAACTTGAAGGCAAGTCAGATACGACCGGCTTTAGAGCAATGTCAGGTTTGACGCACCTCGAGCCACGTTTCACGCGAAGTTCAAAGTATACTCTGACTTTCGACCCAGACGGCGGTCACAGACTACAGGGACTTAAACCCGCCGCCTGAGGGTCCCTGTCATGGACCACAGAGGGACTCGCCGGTGTGTGACTGATACTGCGGGTGGGCCAAAATTTTCGACCCTGCGGCGTACCATCATTGGGAAGCCGTCAAAGACTGACCAGCCGCTGCTGCACTCTGGCGACTATCACAAGTCGCCGGGCTACCGCGGTTGTCGCCACTAGCTGTGCAGGGTCAGTCGCACTCGCCACTGTTCAGGTCGAAAGAGTACCGATGTACACTTCCTCGTCGTCAAGCGATGTTTCCGGAAGTCTAGTCAAGGGGATACGATGCGCCCCGGGTTGGACCAGTGAGCGAACATCGACCTGCTGTGATTCAGGAGTTCACACTGGTATCGATCTATCACAGGTGCTTATACTCATAAGTTCTTCTTGATACCACATATAGCTAACGGAGGTATCAACTCACCCACTTACAATCCCGTCTACAGCTTGCTTCGACGTCAAGGTCGCTAGCTACCCATATTCTGGAAGATCAAACTGCCAACCGAAAGGGGCGCGCACTACGAGAATAACGTGAGGGCAGTGTTGGTGAGATACGACGATCCACTGTCCTGCTACATGAAGGAAGGTATAGCAGATGGCGTCAAGTGCGACAGTGTGCGCTCCGAGTACGGGCTCGGAGGTGAAGGCGGGTAAATATGCCTAGCACGAGCTCATCGAGGCCGTCAAGTTTTTGGCGTGCTGCTGGGAAAATTATCTGAATTGTGGTGCTACGCGGGAGACGTTCGAGGGTTCAACGGGGTAACTTGCAAGGGCAAGCATGGAAGGTTGAGAGCTACGTCAGGGTGCACGCACAGGCAAGTCTAGAAGGTTTGACAATACCATGCGTGACCTCAGGTACGCCTAATGAGCACCACAAACGATAGCCCGTACTGGCCATCCTCGGAATCGATATGGTCAGTTGAGGAATCGTGGCCTTATGCGGCCCAGAGGTTTGACAGGGTCGTGTGTCCGAACGTAACTGCAGAGGTGCGCCCATTCGCTGCACGCCCTAAAATAGACCAGAGTGCCAGAATTCATCTAGTTCCTTTCTGCATTCATCAGCCCCGGTAATTCCGGCATCGTTCCGGTACGTTGGAGTCAGAACTTTAAGAACTTGAATCGGTCCGGCCATGCTGCTAACAGACCGTATGAGGGACCGTACAGCACGCATAATAAACAAATCTCCGGGCTTTTAGGCTTACCGAAAACACGCGAACGTTGTGCTGCATTGCCGGGTCGGTGGACAAAACTGCGATCTACGCCACAACTGTGCTCTTGTACTCAGGCATAGCCTCAGCAAGGATCCTCGGCGACAGTTGGCGCCCAGGCAACTATCAGGGTCCAAGTGACCCGTAGAGGCCACGCGCACAAAGCACTGCAGATGAGGTATAAGAGGGATTACATAGGGCACGAAGGGAACCCACTTCAAACACCCCATACCGCTGTTCACATTCCACCTTACCGGATGACCCCGAACAAGATGTTCAAGACCAAGCGGAGGTCTACCGGAGATGTAATGCAGCTCATGCAGCCCATCAAGGCACAACTGCGGTTTGAAGTCAGCTCGATGAAGGTGAAGGTAGCAGCGCCACTCGACCTGGTCTGGGATATTATTGAGAAGAACGATGAACTGGAATGGCAAGTTGATTGTGCATACGGCCGTGTACGCAATTCTCACCGCGCGTCTCTGTTGCATAGGAACCCTTTCTTGTGAGTATTGCCACCGCCACTAGTCGGATAGATGACTTACGGAGACTTGTAGGCGCGTATACACGCTCATCAAGCGGGCTGGGCATCCTGTGCTGACGCCTTTCGCCGATGGGCGTTGGACGCCAGATGCTCATTCAAACGACAAAATATTCAAGATGTACGACTCGGAACGCATATGCAAGACAACGCATGAGCTGCCGTTGTGGGAGAAAGGCGTAAAGTGCTATGCCGAGTCTGTGCACAGGGTCAGACAAATCATTGACACGGGCGGGGATGAGCAGACTGAGTACGAGCTCACTGAGTCGTTCTTCACTACACAAGAGTGCTGGACGAAGGACATGAACCCTGGGGTGATGGAGAAGGGCGCGCGAGAGTTTGCGGCGGCGCTCAAGAAGCAGGCAGAGGAATTGGTGAGGTAACATTGGCTAGCCCCGCTGAGGGGATGTCGGACTACTGTCAAGGACTTTGCCTGTCAGGAATGACATCCAGATACAGCTAAATTATGTCTCCAAGCCATATGTCAAAATATCTTTGTATCACCTTGAGTTTCGCTGGATGTACTTGTATTTCGGGAATCCGTCTCGCCAAGGCAGATGCTGTTGGTCATGACCATTCTGTAATCCGTGAGACGTTATATAGACGGTGACGATGGTGCGCCATACCTTACTTATCCAGATCATCCGTCTTCTAGTGTGAAGACATGCGACTCGGAGGTTTGGTTCAGTGGTTGAAAGACGCCATTACTGACAATGCTGAGCCGCAGGACCGGACAGTTAGATCTTTGGCGGTGCCATTCTTAATACACGCTCCGCCGGAGATTGTTGCACCGCTACTCGGAGATTGCATGTCTTCAACATGGTACGCTCCTGAGCACAAAGGCATGTCACAGCGAGCTGACCGCAAATGCTCTAGGGACCCATTCGTGTCAGTACTGACCTAATGGCCAGCCAGACGCCTGTACTCACAAACATAGCAGATGCATACATCAGCTTCTGGAGCAAGAAGGCTACGAGCTGCCCACCCCGAGCCGCCCATACAGCGAAGAACACCCAGACTACTGGCTGCCGCCCTGGCCCTGGCCCGCACGCGGTCAAAAGATGGTCTGCAGTATGCTATACAAGCTATGGCAGGACGGCAGGGATGGTCATTGCCTCGCGAGGTGCTTGCACCAGCTGAAGCGACGTCCGACACAGGTCAGCGCGGACATCACGGAGTACGAGCTCATTCTGGAGCTGCACGCGACGGACCGCGGCTGGGACGATTACTTGCGGCCATATGTCGTACAGCAAAGCGCGCTTATGTTGGGGCAGCGGCTGAAAGAGGCAGCCCAGCAGCGAGCAGAGGATATGAGGAGAAACCTACCTTCGATCGTTGTACATTCAGCAGACTAGATGGCATGCAAAGTACGCAGAGTGACCTACAGATGAACGTCCGGAGGTGACTATCATCATCATTGATTTTAGGGAAAACCCTGCGGCTCGTAGTTGCGATTCCATGGTGACACATAGGGTAGTCTGGGGTATCTTTCACGAATGAGTTGTTCTGAGCGTAAAACAATCGAACTGGTTCATAAAACCAGAGGAACAGCAGCTCAAGCGTGACTGAGACTCTCTGCTCGTGCCTTCAACCCATCCGCCATCGCCTGGAAGCCGAGCTTCAGCTTCCCACTTACGAACCACCTGACAAGGTACGCAATGGGGCCGTTGAAGACCTCGATCGTTTCGTACTTGGTTTTCCCGTCCCCGAGCACGGTTAGCCACTGCCAGCGCTCCGTGGTCATAAGCCACGCAGGCATGCGGTTCGTCCACGCGACGCGGTGTGCGGCGTGGTCTACGAGCGAGACGCGCAGGCGCGTCGAGCCCGGGAACATTTGAGGTTCCATGGACGGCGGGAGGTGCACCTTCAAGGTAAGCAGCGAGCCTTCTGAGGCTGCCTGATCTGGGACAGGCCGTTCATTGGCGTCGACGACGGTTTGGGTGCGACTGAGGGTGGGATGAGGTGCGCCACGGCTGACAAGGAGCATGTGCTGGATACGTACACGAACGCGTTCCTACAGCACACTTCAGCGTTCGCAGTAGCATAGAGAAAAATGTTGGGGCGCACCACTCCGAATATGCAGGGAAGTCGAGCAATACTTCCCATACTTTCTCGACGGGCGCGTCGATGACGGAGGACGCAATTACGGCTAGCACCGCACCTTCAGCGCGCGGTGGAAGGTCAGACATTCTTGGGTATGATTTTCAAATGTTCAGATCCAACAGACAAAAGTCGACGAGTGCCGAGAACACGCTGTTGAGAAGTGCAAAGTGGATTGCTAGTGGTGGTAGTTCAGGTGCAAGCGCGAGCTCAATGGAATATAAGCGCCGTCTTCTAACCTCTGAAGTGTAAACTGTGCAGAGTTCAACCGAGAGATTAGACTACATGTACAGGGTATACCATTACGTATATAACTTGCGAACCAAGTGGCGAAAGTCACCGTAGAGATTCTAGAAGAAATCGTCCCACTCGTCCCACTCCTGACTGACCAACGGCCTAAGCATCTGTAGCTTCTCCGGGCTCATCCGCGGCTTCGGCGTCGCCTTGCGCCGGTGTGCCAGCTCCTCGAGTGTTGCAGGCGGCGTGTGCAGCAGTATGTGATCTGCGTCGCCCGCCTCACTCGCGTTATCAACAAGCTCCGGTGGCGACGACATTGGCTCGGACGCGGGCACAGGCTCCGGCACGACGACGCTGGTGTTGAATGGTGTATGCGTGAAATCTGTCGATTCTACGATGGGCTCCGCGTTGGAGCTGTCGTTTGCATCTGGCGCGGCGATGTCCGAGGATTCAGCTATGTTCTCGTCTGCGTCGGGGTCTGGCTCCTCAATGACGATCGACACAGAGTCGGAGTGCGCCGGGAACAGCTGCGCTGAGCTTCCGTTGTTGGACATCTCGACCACGACGTGCTCGCCGAGCTTCTCTTCCTCCTCCTCCTCCTCCTCCTCCACGCTTGCAGGCCGCTCCGCGTCGTTAAGGATGACGTCCGCAGGCTCGGCGTTCCCGGGCTGGCCTGCGCCTATCCGCTCAGCAAAGTCGTTGGACGGTATGTGTTCGACGTCCATCTTCTCGATGTGTTGAGGCATGTGAATGACTTCAGCGTCTTGAACTGAGGGTTCGGAAGGCTGCTGAGATGCGCCGTCGACGAGGTCGACGTCTTTCATCTCGGCGGCTGACTCGTCGGGGAGCGGCTCCTCTGCGGCGACGTCGACATCTTGAGGCTCGGACGGCACACTTGCGTCGAGTTGCATCTCCTCAACGAGCGAGTCGAAAGGTTGTGATGGCCGAACATCAGCAGCAGGTTCAGCGGGAATCTCGGACGTCTCCATCTCATCCATCACCTCATCCATCGGCATCCCCTCCTGCATCCCCTCCTCCAGTCCTTTCTGCTTCTCCACAAATGCCCTCCAAATCTGCTTCTTCATCTTCTCGATACGCTCTGCCTCGCGCTCGACCTTGCGCACCAGCTCGCGGCGGCACTGGCGCACCCGCTCGTCGCCACCGCTCAACACGTCGTCGAGCCGCGTGAGCACGCGACTGAGCTCCTCCTCGTACGCATGCACGGATACGTTCGTGGGCGTGAACGCGAGCGACGCAACGGCGCCCGTCTCGCCTGCTTCGTCGTCCGGTGCGCAATCCGTGCCCCCGCTGCCTGCCGTGGGCACCGCAAAGTGTGTGCCATGTAGCGTGTAGTCGAGCGTTGGCGGGAGCACGAAGCCCGCCCGGAGCCGTTCGAACGTGTCTGCGAGCGCGGCAATGGACTCGAGGGCTGTGCGCCGTCGGTGGCGAGCCCGCCAGAAGGCTTGGATCTTCGCCGCTGCCTCAGTCTCCTTGGCGCCGTATCGGCGGGGAGGCGGCGTATGTGTAGTCTGCTGCTGGGTGTGGGGTTGCGTCTGAGGCTGAGCGGGGGATGACTGTGGCGAAGAGATGTGGATGCGTTGACCATGTGTTTGCGGTTCGGCCCTTGGTGGACGCGATGACGCACGTTCGGTGCGCGTGGCGGGCGGGACAGGGGTCTTGCCCTGCGATCGCTGTGCTTGAGGCGTAGTAGGATGCGGTGAGCGATTGCGGTCACCCGGAGACATCGTACGAGCTCTGCGCGAGGCATTCTGAGGCGCATATAATTAGTATAAAAGTCAGAAGCGATAATGACGAGCGACTTACCACCTCGGGCTGCAGAGAACGGGAGGGGCGGAGACCGAGCAGCTCCTCCAGAGGGAAGAACGCTGGGGTAGTTTGCGCAGAGGATTGCCTGAAATACTCTTCTTCCTCTCGGCGACGTCTCTCTTCCTCTCTCCTGCGCTGGCGCTCCTCCTCCTCGAGCATGATCCTGCGCCTCCTCTCCTCTTCCAACAACCTCCTCTTCCTCTCCTCCTCCAGCACCCTAGTCCGCTGCCTTTCCATCTCTCGCTCGCGCTCGATAGCCTCTATGCGCCGCCGCTGCTCGCGCCTCTGCTGCTCCATGCGCTGGCGCTCTTGAATTAACGCATGCTGTTCTTGAGGTGTGAGGTACGAGTGCCCAGGGTACGCGGAGTAGCCACTGCGGGCTGTGCGGGAGCTGGGACCAAGGCCGTAGTCATATTCGTCGTCGTTGTCGTCGTCGAGATACGAGTCGTAGGAAGGGTTTCCAAAGGTCTGTCGAGCGAGACGAGCGCGAGCGGCGCGGGTCCGGGCCTCCTCTTGCTCGCGGAGGGCCTGCTCGTACTGTCTGCGAGCGGCTGCTTCCTCCGCAAGGGTCTGGAGGTACTGCCGGTCGTTGCGGGAGTGGTAGGGCGTGCCGTAGGCGTACTGCGGCATGCTGATGGGTTCGTAGTTGAATGTGGAGGGATACATGGTGGTGAAAGCGTGTTCAAGGTGCTGCAGTGTCAGCGCCAAAGCGCCGAGCGCAGCGGTATATGTACGTGATCGTCGTGCAAGGCATTTTCGAGACTCTTCGTCGCGGCGGTGGTGCTGGGACGGTTCGAGAGTGTGCGAGGCTGGTACCCGTTTTTCCCGAAATTTCGCAGATTGACATCATCGCGCAGGGCCACGTGACCGCCGCAAAGCCGGCTCCCGACTCCCGAGGAGTCCCGACGGCCTCCGACGTCCGCAGAACGATCTGGCAATCTCTAGGTGTATGAGCTGGTCTATCAACTTAAAACTTAGTACGATACGGTGAAGAGTCATCAAAAGTGCTAGAGATCCCCATGTGACCTGCAGTCATGCTACAGTCCCTACTTTACGTAGGCTAGGTTATGTCTCCGACTCATCGTTCCATTCCACTACATCCACAGCACCTAATGCTTTGAGCTCTAGTATCTCGGAGCGTGATTGTTCAGTGAGACCTATGCTCCAAAGGATACTCAGCCTGTGCAAGGGCACTCGCAGCTCTCTGCGACGCAACAACGTGGCATGAAGGCGCTGCGCCAGCGTACGCCCTTCGTTGCTCCTGTCTTCGTTACCAAAAATGTTGACAGGCATGTCCCACCGCACCCCGGCCACCGTCAAGCACCGGAGGGCAGGTAAGCGCATCACGGGTTTGTACTCCGGGGCATCGCTCAGACGCATAGGCTCCGCCAGGTGAACGTCGGGCTGCACGAACAGCTCAGTTTGAAAAGCCCCGATGTGCGCTCGCTGTAGTCGTTGTTGAGGGCCTCCGCATCACGTAGGACGGGCCAAGTCTCGAACACAAGGGTTTTGTCGGGAACCCAGCGCGCCGAGCTGTACAGGCGGAGCGACTTAAACTGTCGCTCTTCACCATCGGTGCTTCGGCGGACGCCAGACGCGAATGCGTCAAAGATGCGCGGAAGAGCGTCGACAGTCTCTGGGACGACGTCCACAAAGTGGGCGTCAAAGTGCACAGCTGCGCTGGATGGGAAACCAAGCCGGTAGAGTAGTATGGCAATGCCGATGCCGGCGTTGTCGCCTGAGAGATGGAGATACCTAAGACGCGGCAGGGTGACGAGTCTTCGAGAAGAAGACGAGCTGTTAGAGCTTATCTCTGCGATTTCTTCGCCGAGGGGCATGACGCAGGAGATCAACTCGAGTTCAGTGAAAGCCGGGAGGCCTGAAAGTAAGTCGGCCCATTCTCCAACTGTTCCACGACTCCTGCCGATTTTGAGATGAGTCAGCCGCGGTAGAACAATAGTCTTGACGAAGTCGATACTAGCGACGGAGAGCTTTAGCTTCTCGAGAATGAGCGGTGTGTCCGGGGATACTGTACAAATATCGAGAGGAGGATTCGCGAATGGGAAGTGGCTGGTAGAGACAATGAGCACCCGGATACGCGGAATATTCTCAAAAACGAGGCGAAGAGCTTTCTCAGAATAGGGATGGTCGTGATGGTAAATACTGAGAGGCACCTCTCCGGAGCGTCTCAAGAACTCGGTAGTGCGATCCTCACGTCGCACGTCGATGTGGCTCCAGAGTCTTGGTGACACGAGCGCGATAACCCTCCAGTGGCGGCATACGTGTGCGACTGTGAGCCACGTAAACGGGCCCAATACAGCAGTCTCGTCGGGAAAGCACTGGTAATATTCCTTACGAATACCGTCAGCGCAGTGGAGGAACACCTCGGACAAGATTTCGTCGGGGAGCTCAAGTAAAGGGGATCTGGTGTAGTTGCGGGTTTCATGTGGTGCGGCATTCTGCTCCATAGCAGATCCGATGAGTATCGCTGCCATCTAGTGGGATATAGGCTGGTCAAATGTTGAATGAATGGGAAGGACCTGTCGGCACAACGCGTCAGTCTCCAGTGTCTCGTTGCGAGAATGCTCACTGATTTGCGCAGAGTGCTACGTATCAGCGTATCAATCTTCGATAAGCAAGATACCCAAGGATCTAGTCAGAGAGGCTTGATGTCCGGAAGATCGCGACGAGCACAAGTAGTTTCTATGGTGGATAGATAGCCATGGTTCAATGTCTCGGCACAGGGGACGATCGGCCGAGGTACCGGTGATGGCTGGTCACAGGGAGTGACTCAAACGATGGAGGGACACCGGACACTCGGACGATGAAACACGACACAGCGACATAGGAGAGATATCACGGTTCTTCGTCCGGTCATCAAGACCGCATAAGACAAGAGAGGCTTCATCTGCGCAGTAGAACATCTCATAATGAATAAAACTAAAAAGTGCTAAGAAATTGCGATATGTAGCACCCCTCCCAAAAAAACTGGCTGTCTTGTACCTACCAAGAACGCACCCCGCGTGGCTCCAGGTGTGCTTGAGCAAAACGTGAGACAGCGGAAATATGCCAGATGCTAAGCGCACTATGCATTATTCTACCGTAGCATTGCTCACAGCTACAGGAATGCTTTCAAGAGAAGAAACACCGTGACTGGAGAGGTGCTCAAGGACAACTCAGGATGAACTTCAGGGGAAGGCGATGGAGAAGTTAGTGGAGGGTCCGGGAGGACGACTCTGAGGCCGGCCGTATCACCTGGCCCAGTGACTCTACGTGAGTTCCCCATTTCGCTTCGCGCAAGGTGCCGTCTAATCGGTACCGCTCCGTCACGA